TTCAACCTCGTAAACTCATCACAAATACTTCAACCAAAACTTTCCTTTTAATTTTCTTGGGCTGTAATAATAATTCGACTTCCATCTCCGACCAATCTTTATTTCCTGGCAAAAGTGCATTGGAGTGGCTTACCTCTTCAGCATCATCTAATGACCTTCCGATTGAAGCAAAGCTTTTCGCTTTCTACTAATTAGAGGAGCTCAATTATCGCTAGAGTTTGACCTTGCATGTTTAAGATAAGCTCACAGCCATACCGGACAAATTAAATTGTCCATAATTTGCCGCAAGGCTAACATGCCGAGAGTAAGTCTACCTCTGGGCAATAACTAGATTGTGGCAGAGGAAAGGCGTTCAAGCGAGAGACGAAATTTGAGGTCATTTTAGATGATTTGTAAGGTGAACTGTTCGAAGCCCTCTATCAAAAAGCTGCAGGAGTATCTTCGCCATCGTAACTCTTGGATTACTGCTTTTAGCACGATCCTTTGAAAAAGACAATGAACAGGACAAGAGAGGTTAAAGATTCAAATGACTTTTTGGGTTGAGGTGCTTTTTTCGGGTAGAGGGAAAGGGAAGCCTTACCATTGGTGCAGGATGTACAAGAGTTCGTTTCCGTGACATCTTAATCCAAAACCATTTTCCGCCAGCCCGATATTATTACTTGGTTGGTCGATCTCTTCAAATTATTCCGACCTCTTGATGAGAAATAGCGGCGCTAGGACTTAATTCCCGATTGCCAAATAGGAATTTAAGGGCGAATTATTAGAACTCATTTGTATGAACATATTATTTACTTCCCTATTCAATGCTTTGATTATTTCAGCATTGGGTCCCGGGGGCAAAAATGAGTAATTCACTTAGGTCATACTGGTATTATAATCTTGGCCAGCCGCCTATTTCCCCCAAGTCCTAATTGGTTGGTCCATTTATCCCTAACAATTCCCCGGGGTTCAAAAAGGCCCAGCGACTAGAACTCTGGTAACTTAACTGGTGCTGAAATCCTATAATGTCTGGTTAATTGCTTTTACATATATAGTCTGAGTTGCAGATCAGAAAATAGGAATAGATCGAGAGATAGGGTGCATACACACATATTAATATGACACTCACTACAAGCTATTAGATCAGGAATTATCGAAATTCAGGAAAGGGCAAGAAGTAGCGGACAACATCTTTTCTTTAAGATTGGAAGGGAGGTAGATAAATTTTTTCAGTCCCCTATGTATGTACTAGGTGAAACCGAATCTAGCATCAAAGTGAATGACTCAAAAAGCTAGGAATTATGAAAGGCTGAATGGAGCTAGGAGTAATAAGACCAATTAAGATGGAGGAAGTTATGTCTGGCTCTAGTTTTGGAAACCTTTGTCAGAGGCCATTAAGCACTAAAGCACAAGGAGCCAGGGAATTATAGAAGGAAGACTATTTAGCTTTTTACTTTGGGCATTTCTTTTGGAATTTTGTGCCATATCAGTTAAAAATAGACCGGTGAGTTACTTGTATCTCGAAAATGGCTCTAAGCCCTACAATAGAAGTGAAACCACCCAAACAATGTCTCATAACTGTGATTAATTGAAACATTACCCGACCCAAGAACAAAAAAAGAGCCGAAAGAGAGATAGAAGAATATGAAAGATGGGGTTTTGACTCATGCCTGCCACTTATTCACCAAGGCGGCGGCGTCGTATCCGCCGGCACAAAACTAACGAATTAAACTTACATTTTCAGATGCTTTTAATGGGGGGAAAAAAAAAAAAAAAAAAAAAAAAAAAAAAAAGGGTTGATATTGATATCACCACAAAACTACAATTAACTACATCAGATGCTTTAATGGGGAAAAAAAATCAAGATAGAGACTAATCTCGACATCTTATTATAAAAACCTTAGAGCAGTCACATGGGAATGAAACTTCCACTTCAACTTAAAATTCCCCAACTAAGTATTAATATATCCAGCCACAAAACAAAAAGCTTTTAGACAATTGCAAAATGCCATTCTTCAAGATACTGCCGCCACCTGTTAATTAATATTTCTTAAGGATCATGGTTAAGAAATTTCTAAATCCAAAATTATTAAGCTTTACCTGTCTCTGACTACTGAACTAACATAAAATGAATAAAGAAATATTTTTTTTTAAATAAAAAAATAAAAGGAAAAGAAAAACCTGCTGTTGTCAATAACGAAGCCTGAAAGGCCACCAACTTTCTTCATCGCTCTTCTCCATTTCGAAACCTTATCCTCTCCAAACCTCTCCAAATAATTCCTGAAATCATCTTTAAAAGGACCTTCTTGCCTTCTAACATGAGAAGGGTTCACTTGGTGAAATACAGGTAGCACCCGTCTCCGCAACTCGCAAATTCTAGAAAGAGCCTCAAGGCGGCAACAAGAATTAGCATAACTTGGAGAAATAATTACGATTGAAGCGGCCGAGTCTTCAATGGCCTCTATCAAACTTAAATCGATCTCGTCTTCCTCACTAATCCCGATGTCTTCCTGGACGAACCGGACGCCGTGCTCCGTTAATGAATCGCATAGATGCTTGATTAAGCTGCGGCTCGTGTCCTTGCCGTTGAAACTCAAGAACACGTCGCAATTGAATCTCGGAGCGGCGGGATACGTCGAAGGATCGTCGTTATCATGCATTCTTGGATCGCTGCGAGTTGCACAAACAGTGGCAAGAGTTCTTGACTTCGACTTTGCTTTTGTTTGTTTATACTCAAGTCACAAGACTTTTGTTTGTTTATACTCAAGTCACAAGATCCTGTTTTGGCTGCATTACTGTTTAGGCGATAAAAAATATTTTCAAAAATTAATTTGATAATTCATTATGTAATTTTCTTACCTTCTTTCCACGAAAATTCAATTCAATCTCAATTTATTAAAATATTTGCAAAAAGAAAATTGTGGAAGTTTCTTTTTTACGGCAGACTTCTGAAAAAAAATAAAAAACGTAAAACCATAAAACTAGAATTAACGAACTCATATGCTTAATTCCAATAGTATAAAAAAGGTAAACGGACATATAAATCTCCACATTTTATTAAAAAACGCTTTGAGCAGATTAAAAGTATCATTTTATCAAGCCACAGATCAATAAGCTATGAAATAGAAAAAAGTTAAAGAGTTATAAATTCTAATATTCATTCCAAGGATCCAATAAATTTGGCCAGTTTCCATGATACAGACCGCTGAGATTCATCTAGTAACTCTTCATCATCATCATCATCATCATCATTTTCAAAAATCAAATATATTCCATACTTCTTCAATCTAACCCCATTAAAATAGGGTCTCTCTCGTACAGTTATCTGTATTCTATCACCTTCATTCAGCATAAAGACCAGCGGTTGGCACCTTCATTCAGCATAAAGACCAGCGGTTGGAACTCCAGAAACCGACACAAGTAAAGTTGATCCTCATTTGTGTTAGGAACTCCCCTTAAATTAAGTGTTTTGGTAAATATTGGGTCCTTAAGTCTGAAGATCTTTGCTTGAATGTCTACTATAGCTGGTAGCTTATCTCTAAAGTCATCCCTTGATTGTTGGTCAAGGGAAAGAACAATACCTATAATTATGCCTTTGAGGTCTAGGTTTCTAGGCGTTGAGAATCTGGGAATTTCCTGAACAAACCAATCAGGAAGTGCTCTTCCTGGAATGCTCAAATTGAACAAGCGTTTCAAAGCAACCTGCAATGAGGGAAAGACGAGAACTTAAGAAAAAGAATCACTCTCATAGTTGACTAATGGAGCTGTTTCTATCCATATACAGAGCGTTTTTGACATTGAGGTAGAATTTTTATGTTGGAAAAAACATTTGAAGCAATGTTGAGTTGTTTCAAAATTTTTATGACAGGAACACATAAAAAGTTTACCTTAAAGGGAAATTTTAATGACGTTTAATCAACAGTTTTGGAATGTTTGTTTTTTTTCAGCAATAGTCTAAACAACATGCCAAACAGACTACATCGAGAGAAGTAAAATGGCATTCATGTGCATCGTGTGTCTATGTGGAGAGAGAGAGAGAGAGAACCTTAGCAAGTCTTCGCTTGATTGCCGGAGAACATGCAATGCAGCCAGTCAAGTATAACCTCCTCAGACACTTCAAGCATTCAAGGCCTTGGATATCAATTATTCTACTGCAATTTGTTAGGTCAAGATCTTGTAAACTCACTAAGTTTTCCAGATTGCAAACACCTTCCAGTGCAGTACAATATGCAACATTTAACTTGAGCACACTTGAAGGAAGCAAAGGAAGAGACTTGAGCTGTTTGCAGTGAGACAAGCTTAGATCTTCGAGAACTGAAAGGCCTCTTAGACTAGATGGAAGACTACAGAAGTCATTGTGGCTCAGATTCAATTCTCGCAACGATGATATCTTCCCAAATTCATCTGGAATTTCACCAGAGAATTTCCAGGCACAAGCATCCAGTACTTCAATTAAGGAGAGATTTGACAATGACTCTGGAAAAAGAGAGGCGGTGTTCAGTGGTTGAGAGTGTGGACTTTTTCCCATTTTCAATATTGATAAGCTTGACAACATTCCAATTTCATCTGGCAATTCTGAGACAGAAGTTTCTTTCATCAGAAAGCACTGCAGACTTTTTAAATTTCCAATTGAGGCCGGCAGTCGTTGGAGTTGCTTGCACCCATTTAAATTTAACATGCTAAGTCTTTCCATCCCAAAATTTTCAGGTAGTTCTGTCACAGCAGTTTTCTGCATGAACAAACTACGCAAAGACTTTAAGTTTCCTATTGAGGCAGGCAGTTTCTGGAGCTCTTTACACTCATCTAATTTCAACCTTATAAGATTCTCCAACATCCCAAAAGATTCAGGCAACTCAACTATATTAGCACCAAACAAGTTTAAAGCAGTAAGACTCAACATGTTCCCAATTGCTTCTGGTAAATACCTAAGAGACATACACTTTCTCATGGAAAGGTTCTCAATCATTTTCAAAGTACCAATCTGATGTGGCAGACCCGTTATTGATGTACTATCTAACTGAAGTTCGCTAATAGAAGCTAGCCCTTCAATTGAATCAGGCAAGTTGGTCAGTGAACTACACCCTCCAGCTGATAGGACTTTCAAATAACACAGCGAACCAATTGAAGTATGTAATTCTTTGATTCCACTATTGTCAATTAGGAGTTTTGTTAGTGACTGGAGATTGCTAATAGACTCAGGAATTCTGGTAAGTGATTTACACCACATCAAACTTAGTTTCTCAAGATTCAACAAAGATCTGATGGAATCTGGTAGTTCTTCCAATGCAGATTGATTGAGAGAGAGGTCTTTCAGAGAATTCAGGTTGCCTAAGCATTTTGGCAACTGTTTTATAAACTGACAACCATTCAGATTAAGCTTCTCAAGTTTTGTAAGCTGATAAATAGATTCAGGAAGCTTTGATATAGCAGTTCCATCAGCAAGAAGCTGTTTTAAGGAGTTCATGCTGCCTATGTCATATGGCAATTCTTTCAATTTTGCACAGTCAGAGAGAATGAGGGTCTTCAGTTGTTTCAGACCAGAGAAATCACTTGGAAATTCAACAATATTTGAGCATCCTCTCAAATTCAAGTGAAGCAATGTCTTCAACTTCCCCACTGATTTGTCAATCTTAGTCAACTGACCGCAATGCTCAAGATTCAGCTTTTCCAAGGATTTACACCCAGATAAATCAGAAACAGCCACTAGACTGTAGCAACCCTGAAGATTCATCACCACCAAGTTCTCAGCCACCTGAAAACAAAAATTTCTTCTAACTTGAAAAAGAAGCAATCATATGTTCAAAAAAAAGGATAAAAAAGCACCATCAAGGGTTGAAACTTTACAAAAAGTTTCACAGTAAGGACAAAATTTTTAAATGTTATCAATTAAATGCAATTATCAGAAAAATAGAAAAGTGACGTTTCAAGAAATGCCCACTTAGTCATGGCAGAAACCACGCATCTTGTTAGCAAACACTTTATTCGTACACTCTTATGATGAACCAGGCTGGTAAAGCATACCTTGTTGCTACCCCAAACCCATACTCGTTCAATTCCACTCTCTGAGAGATCGAGAACAGTAAGTTTACGGGGGCAATAATCATAAGGGAGATATTTCAAAGGACATCCTCTCCATTGAAGCCACTTCAGCTCTGCAGGGATACATTTAAACTTCCCTTCCAATGTTGCACGATTGATTTGAAGCAGTCTCAGATTAACCATTGATTCGAAGAATTCAGTACTGAGTTTTGGTTTTGAACTTCTTGTCTTTTTGTCTCTCTCCATGTAAGAAGACACAAAGATTCTCTTTGCATATTTCTTCTTTTCACCATAACAGAGCGCAGAATCAAGATTTTGGTGTTGTTTAGGAAAGTTATTACGGAAATGTTGCATTATGCACTAAGATCCTCCACTGTTTTCTTCTTTACTGAAGTCACGGATAATTCCCTTGTACATATTTCGTTCCCTGAATAGTCATTGCAGGAAAAATATTGATAAATTAAGCGAGGAAAACATGTAAAAATAAATAAAATTAGCTTTTTTCCAATTTAATATTTAAGCAGAATTGGCCAAGGGAATAAGAACTTCAACTAAAGGTTATGTTATCAGACCCTCGCATTTTGCTTCAAAATACATAGAAGAAGCATGCCCAGTTTAAAAACACACAACATTGATTCATCATTAATGGTACATGGCACATTCTTGTTTAACCTTCCAATCCAGATTATGCTATACTATGCTGAAGAACCATCAAAACATACGCCTATTAGCTTTTAAGCATTTTGAGTAGCTTGTTTCAATTCTCCTCCAACTTTTCCTTGCTGCCTTCATTCATGAAAGAGGTAAAGTTTATGTGAATGTGGTAGCAACTTTTACTCGAGTGTTACATAGAAAACACAAAAGCATGTGCACAACTCAAAGAAATGGCAAAATATAAATATTCTTTTGGTTCTAAAAACAATCCTTCATGGGGATTTAAAAGTCGAGAAAAAATAAAAAGAAAAAGATAATAGGTAACATTTTTCACAAGTTAATCTATGATGATTTGCAACCTTCTGTCTGGCTTTCAGTACTGTCATGATTTCATTGTGATCCCAGAAGTCTACTACGCATACCAGGATCTAAAGTTCAAGTTTGAAACATTTGCCGTCCATGCATGTCTCTAAGTTGGTCATGCATCCACAATGAATAATCTTCAGTATCCTTAATGAGAGATTTTGCTGTTAGAACAGTTATTGCTGCTTCAGCATTAAAACCACAACCCTTTAATATGTCAACTGCTTCTTCTCTCTTCATTCCAATGTTAACAAAAAAACATGCAATGTCAAGGAATACGTGCTTTTCTTCTTCATCTAGACCATCGAAACTTATCCTGAGTACATCTTGAAGGTTATATGGTCGAATATGTTGCAACTTTTTCAGGGCATTTTCCCATTCTTCTATCCTCCTCATATGGAACAAATAAGAACCAAACACTTCCAAAGCCAAAGGTAGTCCTCCAGTGAGAGAGACAATTTGCTTAGACAGATCTTCATAGCCATCAATAGGTTTTTCTCTTCTTAGCGAATGATAACTAAAAAGTTGCAAGGCATTTGCAGAATCCAGCACTTTAACCTCATAAAACTCATCAACAAGATATTCAACCAAATTGCTATAGTGCTATTTTTTGCAGAAGTCCAGTCAGCTTTTATTATCTCCATAATATATCTTTTTTTTTTCTATTTCTAACAATGGATATGATTCCTAATTTTCCTTAAAAAAACTTTCTTTTGATTTCTTCTTTTTGCTGTAATTATAATTTCGATTCTTTCCACTTCCGATACCATATCTTTATTTCCTTGCAAGTTGTCGATTGAGTTTTCTTATCTCTTCTATTCAACGTAAATCTTAAATTTTATATTTACTCATTTATGCAACTTCTGCTTTCTTCTATGAAGTTCCATTTCTTGTTTGATTTTTGTTCAGGATTATCCAGAGAGCCAATTCATTTTCCTGCTAGTTTATATTCTCTATCTTTCTATTGTGTATTATTATTAATATTCATGTAATTGTATTTTTTTTTTTTGTAAGTGATTTGTGTCTATAGCGCAATCTGTGGTTCGTTTCAGAGAATTACTTCTGCTAATCGTTATATTAATGAGTAATTATTCATTGCCGGTTATTTCTAGATTAATGACTGAAGTTTATAGTTCTTATATTGTTAGTAGAACTTTGTGTAGGTATTTGTGTTATACCCGCAATCCGATCCCTGATCCTGATTTGATATTTTCTCAGAACTTTTTGATTTTTTGATTAGATTTTTATATCATTATACTTTCTCATGTCAGCGTCATTCTGCCTAATCGAAGCATGTTTATAGCATTAATTTCAACTTGCAAACGTTAAATATAGTTGCAGCCTATTTGCCCTCGTACTTTGTTTTTCTTTCTAATTTCCGTCAAAATCCCTTATCTGTATGTAACTTCTATATGATTTCATAATATCTCTTTGCTGTCTATATATATTATTTATAATTTTATATTATATTGATATCTATCTATTATATTATACTATTTAATAATTATGATGATTTTATGATTAATCAGAAAAAGATATTCGACATTAATCTTCTAGAGATTAGATTATTTTCATTGTATTTATAGGTCAAAGAACAATCATTGATCAGAAAGCTAGAATCAAGTGAGATTTGTGGACTGGAGCATGATTGCCATATTGAAAACAAATACAGAACCATGAATTTACATTAGAAGAAGATCCTGAGGCTTTGTACTTGTTGTTTTGCATTGAGCTCTAGTAAATAATGACTCGAGTTAACTTTGATTTCAATGGTAGCCTCCCTAACAAGTACAATCCATACTTCCAACTTGATATGATATAACAAAAACATAATAAATTAAAAAAAAAAAAAAAAAAAAAACGGGTTGATATCACCTACAAAATACTAAACAATTAACTTACATCAAGTGATTTCTTTTTTTATATGTGTGCGGTGTATTTATATTAAATTCAAAGATAGTATTGTACTAATCTCCGACATCTAATAATATAAAACCATTTAGAGCAGTCCTGAAAAATCAAGATAGAGACTAATCTCGACATCTTATTATAAAAACCTTAGAGCAGTCACATGGGAATGAAACTTCCACTTCAATTTAAAATTCCCCAACTAAGTATTAATTTATCCAGCCACAAAACAAAAAGCTTTTAGACAATTGCAAAATGCCATTCTTCAAGATACTGCCGCCACCTGTTAATTAATATTTCTTAAGGATCATGGTTAAGAAATTTCTATATCCAAAATTATTAAGCTTTACCTCTTTCTGACAACTGAACTAACATAAAATGAATAAAGAAATATTTTTTTAAATAAAAAAATAAAAGGAAAAGAAAAACCTGCTATTGTCAATAACGAAGCCTGAAAGGCCACCAACTTTCTTCATCGCTCTTCTCCATTTCGAAACCTTATCCTCTCCAAACCTCTCCAAATAATTCCTGAAATCATCTTCAAAAGGACCTTCTTGCCTTCTAACATGAGAAGGGTTCACTCGGTGAAATACAGGTAGCACCCGTCTCCGCAACTCGCAGATTCTAGAAAGAGCCTCAAGGCGGCAACAAGAATTAGCATAACTTGGAGAAATAATTACGATTGAAGCGGCCGAGTCTTCAATGGCCTCTCTCAAACTTAAATCGATCTCGCCTCCGTCACTAATCCCGATGTCTTCCAGGACGAACCGGACGCCGTGCTCCGTTAATGAATCGCATAGATGCTTGATTAAGCTGCGGCTCGTGTCCTTGCCGTTGAAACTCAAGAACACGTCGCAATTGAATCTCGGAGCCGCGGGATACGTCGAAGGAACGTCGTTATCATGCATTCTTGGATCGCTGCGAGTTGCACAAACAGTGGCAAGAGTTCTTGACTTCGACTTTACTTTTGTTTGTTTATACTCAAGTCACAAGATTCTGTTTTGGCTGAATTACTGTTTAGTCGATAAAAAATATTTTCAAAAATTAATTTGATAATTCATTATGTAATTTTCTTACCTTCTTTCTACGAAAATTCAATTCAATCTCAATTTATTAAAATATTTGCAAAAGAAAATTGTGGAAGTTTCTTTTTTATGGCAGACTTCTGACAAAAAAAAAAAAAACACATAAAACCGTAAAACTAGAATTAACTAACTCATATGCTTAATTCCAATAGTAAAAAAAAAAGTAAACGGACAGATAAATCTCCACATTTTATTACAAAACGCTTTGAGCAGATTAAAAGTATCATTTTATCAAGCCACAGATCGATAAGCTATGAAATAGAAAAAAGTTAAAAGAGTTATAAATTCTAATATTCATTCCAAGGATCCAATAAATTTGGCCAGTTTCCATGATACAGACCGCTGAGATTCATCTAGTAACTCTTCATCTTCATCATCATTTTCAAAAATCAAATATATTCCATACTTCTTCAATCTAACCCCATTAAAATAGGGTCTCTCTCGTACAGTTGTCTGTATTCTATCTCCTTCATTCAGCATAAAGACCAGCGGTTGGAATTAGGGTCTCTCTCGCTACCATTAAAATAGGGTCTCTCTCGTACAGTTGTCTGTATTCTATCTCCTTCATTCAGCATAAAGACCAGCGGTTGGAAGTCCAGAAACCGACACAAGTAAAGTTGATCCTCATTTGTGTTAGGAACTCCCCTTAAATTAAGTGTTTTGGTAAATATTGGGTCCTTAAGTCTGAAGATCTTTGCTTGAATGTCTACTATAGCTGGTAGCTTATCTCTAAAGTCATCCCTTGATTGTTGGTCAAGGGAAAGAACAATACCTATAATTATGCCTTTGAGGTCTAGGTTTCTAGGGGTTGAGAATCTGGGAATTTCCTGAACAAACCAATCAGGTAGTGCTCTTGCTGGAATGCTCAAATTGAACAAGCGTTTCAAAGCAACCTGCAATGAGGGAAAGACGAGAACTTTAGAAGAAAAACCACTCTCAGACACTTCAAGCATTCAAGGCCTTGGATATCAATTATTTTACTGCAATTTGTTAGGTCAAGATCTTGTAAACTCGCTAGGTTTTCCAGATTGCAAACAGCTTCCAGTGCAGTACAATGTGCAACATTTAAATTGAGCAAACTTGAAGGAAGCAAAGGAAGAGACTTGAGCTGTTTGCAGTGAGACAAGCTTAGATCTTCGAGAACTGAAAGGCCTCTTAGACTAGATGGAAGGCTACAGAAGTCATTGTGGCTCAGATTCAATTCTCGCAACGATGATATCTTCCCAAATTCATCTGGAATTTCACCAGAGAATTTCCAGGCACAAGCATCCAGTACTTCAATTAAGGAGAGATTTGACAATTACTCTGGAAAAAGAGAGGCAGTGTTCTGTGGTTGAGAGTGTGGACTTTTTCCCATTTTCAATATTGATAAGCTTGACAACATTCCAATTTCAGCTGGCAATTCTGAGACAGAAGTTTCTTTCATCAGAAAGTACCGCAGACTTTTTAAATTTCCAATTGAGGCCGGCAGTCGTTGGAGTTGCTTGCACCCATTTAAATTTAACATGCTAAGTCTTTCCGACGTTCCTATGGACTCTGGCAACTCTGTAATCATCACATCATTCAAGACCAAAGTAGTTATGCTCCACATCTTCCCAATTGATTCTGGTTAGGACTCTGGCAACTCTGTTAATGCAGACTTTTTAAATTTCCAATTGAGGCCGGCAGTCGTTGGAGTTGCTTGCACCCATTTAAATTTAACATGCTAAGTCTTTCCGACGTTCCTATGGACTCTGGCAACTCTGTAATCATCACATCATTCAAGACCAAAGTAGTTATGCTCCACATCTTCCCAATTGATTCTGGTTAAAATTTAACCGATGCACAGTTTCCCATGTAAAGCTTCTGAAGCATGCTCAGGGCTCCAACCTCATCTGGTATTTCTGTCAGAAATGTGTTTTCTAACCGCAGTTCAACCAGGGATGCTAAACCTCCAATTGAATCGGGCAATTTGGTTAGAGATTGACAATAACCAAAGGACAATCTCTTCAAACGAGATAATAAACCAACTGAAGTTGGCAATTCTTTAATAGAACTACCATCAAGGAGGAGTTCAATTAATGATTTAAGGTTGCTGATAGAATCAGGAAGTGCATTAAGCGATTTACACCTCATGAGATTCAGTTTTCCAAGGGATGGCAGTGATCCTGAATTAGGTATTTCTTCCACTCCTGAACCAGCAAAAGAAAGTTCTTCTAGTGAACTTAGTTTCCCTATGTGTACAGGAACATGTTTCAATAGCCGACACTGTTGTAGGCTGAACCTTTTAAGTTTTTTTGGGTGGAATATGGAATCAGGTAGTGTAACTATTGTGGTCTCGTCAATAAGAAGCTCCCTTAAACATTGCATGCTTCTCATATCTGGTAATTCTTTTATGTTCGAGTAACCAGAGAGATTAAGTATCTCAAGATGCTTTAATCCAGAGACATCACTTGGAAATTTAGCAAGGCTTGAACAGTCTTTCAGGTTCAAAGGAATAAGGTTCTTCAAGTCACAAACTGAATTGTGGATCTGAAGCAGTCCCTTGCAATTCTGAAGAATCAGTTTCTCCAAGGCAGGATGAAAAGATAAGCCAGAAAGATAAGCCAGATTATATCAATCTTGCAGATTTATAAACAACAACTTCTCTGCTCCCTGTCCACCAAAAATATCAGAAGCCCTCGTATATGAGACAAAGCTAAAAGGAAATTACACATGCACATAGACAGAGCTCCTTAATTCTGCAAGAAGCCAAACAGTGGTTATTTGAACTGAAATTCGTAGACATTGTTCTATCATTTCAAAACTCAAAGGGATCAAAGTCAGATATTTATAAGCCTAAATAGATTAGCAACTTATGCTCAGTGATTATTGTATATGCGATAATATAAGTCGAGCGCGGTAATGGAGACCTTGTGGCTTGCGAAGGTAACTCGATCTGGCATTCCTATGAGTGATAAGGTCTTCCTTTTGACCCATGGAAGCACTATGACCAATTTTCACATGGTTTCCCAGTTTCTATCATAAACTAAATAATCATGTGTAGAAAAACAAAATACTTTTGGAATTAGAAGTCTGTGCTTCATTGACCAGATGATTCCACAAACCACTAACTTACAAGAACAAAGTGGATTATTAATAGATGAGTTTGTTATTAACTCAAATACATAGTTAAAATATAAGGATAGAGATGTACCTTGTTACTAGCATGCAAATTGCCCCTGCATTGTTCCCACAATTTTCTAATTTTGCCTTCTGGGAGATCAAGGACAGCAAGATGAAGCATGCAAAAATCAGAAGGAAGATTTCTCAAATAGCATTTTTTCCATTGTAGAAACTTCAATTCAGCAGGCATATGTTTGAAACTACCATCCAATTCCACGTCATTGAGTTGAAGAAGCCTTAGATTAACCATTTTTTCAAATGACTTCGTGCGGACCGTTACATATTTGTCATTTGCAACTCCAGGATGAAATTGATGTTTACAGATTAAAGAAGTAAAAATAGGCCTCCTTTTAACTTTCGTGTGATGTGTACCTTGAGTTCTGAGATTTTTTCTAACATCAAGAGCAATCAATACCTTGAATACTTCTTGTTCCCTAAGGCCAGTTACATAAGAAAAATTTGGAAAATAAGGCGTAAAGGAAGCATAAAAAGCGTGACAATTCAAATGATATCGACTGCTGCAAAATTCATGGGTTACAACAAGCATGCTACAATAAAAATTTAGTCAACTTCACATCAGGCACTAGTAGCAACTTAAACTGAAACATTTTGGTAATTTTGAAGTGCTAAATGATTTAGGATGGTCAATCTCAATCAGGAATGCCTTGTCAAACAGAGTTGTTTTTGGTGAAAATTTTTCTGATAAGAAGTTTAAGAACAGGTTACATCATGAGAAAATTACCTTCATATTTTCTCTAACCAATCGTAATACTCAAAGGATTGTGAGGAAAATATGATTGAGAACAGTCACTGTCCAATTTGACGAAACTTTCTTGAGTATTTGAATTGCTCAAAAGAAAGAAAGAAGGGAGGGGGAAAAAAGGAGGAGAAAAAGAAAAGAAAGAGAACATATATCAGTTGAATAACAGTTTCATCATGCTAAAGGCCAAAGTATATAGTGTAAATCATACCTTTTTATTCTTTAATACATTGATAATAACAACATAATCCCAAAGCCTAGTGCGCATACCAGGATCAGAACTTTCTCGCTTGACAATTTGCCTGCCCATGTCCCTGAGTTGATCATGTATCCAAATGATATCATCATCTACAGTTTTGATCAGAGATTTGACTACAAGTTCTCTGATCAATGTCTCAGCACTAAATCCATGGCCTCTCAATATGTAAACCATATCTTCTTTCTTCATCCTCATACTAACAAAAAGACATGCAATATCAAGGAATACACACTTCTGTTGGTCGTCTAGATCATTAAAACTTATCTCTAACACATATTGTACTTGACCTTGAGGAATTTGTTTCAGCTTTCCCAATGCATCATTCCATAGCTTTATTGACCTTTTGTCAAAGAAAAAAGAACCAAAAACTTCCAAAGCCAAAGGCAATTGTCCTGCTAGAGAGATATCTGCAAACTCGGATAAGGGTCTCTCTCTTCCAAATGCATGAAAACTAAACAACTGAAGTGCCTCGTGAAAATTTAACCCATTCATCTCATAAACGACATCCCCAATGCTTTGAGGTATGACTTGTTTATCTCTTGTGGTGACAATGATTCGACTTCCGTCATAAAACCAGTGTCTTTTGCCAGCTAAGGCATCAATTTGTGTTGTATCATCAATATCATCCAGAACTATCAGAACCGGTTCTTCGTGAAGCACCTCTCTCAATGCTAAAATGCTTCCCCTAGCTTGTGGTGCTGCACCAAGCGAAAGATCATTAATAATCCTGTTTTGAAGAAGTGCTAAACCATCCTTTTGTTTCAAGTTTTCTCTGACATCTGAAATGAAGCTACGGCGTTTGAAATTGACAATAAGTTTGTTATAGAGTGCCTTTACAATGGTGGTTTTACCAGCTCCACCCATTCCACAAATTCCCAAAACTTTAACACCATTGGCCTTAACATCCAGCATCCTCAGCGATTCTTGAATATGAGAATCAAGTCCAACAGGGTATTTAGCTACTCCAAGCGGAGCATTAGTTAATTTGGTCAAGACCTTCTTCACTAAAGATTGAATTAACTCTTGTTTTTCCCTGCAAAAAGAACATGACAAAGTCTAAATGACATAGAGTTCCAACCTGACAGCAGAGGTCAAATTATTATAACCATTAACCTTCATATAGCCAGAAAGAAACATCATATTCAACTCCCTGAAAATAAACTGTCATATAAGGCAAGCAATTGCAATTGCAGAGAACGAGGAGAAGCAATAATCAATTATGCTGTTAATTTGTTTCATTTGACTCTAATAAACAATGTGATACAAATAAGAAAAAAGCGGTTCCAATCCTCTTGCTTGCTTAAAAATTTATTTTAAGAACTAAACAAATATAAAAGACAAACTTACTTTGAAATAATAATAAAAACAAATAAAGAAGAATTTTTACCAATGGCGAGAATCCCAGCCAGAGATCCCACCAGCCTTATCCATGGCCTTCCTCCACCGACCAACTTTCTCTACTTCAAACCTCTCCTCCAGTCGCCTGAAATGCTCCTCGAATGGTCCACTTTGCCTTCTTACATGGATGGGTCAACTCGGTAAAACAGAGGAAGCAATAATCGTTTGCACTCAAGAATCCTGGCAAGCTCCTCACACCACCTTGAATCCGCATATCTTTCTGAGATAACTGCAATGCTGCCGCAGAGTCCTCTATAGCGTCAAGTAAGCTAGGAGCGATCTCCTCTCCTCTCTGCAACTCCTCATCGTCACGAAAAGTGCGGACTCCATGCTTTAAGAGCTCCCTGTAAAGCTCCTCCGTGAAGGTGTGACGGGTATCTTCGGCTCTGAAGCTCAAAAATACATCCACCGGAATCGAAACGAAGGAATTGAAGTTGAATCTTCATTATCGCCATAGTTGTCCATTAGGAGAAAGAACAGGGGATTCCTGCTTCCGTACTAGCGAGTAGTTTAATAGACAAGAACGGAATGCAAGATCTGCCTTTGCTGACCATTGGTGAAGCGAGTGTAGTCCTTAACAGCAAAGCAAAGTGGGACTCGTTACTTATTACACAGTTTAATAATGGTGATTTTTACCGTCCGTACATAGTGGAGGTGGGCCTTTGATCATTTTGCACTTGGACTTGGCCATGCAAGGACCATGGTTGATGACGACGAGAAGGATCCGCTAAACGACATATAGTCGAACGTCCTATCAGCAAAAATGTCGAAAAGAGCAAGGGCATTAAATAAACGGCAATATACTCTTACATCGTTTTATTTTGAAAACATGCAATTTTATTATGAACGAATTTCCACAGTCTCTCATTCAAATTTCATCCCTTCAACGGGTCGGGACGACGACGGAGCTAGGGAAGCCTTTTCTTCAAGTTATTTTTCATTGATACTTTCACAGTCGTTTTATTCATATTTGATTTTATTTAGGTTCACTTGCCAAATTCTGTGAAGGCAATTATTTATTTATCATTTTAGTATTACAGTTTCATAAAAAATTAAAATAATAAAAAAAAATTTGACAGAGGGAATTAATCCTCAGAGAAAAAAGACAGGTGATTAACCAGTGGATTAAGAATAAGAAAACTTTAGAACACTGGAATAAAGAGACAATAAAGCCTGTATTTATATGATTGGATATACATTATTTTGTAAGCTATAGCCAGTAATCAACGAGAGTTATACACAGAGTAGACCTATAATTTCCAATTAATTAAAAAATCCTGTGGGATTATAAATCAGTCTGAATGCTTCATTCTCATAAGAAAATAGCTTCCAGTAAAGATATGAAGCAAATGTGAAGCAGAACCTCCAGATATATGTGCGGCGGAATAGAAAGAAAGAGCTTCATTTAGTTGCACATTCCAAGGCAGCTGGGCTAATGGGGATGAAACCAGCAGGGGAGACAAAAGCATCTACTGGAACGTCATAGGGAGTAACAGGTATGACTCCTTTTTCCATGATCTGCAGGGAATATGACAGTGCAACTGCATCCGGAAACAGAAGCAAACATTTAGACAACAATTACATATTCCAACAGAAAGTTTGATGATTTATGTCCTTCTGAATGCATTATTACTGTTGGGTAACAGGCGAAAAACAAACGAAAGTTACTTACCAAGAAGGGGTTGTTTCCATTTCCGCTCTTTTGCAAGTTCTTGGTACTTCTTCAGGAATAAATCATAGTAACTACAGGATTTTTCTAAGTGTCAATTTAAGAATGTCCAGTATATGCTAATAACATAAAAGAATATGACTGGAGATGCAATGGAATTGGCACACAGGCAGCCACGCTGCTGTGTCCAAATTACAGGATTACGTTTCAATACCAAACATCTATACCGTGGCAATCAAATCTAAGTATCATTAGAAAAATATGAAATAAGCTCTTATGACCCTATGGTAAATGTTCCTTTGTAAACTGATTCTTATTCTTGTAAAATATCCCCATAAATAGAGGCCTCACTATTTCTCTCTTATTTGATTCAGGCAGAATAGTAACATTCTTACCATAGAAATGTGAGAAATGCCACCATATAGAAAGTAAAGATTTCCAAAACCTATAATGACTTGTGAAAATGAAAGTAAGAAGCATTAACCCACCCCCCACTACGGCCCAAACGTCCTCCAGATCTATCAAATGCAAGACCTGGACGAAGAAAAATAAAGTAAGCTAGTAGAAAGAAAGAAAGAAGGAAAGAAAAGACAGTGAGTTATAGTGTTGCTGAACCCTTGACAAAGATAGATGATAAATAGAATTTACCAGGTACGATGACCAAGTCAACTGGTTCACTTGCTTGCATAACTGCATCAAATATGCCCTATGGATAACTAATGGCCTTTACCAACCAAATGAAAAATGAATCGCCAAGTATTTTCAATATCATCATTATTTGTGCATTGTAAAACTAAAAGAAAATATGAATCATATACCATCTTCGCGTTCATTTCCCTCAGAATCTACCAAGGCAGGTTCCGGACTGTTAATCGAATTTTCGATCAGATCATGAACGCCGGATATCTTGAGCATTCTCATATTGCTATTCTTGTCTTCCACACGGGGAACATATAGCTTTTTCCTGCTCTGAGTATCATCCACTTGGGTTGAAATTGAACTGTAAGAATCTCCATATAATCTAAATAGATACAGATCAATCATGAAACCTGAAGAATGCTAAAGCTAACACATAGTGATCTTTACATGATTTATCAACAGTGATCAAGAAAGAACAATTCTCACAAAATTGATGCTCAAAGTGTAGACAAGCTGTTAACAAACTTGACATGAAAGGTTCCATCTTGTAGTTCTTTATAATTAATTCTCATGACCGTTTATGCTAGCATACCATATATGGATTAAGTAATAAGTTTCAACGAATTAAAAATTAACAGATTTTCAGTCTCTCTCACTCTTCAGATTGGCACAAAAGACCAAGCAAATTACATGTATCAATATGCCGGTAAATCATGGTTGGTTTAAGAAATCTTCCCGGAAGTTAATTGCTAATGCTGAAATAAATTACGAGATGATGCAACATTGCAAGAGTGAAAAACGGAAGGGGAAAAAAAAACATAACTTACGATGTCCTGAATTAGATAAAGCTTCGGACACAATTCTCGATGTATCGACTTCCCGTAGAGAACCGCAGCTTATATAGGCACATAAACTCTTGCTCGCTTTGAACCATGGAGCTTCCACTACAGTGCTCTGAATTGCATTATCTAGAAATTCAAAAAGAAAAAATCAAATGAAATTATAGAAATGCGGTAGCAATTTTCAATCAGAAAAATAAACAAACACTTATTGCAATGGCAGACCTTCTTCAGAACGCTTAATTGGATCCATGTTCTTGAGCTGTTTGCGTATTTTGGATCTAAGCAAGTGCTTTCGTTGAAATATAGCCTCAATATCGTGAGAATCAGCGGCGTCTTTGTTCATGGTGACGGTGGTACGCAGTGCAGCCGAGAAAGGCGAGAGAGTTGCAGCGAATGATGGTATCGTGCGCGGGTGGGTGATAAGAGGCAGCTGCTTTGCCTTGTTGATTAGGCTAAATGCAATGTTTTTAGCGGGAGGAAACATGTTCTTCAGTTCGCAGTGTAGATAGATATCGACGGTTCTCATTGGCTGGTGAGTTGGTCGTCGGTGACCGTTTCTTCTATAATCTGCGTTTTGCCCGATAAAGTTTTTTTTATGTAAATTCAGTCCACATGTTCAGCCGTTGATTAATCAAAAACGCACCGTATCAACGTTTTTTTATTTCTGTAATTTAATATAATATTTATAATATTAAAAACTAATTGAAATATTAAAATTTATAATTTATAAGATAAAAGAAGGTTATAAAAATTTTATATTTTAAAAAATTATGTATTAAATATAAAAAATACATAAAAATAATAAATTGAGATATTAGTTGATAACCACTAGCAGTGATCAATAATGATAAATACTCGTAATCAATGGATTAATATAAAAGCGTGTTTACCGTGTTATAATAAATTCACCAATAGTTGAATTTTTTTTGTTAAATGAGAAGCTATTTTCATTTAAAATGAAACTCTCTTTAATCAGAAAAAAAATTTCAGATAAATAATTTTTTAAGATTAATAAATGAAATCTACATACGTTTGGTACACGAATATAAATTTTCAAAAAATTAAGGAATGTGATGAATATGTTAAAAAAGAAAAGAATAAATTTATACCAAACTCAAACTCGAATAAGAATAAAAAATATGTGTTGAGCTAAGCAATTTTCTAGAAAAAACATGAACAAATCCTGAGAATGTTAGACTGAAGAGTGAAAAACCCAATAATTTCTATTCCTATGTTGACTATGTGCAAACATACTCTCTTTTTTTACGATGGAGGAGTAGATATTATGAATTTTTTAAATTTATAAATGTACTATATTATTATTCATCATGTTAACGAATCGAAATCAAAATTATAAAATTCTACTTCATTCAATCCATCATTTTCTTTATAAATAAATATATTTAATTAAGCATATTTATTTATGTTAATTAATAATGGTTGGCATCAAAATATATAACCAACACAAAAAAAAAAAAAAAAAAAATATTTATTATGTAATATAAATTTGTAATAAAAATAATACAAAAAAAAACAAAAAAAAAAAACGTGTTGTGCTCTGATTGCGGCGGATGCACGTTAGGAAAAGAGTCAAAAAAAAAAAAAAAAAAAAAAACGTGTTGTGCCTGATTGCGGCGGATGCACGTTAGGAAAAGAGGTCAATTAACTCTTTTTTTTCATAAATTTTCTTTAAATATTTATGGATTTCTTTTTAAAATTGACCCCTCATAAAATTAGAAATTAAATTCTTTTTATAATATTTTATTATATATCGATTTTGGAAAATTATTTTCTAGAGCCGCCGCCACTGAATGTGCCTTTAAAATGACCCCACAAGCAATCTTCTATGCATACATATATGCTTTATTCATTTATTTTGAGGTCTAATTAGAGGAGCAATGAAGCATAATTCAACTCTCATGCTTTTGCTTTTCTATTGGTTTGTATGGCATAGAATAACCATCTCCTTACGTGTGCCTTCTGTCTCTAATCACATCGAATTTGTGGGAACATTTCACTAATCTGTCTTGTACGAATCCATATATAAAATTTTACAAGATTAATAATATATTCAATATATATAATTGTGCATGAGATTTTAGAGTTGCTAAGGTGCCTTTAAGTAGTGTGAAATGTTGGAGCATTGTTTAGTTTGTGGAAGTCAGAATCTACCCTTTTCATTATATTTAGATGGGAGAAGAATCGTGGGTAAATTAATAGTCACAGAATCAACTATTGAAATACTATATTACGACCACTATTGAGTGTTTTTTCTTTATGGGTTTGATCCAGTGCAAGCAGAATATTAGATTTAGCTCGACTGAAAAAATCTGTAATATAAATTTTCAAAAAAAAAAATAGTCGGATTAAATCGGATTGCGTGGTTAAAGAAAGGAGAGTAAGAATAAGAGAGAAATTCCTTTGTTGCAATGATGATCACAGCTCCTGTGATGGTAGTTTTGTTATCTTAGACAGTGATTCTTGCTACATTAAAATCAAATCCCTAAAGATATGGAAATTGAACTGCCTGTGATGGTTGCCAACTGGATTAATTATTTTGTACTATTGAAGCCACATATTGGATCAGATGGATTTTATTCCACTGAAACTTTCTAAGGAAGCTTCAAATCAAAGAGTCACTAGAATCTTGTATCTAATAATTCAAAAGAGAAGATATTGCAGGGGAAAAATACAAACAACTATCTATCTTGTCATTTTAGGTCAATGAAAATTTTCTGGTATTTATCCTTTGCAATTCATTACAAATACTTGTCCATAATAGTACATTTTTGGTCCGTATGATATGGTAATTTTAATTAATACAAATAGATAGATAGATATATAGGTACCTTGAATAAGAAGCTAGGTCTTAAGTAGAAAGTAGCATTGGATTCTTCATTCCAATATACAAACTTTTCTTTTATATATATATATATATATGTTTGTTTGTACAGTGAGATTCAAATGGTATGGATAAGACAAGATGTGCCATATGCTTTAGCCTTATGGAGTAACATTAATTGCAATATATTCCCTTATGATCATCAAACCAGTAAGTACTTCTCCAAAAAGAACCACTTCTGTCTATATCTATATATATACATACATCCTCCAGTAGTCTATTCTAAGAGCATGATATATAAATATTATTCATCTTCATCTTATTAATTGTCTACTTAATATTTATTTATATTCCCTTATTAGGTGTAAGTGCCAACTAAGAGCGGTTCAAGTGACTATGGCATATATACGTGGACCATGCCGGCCGGAATTGCATCTAGAAGTTACTAAGGATTGACGTGGACGTCGTCATTTATATATATACACTGTATAAATCTGTATTATCCTTGTAATTGCACGTTTTTAAATTAGTAATTATTATTAATTATAGTTAATTGTTATTTTTAACCTACCTAGTATACGTCTCCATCCCAGTCAACTACTTTTCTCATCCATTATTTTAGTTAGCCGTTAACTTAATATCAGTATATATGGATTTAACTGTCTCTAGCAATGTGAGTTTCTGACAATTAAGTTCTAACCTTGTAAGCCATATTTACTTTTTTTTTTTTTTTAAGAAGAATTATGTAAGGTATGAATATAATTAATAGTAGACAACTTCTAAAAATTTTATGTAGTCCTGATTCTAATAAAAGGAAAGACCTTTGCCTCTCTCAATCATTAGAGAGACTTCCTTGTTCTTACTATACTCTAATTCCAAGACAGAATCTGCAGTTTACGTCGTCGTTTAGGCCCCAGCAATGATGGACATTGGTCTAAGGCACGCATGCCCAAAAGGTCAAACCTCTCCACTTAGCTTATCAATCCATCACGCCTAAAATTTGTTCATCCTTAAATTAAGACATCATATACTTATATTGGTATTTAAAAAAGAAAAGAAAAGAAAAGAAAAAGGCTGAATGAATATACTTTAAAAGAAAAAAAAGGGAAATTAAATTGAGTCAGCAATTGTAGCGTGGCAGACATATATAGATCTCCATTGACTTTAAGGTGGGTTTCTAACCAATTGATTTGTTTACCAAAATTTTTATTGATTGCCTTCGCCTTCTGAATTGAAATGTGGAAAATAGGATTGTTCTGTCGCACCAAAAGTGTGCTTATAATTGGATACCATGGCTTACTTGGAATTCCATCTTCTCCCAGAGAGAGAGACTTGGTTTTTTGTCAATACATAATATGGTTCATCTCTTCGCTATACAAAGAGCAAAATAAAATAATATATATATATATATATAATTGATATTATCTTTTCATTCAATGAATTTATTAGATTAACTATATAAAATAAGAATTTTTTTTTTCATTAGCCAGAAAATTTGGCTTGCAAATTTTGATAAGTGGCTTACTAGTTCAATTATGACAAATAAATTTATTTTTTGGATGCATAACAAATAAGTTAAGAGTCTAATGACTTATAGACGAGGTAAAACAAACTATTCCTCGATATATACAATAGAATTGCTAAATCAAAAGCAAAAAGAAAAAGAAAATATGATAAGTGCATTAAAGAATAATCTATTGATAAGTGTACGTATGATTTAGCAATAGATCTGAGTTTTACAGATAAGTACAAAGAGAAAGTAAGCCAAGCTACATGGATCCCTTACCTATGGGAGGATAATTCCTTCCACTGTATACTACGCCCCTTATAGTATCTAAATCATGTATTACTATGGTTTCGTAATAATTTTTCATTTCCTTCACCCAAATTGTACGTAAGGGATATGTTACCCTAGTCGTATATGTGTCTATACCTGCATGAAAATACACACACCAAAATGAAAAAAAAAAAAAAAAAAAAAAAAAAAAAAAAAAAATGCTTATTTGAGTGGTGTTCTCCGTAATAATATTGTCTCTATTTCCTTCACTCCGGGCCAAAACAAACCCACGTTCGAGAGAGGGATATTATATTGATATATCCGGTACTACTAAGTCGTATATTGTGTCTATACCTGCAATGAAAATACCACACAAAATGAAAAAAAAAAAAAAAAAAAAAAAAAAAAAAAAAAAAAAAAAGAAAAAAAAAAGATAGAAAAGAACGAAAGAGAGACTGTATTGGGACCTTATAATGTTCAGTATAAAGCAAAGGAAAGAGTGGTTCCCTCCTTGTCACGTTCGAAAACCAGCTAAGCTCTCTCTCTCTCCTCTCTGCGTTCGAGAAAGTGCAACAGAATCGCTCCTACCTATAAAGAATACCAAACCCTTCTCTCCAACCCTTCAAGTGTAAAAAAACAAAAATAAAGAAAAAAAAAACAATTCTTGCCTTAGACCAATCTTTCTTGATTTTACCCTTCCTTCTTTCTTGATCTTTTATATATATATCCATACCAAACACAATCTTGGTGTTTTTTTCTGTTTATTTTATTTTATTTCTATATATATATATATTCATATTTCTGTAACCATAAGTACAAACGAGGGCATCTTCCTCTGTTATTGTTCATTAAAAAATATAGGGATAAAGGGCAAAATATGGTTATTAGTAGTGGTTTTATGCTGTTTAAGTTGCTATTTGTAGTAATTGCTACTCTGGGGTTCTTATGGCTTCTGTTAGTTGCAACTCTTGAAGCTCATGAAGCTAACAGAACGACAACTAGTGCTGCAAATTTCATCAAACATGATAAGGTGGAGTTAGGAAGAGAAAAGCTTATTTATGACCCGGAATTGGATTTCAATTACATGATGAGCAAGAGAAAAGTCCCTAACGGTCCTGATCCCATTCATAACAGGTACAGGTTCATATTCTATTGTGATTTAGAGTTCATCCATAAGTTTAAATTATTGAAACAATCTCTTAGGAGGAAGTTAAAAGATCATAATGTGAGAAGTTTCATGCATCGAAATTATTTTTTAAATGATATTTCTGATAATTATTTTTTTCATATCTTGTGCATGCTAAAAATTATACAAACCCCAAGTCTATATTCACACGTGACGGCATAGCCTTTAGCGGTAAATACATATTCAACATGACAATAGAATCAGGTTTAAATCTCTATTTTTTATTATTCAAAAAAATATATATATCCAAGTTTTAATTTTTTGAAGGGCCTAAATAAAAATTATAATAGATAATATATTTCTATATTTTTACGTGCTATGTTAATTATTCCCTCTACATGTAGGTCTCCTGAGTTTTAAGTTTAACTTTTAAGACCCATCTATTAACTTTAACTAATAGTAACACTAACATGGTCTTTACAGTCAATTCTATTTTTAAAATAATAAAAGTCTACTAAAAGAGAAGAGAATTCTATTTTTTAAAAAATAAAAAATATATCCTACTAATTACAATTTTTTTTTGAACGTTATCAGTTTTGTGTTCTTTTATTATTATTATTATAGTAAACCAAAATTATATATTACTCAAATCGAAATAAAAAATAAAATACATACACTTCATTCCATTTTATCAGACATAAAAATAATAGTATTTGCATTAATGGTATGAGCTGTCTCGCTTAATTTAACTGTTACATTGAATCCTTATTCAGAAACTTCTCTATTTATCTTGGATTACGGTAATATAAAGGTAGATATGTGTCTTAATCCCCACTTAATTAACATTTACTAAAGAAAAGCCAAATAAAGTATGTCCCTTTCACTTTATTCCATCCGTCACTCTTAAACATGTTTATTCAAAGCTAAGTAACATTCCTTTCAAAAAAAAAAAAAAATAGTTGCACTTGCTTAATGGTATGACTTGTCTCGTTTAATCGGTGTGATAACTGTAACTAAAGTTGGAAAATCCTTATTCAGAAACGTTCTCTGAGAGTTATCTCCTGGAATTTAGTGCCACGTAATATAAAAGGTAGATAATGTGTCTTAATCTCCACATCTTAATTAATCCATTCTTGTTGTAGCTTCTTAAAAGAGAAGGCAGTAGCCAATATAGAGACAAGCATTTGTCCCCCTAGTGTTCAACTGTTCTTATTCCAAGTCTCTCGTTTCCACTCTTAAAATGTTACTCGTCAAAGCTAAGTAACATTCTTTCAAAAAAAAAAAAAAAAAGCTATAGTAAATATTTCTCCTTTGTTAGTTTCTTTTTTCCACTCATTATGAACAATGTCACACGATGCGCCTTTCCTTAAGCGAGGGCCACTCTTGTCATTTCCACCGGTCAGGCCTGTTTCTTATTATAGTGCGGTCAGTGTGTTTTCTTGTTTCTTCGTTTTTTTACTTTTAAAAAAAAAAAAAAGCTAAGTAAAATTTCTTTTTTTTTTTCCTTTACATTTACGATGCCTTTAACCTTTTCACGGTGCCTTTCTTTTCTCCTTTCCTTTTTTCTTTTTTTACTTTTCCTTTATGTATTATTACTAGCCATAAGCCAATATATATATATATATATATATAAAATTCACAGAGAGAAATATTAAATTAACCCCAAATTATATAACTATATCAATTGAGGGAAGTTGAAAAGGCATATGATATAAGAATCATATTTTGATAAGAAGGTTTGAGATCTAAATCTTGATAATACCCGAATCCCTTTTTATCATTAGATAAATTAAATTTTGAAATACCAACTTCAATTATTTAAAGAAATCCATTTATGGTGTCTGTTTTTCAGGAGGGCTGGGAACTCAAAACGACCACCTGGCAGAGTTTAGAAATGGTATAAAGAAAGAACTCCAAAGTGCAGGAGAACATGAATAGAACGAGATGAGACAAGATGCTTTCCGTCTTGTATATGTATTCTTTAGACCAAATGGAACTCTAAGTGCTCCTCAAAAATTGTTTGAGAATCCAAAAAAAAAAAAAATGTTATATGGGGGAGGTTTTGGAGTTACAAAGACGGGAGAAGTTTAGTAATTGAACACAAAACCTAGCTACACACCTCAAAAAGAATCTGAGAAAATATTAGACGGTCTTTGCAAAAAAAAACTATATATATGCAGTTTAGTGTCTAACATGTTTTTGTTTGTTTAATCTTCTAAGTGTGAGAGAGAAGGGAAAGAGATAGCCAGATTAGTGGAATATGTAAGCTTTGCTTTGCTTTATGATGATTACCCAATAAGAAATATAAATATAAAGACAGAACATGCATAGAACAAAACCCTAAATATGCTCTATCTATTTCATATATGTGTAAGAAAAGGACATGTACCAATCTTTATCTATCAATCAATCATCTTTTGGCTGGCTTGGCTTTGTTTGGGTTTATTCTTTCATTAATCAATTGATCTTTTTAATTATTTGGTTTAAGTTCTTGTGTTGTATGTTTTTTTTTTTTTTTTTTTTTTATGAACAAATAGAGAGATATAGTAAAGTATGCAAGAGATAGAGCATGCTATATGAAACGAAAGTATAGGCGAGAATATGAGGCTCTTAGTATCTAATTGTCGAGAGTAGTTATGATAGGTATTTAGAGAAACAGGAACACTTTGAGCTACCCCAATAATTGTTGATATCTGAGTCGAATCATGGTGTCAGATCCTTCAATAGAGCATGAACGCTATGATTGTTTTGGGTTATGAGTTCTTCATGTAATTACAGATCTATGTATAGGTACGTTTTTAGATTTTGTAAGGTGGTTTAAAGTATCTCGATGCTATCGCTCTAGGATAGTTTTATTTTTTTTTTTTTTTTTTTGAAAGAGGACCAAGGAAGCAATGAGCTATCCAAAAACTTGAGAGAGAGTGAGATGTATCACAACCATAGAATTAGAGTGGGGCCAAAATAGAGATCGTGTGCTATATGCTTGGAGTGTCGGTCGTGATTCTCATCTCTCAAGATTTCTTTTGGCTACTGTTTTTGGTCTTGTCCCTATCAATCCATTATAATACTTGTAGTTAAGAGGAAAACTCTCGCATCGAGACTTTAGGCTTCTGAAACCGTCAATGTTGGTTTTTTCATGGGATCAAAACCCTTGCAAAAGGGGACGCCCAAAACAAAAACATAACGCATAAGTATCTTGTGTGAAGCCTCTCTGATGGCTCGACATCTGTTTTGTTTGTATGTCTAAAGGTTAAAATAAATATATATAATTTATTTTATATATGGAAGAGACCTTTGGGTCAGAGAGCTGTTTTCTTGTCTCTTCACAAATTTCGTGGTGTCACTATTTCCTTTTTTTCCTTTTTGGTGACTCAATTGTTTTTTTTTTTTTTTTTTTTTTTGAAAAAAAGGAAGCATGAGTTCCAAAAACTAAAGTGAATCCACCAATTAAAGGTGGCAAATAGTCGCATCTTGGAGTTGGTCTTTTTCACAAGATTCTTTTGGCTACTGTTTTGGTCTTTGGTCCATTCAAAACTTTGTTAAAAAAAACTGCATGAGATTCTTCGAGTCTCGTGGCAATCAAAATGCAAAAGGGACCAACAACAAACAAACGGTCTCTGCTCGATCTGTTTTTCTTTTCAGAGTTAAAAAAATAAATAAATTAAAGAAATACAGAGAGCTTTTTTCTTCTCTCTCTCTCTCCTTTTTTTTTCCTTTTTGATTGGATTGTTGTGTAATTAAATACTGAGTCTAAAGTTGGACTTATTCAAATTTGGCAAATACCAAAAAGGAAAAAAAAAATGAAGATTGAAATCACAGTTGCAAGCTTTGTAACCAATAAAATAAGATTCTTTTTTTTTTTTTAGCATAGAGGGAAAGGAGATTCAAGCCTGAATCAATTGTCAGGTCGTTTATGCACTCATCACTAAACTATGCCTCAGTGTGTACTAATAAAATAAAATATTGATTGAGTTGGTAAGCGACTTTTAAGAGTGTGAATATAAATTTGTCTAAAAATGCACTTAATAAGATGGTAAAAAATATTTACACTTTACAGTAAGAGGGTATTACATCTACTAATTCTACTGAAAAAACTTATCTGACCTTGTTTGTTTGTGTTTTAAAAGAAAAAACAACTTCCGTTGCATGTTAGACAAAAAAGGCCCTCATGCATAATAACCCAGTCCAGGCCCATATAAGCCTTGTAACTGGGCAATGACATAATCCTTCTTTGTATTTGGAGATACATAACATATAGTTTGAGTTGTACAAAATTTAATTAATTCATTTTGTCTTTAATTTTTTTTTTTTTTTTTGAATATTAGACTGGCGTCCAATCCTTAAGACTGATCAGTGGATAGACGTAGTTTCTACTCTTAGCCTTGAGTCCATGCAAATGTCTCTCCACCTCACTATGCAAATCTCCAATACACTAGTAATTTTGCCTTTAAAACCTTGCAATAAAATGACTACAATAGCGCAACAAATAAGTCATGATAATTGGACTTGATGAAATGGAATTTTTGCAATCATAATTTAGGTTACATATATATATATATATATATATAATTTCATATTAGATAATAATAAATAATTAAAGGACTTATAATAAAATGGATTTGTGGCTGATATTATCACAAGTAATTGATTTTATATAGTTGAGTTTCAATACTCACTCGCTTGTAAACTCACGTGTATACATACCTATGGACTTTAATATAATATTAGAGTTTACCGCCTAAGTAATTTCCATACTCTAAGAAAAAAACAAGTTTCCTTTAGTTAGTTGATAAAATAAATTAAAAGAAGACCGAGAAAATACTATACAATAAAAATTTTATATGCATCAATGTAATACTTCTTCCATCTCAAAAAATAAATCATTTTAGGGTGATTGTTTTGTCCCAAAAATATAAGACGTTTGAGTATTTTAAAGAGTAATAAATAATATCTTTTCAATATTATCTTCATTACATTAGATATAATAATTATTTTTACAAGTTATTTTTTATTTTAAGTCTAAAGAGTAATGTCATCAAATTATTTTATTATAATCAAAGATAATTAATTGTTTTTTTTTATTTCTGTACAAAAATCTTAAACAATTTGTCTATCAAATATTTGAATTGATAGCATATAGAATTGTTATTTTGATTTAGTCTAGTCTATGTCATCTAATTATGTTCTTTGAAAGAGATTTGAAAAATTAATAATCTTGACCGATTAAAAGTCAAGAACGTAAGCCTACAGGCCAACCACGAACTGTCCAGAATAAAGCCCGTACTCACTAAGTACTCACTAAGTTGTCGCCGGCGAGGAGCGAGAAAGGAATAGAGAATAAGAGAAGAGAGTTTCATTTTAGGGGTATTAATTTTTTTTTATGTGTGAATTTTTTTTACAATTTATGTGAAATAATTTATCGTAAACATAATAATTAAATTGCAACTAATGGCTAGCTGTCGATAAATGATAGAAATCTTAATCAATTGCTTGTTGTTTTCTATTTATATAACCTTTTCAATTACTATTATTTTTTAAATTAAATATTATATTATAATCTTTAATCATAATTTTACATTTCAAAAGCAATCATTAAATTTATTAAACGACAGTGTTTATCGGCTAACAACCACGACCGCCAATTATCAATAATGACTATCATTTAACAGCTAACATGAACAATGAAACTAAATAGGTTAATTATCTTGTTATTATTTTTCTTTTTACAAAAAATGAAAAAAGAAATTACTAATATATAAAATATTAAAAATGTACATTTTTTAGGATAAAAAAGCATATATATATGTATATTATAAATTTAATAACAAAGAAAGAAGAAAAGCAACTGGACTCAATGACACGTGTCTATCGCTTTACGATTTTGACTTGACTCAGCGGAGCCACCGGGGAGGGAAAAAAAAAGAACTTCGTTCCTTACAATGTTGACAGACAAAAACAAAATGAAATTAACAAATCCACGATGAATAAATAAATAAACAAATAACAAAAAGAAGAAAAAGAAAATCTAAAAATCCTGAAATTTCATTTGCATTTGAATTTCATTTCACAGCTTCCTACCATCGCATCTCATCCAGTACCTCTTCTTCTTGTATTTATTTATTTTGTCTAATTTCAATTTATTTTTATTCTCTCTTTTTATTTATTTATTTATTTTTTCCAATAATCATTGATACAGCCCAACAAAAACACAGAAACACCAATTTTAAAAAACAGAGAGAGAAGCGAAGGCGAGGAATGATAGACAGATCTCCAAAACGAATCGTTTTCCTCTACACAACCGGCGCCACAGATCGGTAGCTGTGGAATCTTTTACCAGTATCTGATTTGATTCTGATTTAGAATCTACTGTTGACCGTACGATCTTTTGTGGACCGGAGAGGATGCCGTCGCACGGGGATCTGGACCGTCAGATCGAGCACCTGATGGAGTGTAAGCCCTTGCCGGAGGCGGAGGTGAAGACGCTCTGCGATCAAGCCAGAGCGATTCTTGTTGAGGAATGGAACGTTCAGCCGGTGAAATGTCCGGTCACGGTTTGCGGCGATATTCATGGCCAGTTCTACGATCTCATCGAGCTCTTTAGGATAGGAGGGAATGCGCCTGATACTAATTATCTCTTTATGGGAGACTATGTAGGTAATGATTCGATTCATTTTTGGATTTAATTGATTAATTAATTTTTAATTTGCTAGGTAGATGTATGAAGCTTTAGATTTTTTGGATTCTGGAATTATATTTAATTTTTTTAAACAATTGAATATTGTTGTTTTGATCGGTGTTTTGATCAACGAATAGCTGGTTTTGGATCCTCATATACGAGAATTTCGTGTTGCTGCTACATTAATTGGCCCAGAAAAGGAAACTTTCAAGAACTTGACGTGGATGGGCATTAGCATTTGTTTACTTGTTTAGTTTTTATAATTGTTTTTATTATTGATCTACTGACGTTTTTCTTTTTCTTTCCCTGAAATTTGAATTTCTGGTGGAGCGCAGAGAACGTGGCGAGCATGTTTTAATTATTATTATTATTATTATTATTATTATTATTATCATTGGGCTGCTCATTTAATTCTCATAAGTTTATTTTTATTTGTATTTGGTTTAACTTTTGTGGTTGCTTAAAATGTGGGGCCAAAATTATATTGTTCCTAGTTTTGGACTAAAGGATATGCTTAGCATGTTATGGTGGGGTGATCTCGTGACTGTGATGGTACCCATGAATGCTGCTTCTGTTAAGATTATGTAGTTTGTGTTTCCATTTACTTATTTTCTCCTGCAGTTTGTTTTTATTAAATGTGATTCCTGTTTTAATAATTGAACCATGTCGAAATGGGTGGTTTGCTACATTTCTTGGGAAGTCACTTGAAATTTGTATAGGCATTTTGTAATCCCCTCAAATATATCAATGCAGATCGTGGGTACTATTCAGTGGAAACCGTCACACTCTTAGTGGCCCTGAAAGTTCGTTATAGAGATAGAATCACAATTCTTAGAGGAAACCATGAGAGCAGGCAGATTACTCAAGTGTAAGATTATATTTTTCTTCATCAATTCAAGTCTGTTTGTTGTTTTCCATTTGAATTGTGATATTATCTGTTCTTCAGGAGCAACAGATTTCTTTATTTTTCAAATTTAGTTTGATGGTGACCTTACATGTTCCTGAAATTAATAAATGATAGAACATAAAATGTTTTTCATGGCAATGCCTTGTATTTTGAAATCTTGACACTAAAAAATGTTGCACCTAAGGAGAAATGTCATATCATTGGCCTTGTGAGTCAATGGTGGCAGACAACTCCTCATGGTGGTGGGGTTTTATGGTCTTGTGTGTCATTTGACTGCAGTAATGGTAATGTGTGATTAAATAGTAATCAGGTGGATGTATCAGAAAGTCATGTCTGTGTAGATGAGAGTTTTTGTTCATAACCCAATTGAAGTGATTTATGAAGCCAAAAACCTAACTTTATACACAGTTATCTTCTGTCCTCAAAGTCAAAAGAGAATTGCATCACTAGGCAGAGTATAGATAATAAGAAATGGCTACTTTGTTTCTGCGGTGGGAAAATAGTTGGGGAGCAGGTTCCACAATATAATCGAATGATAGCTTATAATCTCCTATAAGAACAACCATAATTGGGAAAGTGGTTACATATATAGGTAATTGGGGAAAGTGGTACTGTCTGCTAGAGCAGGAATGCATTTTGTTTGCATAAGCCTATCTCATGCATGCATGACATGTGTGATTATTAAGCACTTAGAATATAACTTATATGGTTTTGGTTTTAATTCTACTTTCAGGTATGGTTTCTATGATGAGTGCTTGAGAAAATATGGAAATGCCAACGTGTGGAAGTATTTCACTGACCTTTTTGATTACCTACCCCTTACGGCCCTCATTGAGAGTCAGGTTGGAATTTAAATATTGCAACTTGTTTTGCTAAATGTAGTGAAGTTGAATGATAGAACTGACCACCAAAATTTTTGGTCTTGTTAGGTTTTCTGTTTGCACGGTGGACTTTCACCATCTTTGGATACGTTAGATAATATCCGAGCTTTGGACCGTATACAAGAGGTATGAGTTATGACTCCCTACTCAAGTCATATTTTTAAGTTTCAGATGATCAAAGTAATTAGTTAAAGCTTTTGTCCATTATGATTGTGGTGAAGTGAGCAAATAACTGAAAGTTACGAATTATGTTAAAAATATACATCTAAACTTCTTGTTATTGCTAATTGTTTGGGAAGCTGGATCATAGTGTAAATATTGCACACTATGATTATTCATGGAACTTGCAAATAAAATAAAGTGTTGCGCTTATTAAACTTTTCATCTTTTGACTTTAAAAACTTATATTGTAAAGGACATATTTGGTTTAAAACTCAATTAAAAGTGTAAGATTTGCGTCGAAAACAGCATTGGCAATTGTATTAGGCTCTAAGGGACCAATTGGTTGATTTTCGAAAAATATCTGGACCAAAAAGTATTTTCAGCATTTAATGTTGGTTTTATTTTTTCCTAATTTTTATTCTTTCAATTATATTTTATATGAAAGTTATACTATTATTCCTATATAACATTTCTTTTTTCCCCAATGCAAAGCAATAATTAAAATATTTTCGTTTCTCTACATACTCACTGGAGCATTTCATTTTTTGGTAGCCTCTACATTCCTTCATTATTTTTATTTCTCTGAAAATGATTGTCATTTTCTCTGCACATGTAGGTTCCACATGAAGGACCCATGTGTGATCTATTGTGGTCTGATCCAGACGATCGATGTGGGTGGGGCATATCTCCTCGTGGTGCTGGCTATACATTTGGACAGGATATAGCTGCTCAATTCAACCATACCAATGGACTCACTCTGATTTCACGAGCTCACCAGCTTGTGATGGAAGGATACAATTGGTGCCAGGTGAATGAAACCAGACAACACATTGATTTCCTTACAACTCCCACTTTAAAATAAATTTTTGTACTGATAGATACTTCAATTTCTCCTTCAGGAAAAAAATGTGGTAACTGTATTTAGTGCTCCAAATTATTGCTACCGGTGTGGGAATATGGCTGCAATTCTAGAGATTGGAGAGAACATGGACCAGAATTTCCTTCAATTTGATCCTGCACCTCGGCAAATTGAACCGGACACCACACGCAAGACGCCTGATTATTTTTTATAATTTCCATATTTATGCCGGCTGTTTGTAATCTTTGTTTGCTGCTGTATCACTGTAGATGTGTCTTAAAAAAGAGAAGTTTTTGTTATTTAAGGTGAGGTTGATCAACGACGTCATTCTTTGTTTGGAGTTTGTCCTGCTGCTGCTTTGTTGATGTGCTCAAGTAACCCATAGGAAAATTTGACAGAAGGCACCGATGCCCATTTGTCTTTGTATATTTTCAGAAGGAAGCAGCATTAACATGGTATATCTTATTCTGTAATTTTACAATTTTAAGGTAGAAAAAGGGTTTTTGGGTTGAGCAATTTATATCTTGTTCGTTTTTTCTAATTCCAATGCCATTCCTAAGTAGTAATAGCAAATACAGGCAAAATGGTGGTAAGCGAGAAGCTACCAGTCTGCCAATTTCGTGCCCCTATTAAACTGTACCTCTTAAAAGGAGGGGGAAAAGGAGGTTAAAAGACAACCGTAGCACAAGCTGCCCATTCCTATGAAGCAATGCTAAGTCGTTTACACAGCATAAATTTTTCCTCTTGCAAGCAGCGGAAAAATGAATAATGAACATTCGCCTTGCTACTGAACTTAAAATTACATTTACCAATGATCCAGTGATTTCACAGAGGCTATTAAGAAAACATTTTACACTTCGCTATAAAATTGAGAATAAAAAGAAAACCAATTGCATGCCGCAAATGGTTGTTAAGCCTCTGTTATATACCAAACTCAATAGCATTGAAACTTCTGTCTTCATTAAAACCTGGCTTCATATAAGGAAGTCACTGTTATATGCCCAAACTCAGTAGCGAGAAACTTCTGTCTCAAAACTCGAAAACCTGAGTTAAAATCTGGAATTCATCTGAATTCTCCCTCCCCCAACTCCTGACATGGTAACCGTCTGCTTTCTTCGGAAGTACACAACCGAGCCACTTATTAGGAACAAACAAAGAATAATCCCCTGTGCATCATGATTCACAGCCAAGCATCAATACCCACATTCAGTTAAGCAGTTTTTAAAGACTGCGATTTCACAGAAAGCTTACATTATTTTTAACAATTATTACTGCAAATAGATTTATCAGAACATTTTGGTGCCATACTTTTGAAACTGCCATACTATCTGATGCTATATTAGTGGGGGGTGCAATGTTTATGGATAAAACATGCTATGCTGAATCTCATTGTTGGCACAGCAGCCCTTATATGTCCATAATAATCAAGTGCACAACAAAAGAGATAATCAGTTTCAAAAAGAGAAGGGGAATAATAAGCAACAGTAGCATACCTCAAAACCAAGTACCGACAACTTCTCTTCATTAACTGGCGGAATACAGCTTCTATATGTAATGTAAGCCTGTGACCCATCCTCTAACGTGGATGAATCATCCAGTAAACTTCTTTGCTCGTTTGATGCAGCATCATGCAGCATAGCATGTGGATTTGCATTTTCATTAGAGATCTCTATAACAGATCGAGTCTTTTGAGATTTTTTATCATTTCCATTCTTTATGTTGTCTTTAGTTTCTATACATTTTAAGGGGATTCGATAACCCGTTTCACTGCAACGATACTTTTCATCAGTCTGCAAAAGAAGGAAAATGGACACCACAACAAAGAAGAGCATGCTCACCAGGAAATAGGACGTCGAATTTCAAAAACAAAATAAGATACTACACATGTGAAGCAATATATTTACAATGCATATATCATCACTTAGTTTCAGGAATCATATGCGTGAGTTTCCAATGTATTCCAGATTAAGCATTAGCCACACAACTGCAAATTTTTTTTTTTTCCCGTAGGCCAATGCAGAGTTTCCTCCTATTACTCTAAACTTTTTGAAAGGTTCTGGTAAACTACTCCAACGAGTTCGAAGTAAGTTGGGAACAAAAAGAAAGAAATATTCACCCCCTATATACTATTAAACATTTCAAGGTGAATAGAATTTAGTCAGGAAGTACTGTAAAATAGAACGGGCATGCTTTATCCCATGTAAATTCAATAAACTAACTCAACTCCCATATGACCAGCAACATTTCAAATCTGAGTTATATTCAAATACAATCAATCCCCGAGTTGCAAATTCCATTGCTACTTGCATAAAAGAAAGCACCACAACCATGGAATCAAGCATCCTGCTTATAATAGATCCTCTGCAACCGACAAAAACTCAACAAGCATACTTTGACTTTCTCCTTATATTAATTGGACTGCTCATGTTAAAAACAAAAATTTTTTGAACAATTTATTCCAAAATTTTGGAATTGAAACAGACTAACTAAAATCAATTCAACAATTCTTATACTGAAACCTCCTCAGCTAAATCAATGAAAGCGAAAACATAAAATGCTAAAACAAATCCAACACAAGAACCAGGAAGATGAAATTTCAGCCTGTACATCACTTGAAAGCAAAATAAACAAATAAATAGAAAGTGGAAACCTTCTCAGAGTATTGGCAGGGAACGCAAGCACCAGAGGGAGAGCAATCGAAGGTAAGGTTACTTCCCTCAGGTTTTTCTTTGAAAACTAATAATACTCTGCTACCACTGCCTCCATTGCTGCTCCAAACAAGTAAAAATTTATAGTCAATCTAAAATTTTTCTTCACTGCAATTTCATTAGGTCACAAACACAAAATTCACTTACGTTGTCTGATCCGATGCGTTAATGGAAGATAAGGAGAGAAGCGCCGCAGAGACGAGGAATAAAACCAACTGATTAAACGCTTTTGCGTTCCATTCCTCCATTTCTTCCTCGATTTGCTGCTCGTACGATCCTTTTTCTTTTCTTAACGAACCTGGCTTTGATTTATTTTTATTTTTATTTTTATAATAATGCCAAGAAAGGAAGTAACTACACGGACGACGAAGCCCAAAAAACGAACGGTCGTCTTCTATAAAGGCCAGTAGTTTTGAGCATATATAGAATCTTGACTCCGCTGAACGACAGGGAATGACCGAACGATCATATCACTCAGATTTGCCAAAAGTACGTCAAGCACATCATGAGTAAATCTGAAAGAAGATAATAATGTCACTTAATAAATTTTGTTTACTTATTCAAATCGTTAAGGTTGTAAATGAACACATCATAAATACGTACGTCAAGCACATTCATAAAATATACCATCAATTATAAGATTATTTCCTCACTTATTTTTTCTTATTAAAATATTTGTGAAAGGAGATTATTATTAATCTATCATATATATTTATTAGATATTTATTACATTCTAAATAATTTTTTAGCCGCGATCTGCTCCAACAATTATAATAAATAAATATTTTTATGTTTCATGGTTGCTCAGGACTTTGTAAATTTATAACTTGTAAGCTGTCTAAACTGTAGTAAAAAGTATACTGAAATTTCATTAAACTAAATTAACTTAAATTTTTTAAAAAATTTTAAAGCTAATGATGAAATACAAATAGGCAATTAAATCGGTAGAAATGGACTATATCCTTAAATCAACTTTTAATTATAAAATTAGATATTTCAAAATTTAGACGGGCTACTATTGAAAAAGTTTTATTTAAATACACTCCGATATAAAAAGACAGCAGAAAACAAAAATATGTCATATAATATATATAGTCTTTATGGCCTTCCGGAATGGATTCACCCACAATAGTGCCAAAAAGGCAAGGATAGTATTGAATTTCAAATCAAACCATAAAATTGAATTTGAAAAGAGTATGAGAGAACGAGACGGAGGATGGGGACAAAAACATGTGCTAATGCACCGAAGGGGCACGAGCTATGCCCCTAATCCAGGCGCATCAGAGCCATAGCTTTGCATGAGATGAGTTTATGGTCCCAGCAGAGCACACAAAAAGGCAAGGTCATTTTCATTATCATCTACACTATTTTGACCATCACGAGAACTTTGTGAAAACATTGATTGTATAATTATTTCACGTGGACTTGTGTGCTCTGTATATTTATTTCATTTTCTCATCTATTTGAACTTAGGGAGTAATTGAAACGTGCAAAATCTTGAAAATTCTTATTTCTACTATAAAGTTTTATTTTTTAAAAGAAATTTTGACTACATTATAATGTTCTCACGAGAGAAATAGGAAATACAATTATAGATAATAAATTTTTTATTTAGAAATATTTTGAAAATTTATTATTACAGATAATAAATGATTATTCTTATTGATCATGGAAGAAGAGTTTATCTGTTCTTTTTAAGAACTTATTGTACCTAACGATTATAGAACAAGAGTTTAGAATACCAAACATTATGGAAAGACTTATTTACACCTTTATTTATGGATCATCCTGTATATCGAATCAATTACAAACAATGTTTGATTGAAATGGGTATTCTAATCATAAGTTCTTCAACAAAGAAAAATTATTCCATTAAAGGAGAGAAAATATGAATAAAACTCTAGTCGAGAGATACTTACACTAAAATCTATTAACAACGACAGATCTTACAGAGATGAGGCTCAAGATCTTGGTTTACTGAATAGAAAAAAGTAAATAAAAAAATGATAAATCACCCCTGATCGATGCTGTCTCAAAACAACAAAGAAATACGGCTACCATTAAGCTCTTTTTAATATATTATGAAGGTGAATACTCGAACACTGAGCTATTTATCCAATAGCTTTGCAGACACTTCAAATTCTTGAAACTGAAGCTCCTTCAAGAAAAAGACTTCAGAACTCCTGCAAGCTCTCTAGTTACGCACTCAGTCGAGTTCAATCAGCCTCTGTAAAGATGTCTCAAACAAACTTTCTTGGTTCGGTCACCAGAAATACAAACATTAGTAGGAAAGTCCTTGATGTTATATACTGGCCAGTTAGAACCCTTGATAGAATAACTTCTGAAGTCACAAGTTTTAGAAATTGGAAAAAGATTAGCTTTAACAGATGCACCATCGAATCCAGGATAATTGATAAGAATGGTAACAAAATACGCAACCAGCTAGCCATCATCCGTTGTGTAGCATGAAACTTCAAAACTATGGAAATAGGCATATTACAAACAACAAATGTTCAGAAACAACTTTGTGACTGATGACAACAGAAATCTCCTGAACTGCATTAAGGCTACAACAAAGGTACAGTGCACGATTCTTGAATCTTGATGCAATATACAGAATTATCCAACATGTGAGCATAAGAACAGGGAAACCTATTTAAGTGGGAAAGCATAATCATTTGCTTAAAAGGTATGCCATGACATAGCACAGAATGCAGAGATGCCCTAAGCTTCTATTCTCATAAGGATAACAAAGGTTATTTGAGTTTCTTGATACGCCACAGCTACGCTTTATATTCAGAATCCTGTTTATCAAAGATCAATGGGAATTCTTCGTACTGGTCAGAGAAACCATGTTTCTCAGCCATGACCTTCAAGGACTCATAGACTTGGAACATAGAAGGCCTATCCTTTGGCCTAGAAACCACACAACTCCAGCCAATCTTCAGGAACTGCATAATCTCATCATCATGACCTTTCCCAATTAGAGCTTTATCAATGGCATCCTTGCTTCGACCCGCGCTCACTAAATGATTAACCCAGTCCACCAAATTCCCTTTGAATCCTTCCTCTGCATTACTAACTTCCAATGGCTTTTGTCCTGTAACTAATTCCAAAAGCACTATCCCAAAGCTATAAATATCTCCTTTCAGTGAGGCAACCATAGTGCTTGAGTACTCAGGAGCAACATAACCAAATTCCCCTAAATCTCCATTGACAAAAGAACTGTCATTAGAATCACGAGAACCGACCAATCTTGCCAGTCCAAAATCCGTAAACCTAGCATCAAAATCATCATCAATAAGTATCACATTGGAGCTAATGTATTGATGCATATATGGTGGTTGGCAGCCATGGTGGAGCCAAGCAAGCCCTCTAGCTGCACCAACACCGATCCTAATTCTAGCAGGCCAATCCAAAACACCAGAGGGACTAACACCAAATCCACTCCCATGCAGTTGAGAATACAAAGTACCATTAGGCATATGCTTATAAACCAACAGTCTCTCTTCTTCAACAATACAAAACCCTAACAAAGGCACCAAATTTGGATGCCTGAGTTGGCCTAACCTATTCATCTCAGACCTAAACTGCTTCTCACTCAGCTTACAAGCACTAAGCCTTTTAATGGCAAGAGCAGACCCATCAGGCAAAACAGCCTTGTACGAAACTCCAGTTCTAGTAGAAATCTGGATATTTTCCAAATCAAAATTGTTAGTGGCTAGTAATAGATCAGCCAACTTGATCTTAACAATGGGTTTTTGAAACAATGAGACTTGAACAAGTTTATGTGACCTTAATAGCTCAACCCAGCTAGAATCATCCTTGCCACTACCATCACCATAACCTTTCTTTTTCGCGCTTGTTCTAACATATAACAACCACCAAATCACAAACCCTAAAATCAGTGACCCAGCAGCACCAATAACACCAGCAACAATTATAATTCCAAGGCTCTTACCACTCAACCCACCGCACTTACCAAGAGGTCTACCACAAAGTCCATCGTTCCCATCAAAATCAGCCTCTGGAAACGTCGCCAAATCAGCCGGTAACTGACCGGACAGATCGTTGTCTGCCACCGAGAATCGTTTCAACCGAGAAAGACCACCGAGACCGTACGGTATCGAACCGGACAGCTTGTTGTCGTTCAGAATGAGATTATTCAAGAACTTGCAGTTAACGATTTCTGGAGGAATGGCACCGGAGAAGCTGTTACCGGAGAGATCTAGAGTAACAATATAAGGCAACCAGGTACAGATTTGAGGTGGAATCGAACCGGAAAGAGCATTGTTAGAAAGATCTAAGGTCTGGAGGCTACGACAGTACTTAAGAGAATCGGGAAGCTGACCGGATAGCTCAGACGCAGGGAGGTTAAGACTGATAATGCGATTCTCCTTCTCGTTCCAGCAAGCAACACCATTCAGCTTGCAAATAGAAGCAACTGAGTTGTTAGTCAAGTCCCAGGAAGCGAGTCGACTGAGTGGGTCAGTAAACGAGTTCTTCAAGCCTTCAAGGCAAGTCACATCGTCTTCAATGGCAAAAACGACAGGTAAAGTAAACAGAAAGAGAAAAGCCAAGATCTTCATAGTATTTCTTGCGGTTAAATGCTAGGATTTAATTAGAGGAAGGAAAAGCGGTGGAGAGAAAGGCGGCGAGGTGGTGTCGTGTTGGTGGCTGATGAGGAAAATGGGCGGCCATTGAATGAGTTAGAGGCTTGGATCGAAGGAAGAAGAAAGAAAATGGATTGGCGTAGTGTAGGCTAGTTTGACTGCCGGTTTGATTATCTTTATCCATGTTGGCTAGTTTGTCGTTTGTTAATCTATGTGGTAAACTACATCGCTCTAACTTAAACGACAGCGGTTTGAGTATTAATTAAAATGCAAGTAAAATAGGCCAACGAAAGCTGTAAAGTCACCATCAGGAGTTTTAAAAGGAAGAGAGTTTAAGTTGAACAAGTAATAAGTATATTTTATTCAGAATCTGTTATTATTACCAAATCAACACGCAAATGGGTGAGTTATAAGATGCTTATTTTTTTTTAATCAAGATGCTTAGTTAGTTAATCATTTTCTTGCCTTTTTTAATTAATTAAAAATTAATATTTAATTAAAAATTAAATAATATATATAGTATATATAAGTATATATATTATAGTTCGTATTTCATAGAGGCCCATGTCAGGGAGGTTGATATGTGGGCTGATGTTTCAAATGGAATACAGTGATAATAAGGTCCATCTATCACACCACTCATGTATTGTTCATTGTGGTGTGATTTGGTAACTAACATACCAATATTGAAAGGACTAAAAATAAAAATAAAATTTTAATATGTTTTTTAAAAAGGTAAATGAAACTTGTGAGGAAAAATATAAGCTGAATTTTAAAAAGTTTAGAAGCCAGCGTCTTTTTACGTAGCTTTTAATATTTTGATTTATCCAAAACACAAATTTTAAATATTTAATAATATAACATTTATAATACTATTTAAATATTACTTTCTATTTTTAATTAAAAAAATTAAAATAACTAATTTTACTTAATACACTCGTCTCCCAAGAAATAAAGTAGTTTTGCGCTCATTACGATTACGGTGAAGGTGCTTGTAAAGTGTACGTGGGTTTGAAATACCTTAGAAGGCGCTGTGGGTATGATTTCTAATCATGTTGATGTTGTTACATATGGTTAGGCATGGCCACCGGTTCGGTTCTAACCGGAACCGAACCGGAACCGAACTGTACTGTAGATTAACCGAAACCGGACCGAAACCGGCGGTTCATAATTTTGAACCGGAACCGGCGGTTCAAGGGCCGGTTAAGGTTCGTGTGGATGTTAAAATATGAACCGGAATTCGTGTGGAGTTTTAAAAATATGAACCGGAATCGGCCCGGAACCGAGCGGTGAACCGGCGTCCGGCCGGTTCGAACCGGATACACAAAAAATTGTAAGCTAAATATTTTTATAAAAAAATTTATATTCAATTGATTTTATTGTAGTTGATTTGAGTTATGGTGAAGAAGAAGTAAAAATGATATATAAGTTATAAAAAGTTGTGAAAAAAATACAACATTTTTTGAACTTAATTTATATAAAAAAATGGTACATGAAATAGTTGAAATTTATTATATAAAAAAAGAAACTTTCAAGTGTACAAAGAAAAGAGTGTAACGGATAGTTTTGATATGATAGGTGTTTTTTATTAATTTTTTGGTAAATAATAATTTTTAAATTCATTTTTATTTAATTTATTTACTGTATTTACTAATTAAATAAGGGACATTTGAAAAACTAATAAATGAGAACACATGTATAAATTAATGATGAGTTTTTGATGATTTTTTATTTCACAACAATTATTCCTAACCTTCTCTTTATTCTCAATTAAAATCTCTCAAATTTCCCATGAGTTCATTATTTTTCTATGCTTTAATTTTCCTTATTGTTGGAATTATCTATTGTTATTTTTTATTTCTTACATTCAATTCCAATTCCTTTTCTCTAATCTCAAATTTTCCATTCATAAAATTTACTTCATTTTATTTTTTTAAATAATTTTCTTAAGTATTTTGAAAATAATAATTTTCCAAACTCATTCCATTAAATTTTATAATTCCTTTATAAGTTTTTTATATTAGTAAAAATTAGCAAAAATTTGAAAAATTTAAATGTAAATAATAGTTTAAGTTAGTTAATAGATGTTTTTTCTTTTAAATTATAATAATCATTTAGTTAATAAAAAATTTAAACCCATTTTAAATTTAATTATTATCATGAATCCGGAATCAAAAAATTTTATTTATTTTTAAAAAAATTTGGCGTAATGCGGAACCGAATCGGAACCGTAATTTGAACCGTGCGGTTCGCCGGAACCGTGCTGAACTGTGCCGGAAACCGGAACCGGACCGGAAACCCGGAGGTTCAAGTCGGTTTCGGTTTCAAAATTTTTATAACATCTCGAACCGTTGCGGTTCATGAACGCGGAACCGGCGGTTCACTGAACCGGCCATGGTTAAACATCTCGAACCGGCGGTTCAGTGAACCGGAACCGGCGGTTCACTGAACCGGCCATGCCTACATATGGTAAGCTTTTGGTAGCTAATTTTAAGAAGCTTCTAGGCCATGATTAGGATATTTAGGTTTAGAACGTAAATTGTGAAAACATGGAATGAAACTTAGGGATGCATTACTTTGATTATGTACTATTGAAATTTTATATATTTATTTTTATATAATTAAGAGGTATAATATCTCTCAAACCGTAGAACATAAGAGTTTTTTGTCCTTACACTTCTCGAAAATCAAACTTATACTTTCATTCTTATGAAAATTGAAATTGTTTACTATTCATGCCAATACTCTATTGATTATAATTTTATCTCTGTTGTTGAATGATATTTCTGATATTATCAAATCAATAAAAATAATTTTTTTTATTGAAATGACGGTTTCTTAGCCAATGATCATACATTAAGAAAAAGGACTAAGTAAGAATAATTTTTAAAAAATTTCTATTTTCATTAATTTGATATATGGGTAATATCATAAATTCATTTTATATGCAAATATTTTCTAAAAAAACAAAAAGATGAACCTAATAGGCTCTTCCATATTGCAATGCATGGGGTTGGTTCTTGGAAATCACATATTTATTGTAATATAATTTAAATTATAACACTTATTTTTGCCATTAAAATGAACATTTTTATTTGTATCAAATATTAAATATTTATTATAAATATAGAATTTCAAATAAATCCTATAAATTTTTAATGGATTTATTTGTAAAAAACGGGCCATTAACAATAAATCCAACAAAGAAAAATTTTATATGCGATACAGTAAAATCCACGTGTACAAAAATAAAAGGAGGCAAAGAAAGAATCAGTTGCACTACTGCTGCACAATTGTCCAAAAATCCATCCAAAGAATGTGTATAATTATAAGACAGTCACAGAGGCTTCTGAACACTCGCAGACTCAGCTTTTGCACAGAAAATGATAAGGAAAAGCAATTTGGAGTATCCTATCAAATGCTTAGATATAATCAGATGCTGGGACCCTACCACTTTGCTTGTAGAAATCCATCCAATAGAACTTATAATCATCAAAAAGTTTCTTTGGTAAAACGAGTGGAGAGGAGCACTCGTTCGTAGATAGCGTTGGATTGGATAATTGGAATCTTTGTCCTAAGTGGGTTATTCATTTCTTTTCTTTTCTTCTCAATTTTAAACAGATTAGAGAAAGTTTAATGATAAAGTCCAGTCAAAAAGAAAAGTTTTTTTGGAAAATACTCCTTAGAAGCTGCAGGTGGTGAGTTTGTATTTGGAGATATTATCATTAAATTTATGTCTTTAATTCAATTTAAAAGAGTTGTCTGTAACGTAATCAACCGCGCGCTACGAAACAAAGAGAACTTAGTAAGCAAGCACTTGCTTGCAAGAATCAATACTCTTTTGGCTTTTGGCTTGGATATTCACACACAAATGTCAAAAAGCTATCTTTTCTTTTCAATCATTCTCTATAAATATAAACTTTACTGATATTTACAATTCCAACGAACCCAGATCTATAGGATAATAGAACTCGTAATTTGACTATTAAGTTGTTTTATTAGAAGCATTGGAGAGCTTGATGGCCCCATTGGACAGATTATATGTATATACATATATATGCATTGCTGTCAAACCCAGCATTATTGGAGGGTTATTGGGTATGCAAGAAAAATCTAGCAGAAACTACCAAAATTCAAAGTTGTTTTTTTTAATATTTTTACTCTATCATCAGCTTACAAGTTGTTCAAAAATAGTTGATTCTTCTGAGTTTCAAGTATAGCTTATGGCCAGAAAATTTAAAGCTATAAACAAGAAGAAATGTCTCTGTGAGAAGACCATAGAGTTGATGGTTAACATTGTTAAAATGTCATCAATAACTCTTGCAAGCACGATGTGCTTGACACCAGCAATGATGAGACAGCCAGCCACCACCGCCGGAAGCCTTGTGCCGGTGGATGAGATAAGCATATCATCGAAGTACCAGGTCCCTGTAGAAAACCAGAAGTGTCAAGAACTATTGGATGGTAATCATGATATTGATAAAAGAGCTGGGATTTTTATCAGCAAAATACGAGAGGAGAATTTTAGGCGATGGTGATTTATTTTACCTCCTCTGTTCTGAAAATTTTATTTCTAAGTTTTCAGTTTAATGACAAGAAACCCAGCTGAAAAGTTGGATAATGATGATTGAGGATCTTGTTAATTACGTAGGATTTTCAATTGTATATTATGAACTCAAGCTTTGGGAACTTATTATGATTAGTTAAGAATTCACAAATAAGTCACGGAATGATTTTTTTATTATTATTATTATTATTAGTTTTCTTCCATTTTGTAAAAGATACAGACGGTGAAAAGTCTCAAATTAATTTAGTAAATTTTACTCGTAATATTTTCTGATTCACTGAACCTTCCATATATATTTTAAAAAAAAAAGTGAATTGAAAATTCAATTAACCTCAAATTTGAGTGATTTGAATATTACAAAGAAAACTAATAATAACGGAAATCTAAAACTAAAAATGCCACACTTGAATTTTATTTTATGCCCAAAAAGGGTAATAACCCATAAATTCAAATTACTAAAATTAAAATTAAAAATGTAATCGGTCTTTTACACTTGGTTTATTTCTGAAAATAACTTATTGCATTGAAATTTGGTAGGTTCAATTGTTTTAAAAATAAAAATTTGAATTTTCTTTAAGAAGTTTTCAAAAACCATTTCAACAGAAATGGATCAATACTCTCACTTAACTTAGGATTTGGTTTCAATTTCGTTCTAACTGAGAAATGAAGTTTGGCCCGAGGTTATAGTTAACAGAGTTTTAGCTTACTCCTTTTTTTTAGTTTTTTTCCTCAACTTGGGTTTATGGTCTTCAATGGGCTCAAACTCAGAGGCCTCAGCCTCAGCTCATTTGGAAATTTTTAATTTTGAACTTTTTGGTTTTGGTTTGGTTTGGTTTAATTATAGGACCAAAGTAAGGCAAAAAAATTCTATAGGACAAATAAAAAGTCAATCTGCCACCCTTTTACTTTTCTTGTGGGTGTAGATCAATTAGGTCTTAATTAATTAACAATCATAAGAAACACTATAAATAATTTATTTTTGTCCAGAGTAATCATATCATCATGAACTATCTGTTGGATCAAGAATTAGTTTGTGGGCTTTCAAATTGTTTATAATCTTTAATAATACTTAAAATTTCTATATGGATTCGTTTATTACTGAAAAAGTAATGAAAACTTTTATAATTTATAAAATTATAAAAATATTTAGAATTATAAGAATTTAATATTTTAAAATTTTATTATGAAAATAATAAATTACAATAGTCAATCGGTAATGTGATACGATTATTAGTGAATTCAAAAAAATTGTATTTTTGTTATATGGCCATGGTCTTTCAAAACTCACGTCTGGGTAAGAAACGAAAATTGAAAAGGAAAGGAAGGATAGTTTCGTAAAATTCAGTTGCCACGTCAGGCGGCTATATTCCTGTATATGACATGGCCATACAGAAAAAGTCTTTGCTCCACCATATATGATATGTATATTGGACAATGATGGCTGCAAATTACAGATACCAGTACTTGTTCAATGTCTGTTTCCTTTTAGTAATTACATGAAAAGACAAGTCTATTCATTCTTCACCACATAAAACCACCAAAAGTAAATAAAACACCCAAAAAATGCAAATCTTACACAATTAACGAACAGAATAATATTAATTAATTTCGAAACAATGAACCTTACAAAATTAAACAACAATCCCATTTATTTATTTCTTTTTTCATTTTTGCCCTTCTCTTTTAAAGCTGTACAAACAAGGAATAACCTAAATCACCTAACTAAACCTTACCTAACTCTTAATTAATTTCTACTAATTAATCCTTTTTTACTTCCTTAATTATTATTATTCCATAAAAACAAGTCCTTTACAGAATTACATATCTATCCTCATTTATGCATATATTCTTTCAAGCAACACTGATTATACTATCACCGCCAGACATGGTCTGAAAAGCTGAAGAATGTGCCGCTGGCGACGACTGGTCATCGGAGGAGGATGGAGTAGAGAGTTTCAATGATAGCGGTAAAGTTTCCTTGGTTGGACTTTTCTGGTTCAAGTTGAGATCAGCCATTTTAGATGACGGAGGAACTGGAATTATTGGTATTGGGCGAATTAACTTTGTCGACGTCGTTTTAGCGTTGGAGCTACTAATTGACCCCAATGAAAGCTTCTCCATTGAATTTTCGCCGGTTGTCACCGACGGTAATACAACAGGAGTAAGTGTTACAGGGAAAGTTGATATCGGGAATCCTCCGGTCAAGTGTGGCTGTGGTGGTAGTGGTCGAGTTGCTGTTTCTTGATGGATTTGTTCTTCTTCGATTGATGAGCCTAAGAACTGTAAAAATAAATTAAATTACGTTTTCTATTGCAATAATTACATATATTTATCAATAGAGTTAACTATAATGGACATACTGTATCGGTGGTTATGTCGAAAAGACTAGATCGGCGGCGACGGCGATTTTGGTTGTGCCGCCGGAGAAAATATTTTTGAGCATGACTAGCCACTTGGGTTGGAGTACGTGTCTTCACAAAATTTCTTGAAATTCCTCTCCAATCTCCTTTCCCTACGTTCTGCAAGCCTAATAGGAACAGCCTGTGTTCTTCTTCTGTCCATGGCACTCCTAAAACAATAAAATCCCACAGAAAAAGGATGAAATTCCTGAAAGAAATTATTAAAAATTAAGAACACTACTAGTTTTCTAATTAAGTACCTCTTTTGCGTTCGCGGCTCCTGGCGGAGGCATGAACGACGTCGTCGGATTCGTAACCGGCAGCAACATCAGCGTTGGGGTCTTGAGGCTGTTCATATTGGGAAAGATTATTCATACTAACACTCTTTCGAAAGGAAGCGCCGGTTTCAGTTGTTACTCTTACGCCAAAAAGCATAATACCATTCTCACCAGTGGCAGAAGGGGCGGCGGCGACGCCAGTTGAACCACCACCGCCAGCACTCTCCCCGCATGTACGCGAGTTATGGCCGTTATTTCCACACTGAGAGCAACTCCTAGACATCTTGTTTTCGTTCAAAGAAAGAAATATTAAATTAAAGAAAGATATAGCAGTAGTAGTTGCAGTCCATGCAAAGGAAGAGAAAAGAAAAGAAAAGGAAGGAAAGTGAAGGAAAATAGGAAATGGTATAATGGAAAAGAAGTCTGAAGGTTGGTATGGCTGATATATAACGTTGATTGTTTAAACAGTAATTTAGGGCATGTTTTATGTATTACTAGAAAGAAAGCAAGCATGGACTTCCTTGGATCACATAGAGCAATCCTACGATGCTTGTGTCCTATGCCACGGTATCTTGCGTGAGAAATTAATTTGAGATCATGATTTTGGATCGTTGATTATGTTGACTTTTTAATATCGGTGTAAACTATGCCAATTGTCATTGTGATGTTCAACCATTTAAAGCTTTGGCCAATTTCTAATGGTTGGTGTTTTCTTTTTCTATTGGAAAGCAATTTTGGAAAATGTTTAAATATAGGTATATTCTTGTGTTTCCACCAATCTGGCTTTAGTCATTGGTTGGTTGCTTTTGGTTCATAGTATAAGATAAAATCATGTGAAAATTTGTTAGTACTTCCATGTGATTTGATATTGGAAATAGTAATTTAAAGGGTAATTGATTATTTATTATAATTAATTTGTAACTGAAATATATTATTTCATAAAATTATTAAGTCATAGTTAATTATATATCTCATTAAATTATTTAATTATCCCGTCTAAAAAGCATTAACTATATTGTTAATAGTAATTTACAAATTCCATAATTAATGTGACATATATAAGTAGTAATAAAAATTATACTTTGAAAAGAGTAAATAATTTAATGGAGCTAAACCTGAATAAATATTTTATTTAGAAATGTGAAATTATAATAATTTCAGTTAAAATAAAGGAGCTAAATTATTAAATATTTAAATTTAAATTTTCATATTTTTTATTCAATAATCGAGTATTCACTTAATATATTTTATGCTAATGGTTTAGGGCTAGACTCACGATAATATTTTATTTTGCAAAAAAAAAAAAAGAAAAATCTCATATTATAAAATCTTGGTATATATGCAGCCTAAATTATATAAATATATTAAATTTTAAATTATTATACTTTTTATTCACATAACTCGAGTATTACTTAATATATTTTATAGCATAATGGTTTAGGCTGACTCACAGTAATATTTTAAATTTTTAGCAAAAAAAAAAAGAACAATTACTCATATTAATAAAATCGTTGGATATTCTTTATTTTATTTTATATATTACTTATATATATATATATATATATTAATATATAATAAAATAATAATATAAAATAGAAAAAAGCCAGGTGGTCTCTCCTACAAAACAGATCTATATATAAATAGAAAAATAGCCAGGTGGTCTTTCCTACAAAAACAGATACTATCATATCCAAATGATGATATGATATTATATGGGAGTCACATAGATAAAGTTTTAATTTATCTATTGATGCTGAGAGTTATATAATTAGTGGGAAATGTCTGCACATAAATGGAAGGTAATGCAAGGAAAGTTGATAAATGACTTTAATATATAATGTGGGAATAAAATATATATAAATCAATAATAATAATAAAAAAAGGGATGGTGGAAGAGAAGAGTGTCTCTCCACCGTCAACTTGGCATATTCTCTTTCTCTTAGAGAAAGATTTGTCTGTCTCTTCTTCATGTCCTCCCCTTATTTAAATCAAATCAGGCTGTGGTGGTGATTGTGGTGATGGACTGGTGGTGGGGTGGGGTGGGGTTTATCGTGGAGGAGGAGGATTAGAGAAGATGGACCCCACAAAACCCATCCATTCTTTTTTTTTTTTTTTTTTTTAAATTATTTACTTTGTACTCTTAATTCCCCTTCAAATCAACATATATACAAACAAAACAGCTTCGGCCTATTATTATCTTCTCTTTACCTCTCACCATTTTCTCTTATGCTGTTTGAAGTGGGAAATACGGCCTTTCTATTCATTTTTGCCTTATTATTATTTTTTTTTTTTTTTTTTTTTTTTAAATTTTTCTTTGTCTCTTTTCCCCTTCAAATCAAATTATCAAAACAAACAGCTTGGCCTATTATTATCTTCTCTTTACCTCTACCTTTCTTTATGGCTGTGGTGGAGAATGGCTTTATTTCTTTTGCCTTATTATTATTATCTTTTTCATTTCTTTGTATGGATTCATGGGCCAACCTTCTAGATTTCTTTCTTTCTTTCTTTCTTCTATTGCTAAAACAACCTGACATTTGGATGTGAAATATAAAATTTTATATTTTTTAAAATATTTAATATTGTAAATCAATTTTATTTCTTTAATTCGTTTTAATTAGGCATAAAAGAAGATAGATATTCATACATGAATCGACAAGAGATGAAAAGGGTGGAGTAGAAAAGAAAGAAAGAAAGAAACGGGTAATGGTATTTAAAGAGAGCACGTGTTTATCACTTGATTTGATGTGAAAAGAAATTTCATTAGTAAAATTTTTTTAAAAAAAAAAATGAAATTTAAATACGGGAACGTTTTTGTCCGCACCTTTGTATCGTTAGTTGTGCCTTTTGTCATGTCCAAATGCCAATCTGAGTCGACGCGTACGTTGTTATGTCACTTCGATTTCCACGAAATTGTGGTGGCTATTGCAAATGCAATTAACCAATTATTAATTAATTAAGTTAATTCCTAATTACTTCATTAACCATTGCGTCTTCTTGATTTATGTATTCCACGAAATAAGTTAAACTGATCATGAGCTGCTCTCATGACTCGACTGAAAAAAATATCATCCCATAAATTTAATAAGCTCGACTCAATTAATTTATCAAATTCATTTAATAAATAAGGGAGTTTAAATATTTAAAGTTACTGTTTTTCTAATATAAATTACAAGGAAATCAAATTCGAGTACATTTTTATTAAACTGATTTCGAGTTTAATAGATCATGGTTTGGCTTAAGTTGTTTAATTTTTTAAGTTAATATATAATATTTTTATTTTTGTTTTTTCATGTTATGTTTTAAAGTTTATTTTGAAAGGAGAATGAGGAAAATAATAAAAAATTATTAATTTTCTTTCAATAATTATTTTCACCTTTATACTTGCATACAATGAATGAAATAAAATAAACTTTATTTTTATAATAGTGAAGATATATTAAAAAAAAAATTTCGGTAGGGTTTTGGTGATTTTAATTGGATAATGGGTTAGTGTGCAACGTTGGATTAGCATCATCTTGATTAAATTGTATGAAAACTCATGCATACGTAGAGGAAGCGGCACATACAAAATTTTATTATATTTTGAAAATATAAGGATTAGAGTTTCGTATACCCTAAGAATATAAGGACCATCTTTCCAACCGTTAGATTTAAAATTATACCTATTTTAATATAAATATATTTTAATTATAAATGTATTTATTCTAATATGAATTTATTATTTCGAAAGTAGCTGCTTTAACTTTAACCACTCGAAATTTCGATATTCCTTTTTATTTCTCATCAAACGAATGGCATCTTGTAATTCAGCGGCTGAAAAAAATTACAATTATATAACGTTCTTATAACAGTTTATTATGAGAATTAATGGCTTGTCAATATTGTGTGAAAAAATTATTAAGTTATTACACATATTGAAATTGAAAAATTACAATTAGTGTTAAAAAATATAAAGACCACGTTAGTAAAATATTTTCAAATTTTAAGGAACTAATTAATGACGGATGCTTATCATAAAATAAATATTAATTGAAAAAATTTTTCTTTTTTTATTCTTTAAGAAACTCATGAATGGACGGAATAATATTATAGACTGCATGATAGAAAATAACTCTTTTTCTTAATTTATAAAATTAATGAAAACTCTTGTATTTTGAGAGCATTCGAACCAAAAATTTTCACTTTTAACATCTTCCATTATTTTTTAATTTAAATGTTTAATTATTACATAAGTAATTGTTTTACTTGTGCTGAATTTGATAATAACGCCAAATTAAGACATAGACTTAAACCAACTCTGAAAAGAAACAACGAGGAGAGATATTATTATTATTATTATTATTATTATTATTATTGTCAACTAAATTGATAATTAATTAATTAATTAATTAATTAAGTAGTTTTCGTAGAATACAATGTTGATAGAGTTTTTTGGTGTGTAATTGAAAGTGAAAGATATTTGTATTGTCTACCACTTTCACTCAAATCACATAATTGCACTGACAGCATCGTGCCCTTCGATTTAGATATTTAATTACATATAGTTGAACACTTACCCATAAAATATTTAAGAAAAAGCCCCATTAAATAATTTAAGAGACAAATAATGTTACATTTGTATATTTATTATAGATGATAGATAGAAATACAATTCATTAATATTAAAACATATCGAGATCTTTCATTTAATAGAATTTGATAAATAGAATTTACAGGACAAGATATAATTTAGCTGAATACATAAGTTCTTAGAATAATGTGTACTTTTCTGTGTTATAAAAAAACTATAAGTTTGAATCTAAGGATTGTAACTCAGTTGAGAATTCAAGTTGGATATGTGCGAAGAGTTTTAACTTTGATTAAGCCATGAACTGGATTAGACGGTTCCTAATAATAGAGTCTGGATACAGGTGTTTTTTTTTTCCATAATTTTGATAATTATACCAAATTAAACAATTAGGGATAAAATTAAACCATAAATTTCTTATCCTGCTCAAGAAGAGTAGACAAGTCGATCCAAGAAACCATAGCCATTCAATCAAATTGGTAGAATTTCTCAAGGGAAGTTTTGTGGGGACTACTGGTGCTAACGTAACATGAACATGCGGTGGTCACGATTTCAAAGCATCAAAGTGGACGATATATAATTTGAGAATCAATGGAAAAGGACAGTCCACGTATATTTGAGCATCAATAAAATATTTAATCTTCCTTAAAACTTACATAAGTTTATTTTAAACCTCGTTTATTGTTGAAGATTACAATTATTAATTAAGATATTAAATATCAGTTTAATAAACTTTTTTACGAGTATTATTGTATTCTTTTTAAATATGCGAGAAACTGATTCTATTTAGTTGTCTTTTTATATAAATGTTTTTCTATTATAAAATTACTGACCTTAGAGATATGATCCATTAAATTTTATTTTATTTTTTAAATATGTATAAGAACATGTTCAATAAAATTAATTATTAGTTGTTTTAGTAGCGTTTAGCTATTTGAGTAGTTAATAATTATTTGCAGGGGTGTGCAAACTTGCCGAACTGAATCAAAAATCAAACCGACTCATTTCAATCAGCTAAATCAAGAAACATTTGGTTGTTGGTTTGTTCGATTTGATTTGGTTCAAATCAGTTCCATAGAAATCCTTCGGTCATCTTAAAAGAGAATCAACATAGCAAAAGCTGATTAAAATTAACAGAACCAAAGTGGTAAAAACTGATCGAAATTGACTAAACTGATTAGTTTGATTCAAAAGTCAATTTCGATTCGGTTCAGTTTGTTGATAAAAAAAAATTCAGTTTATATTTTTTGATCTCGGTTCAAGTCAATTTAAATCGAACCGACTGTTTACTTATCCCTAATTATTTAAATAATTTTTTATAAAATGCTAAAAACTAAACATTATAAAGACTGATTTTTTATAAAATGTTATCTTAAAATTTAAAAATTAATTTAAACGATATGATATCAAATATTAAATATTATAGAAAATAAATAGTGGTTAATCTTTTGATTTGCCAAAAAATAATAAAAATTATTTAAAAAATTATTTTAAATACTTCCCAAATTTTAGTGAAAGTTAAATATTTGTCCTGATGTTGGAGAGTCTCCATCTGTGGCATTTATTATTCTACAATCCCTATTGCAATTGCATGCTGTCTCCTTTGCCTATCATATAACAGGCATCACTTCCCGGTTAAGAAAGTCATATGATCCACAGTGGCAAGCAGTTTTAGCTAGGACCAGGCCCAGTTGCCTACCTTTGATATTGACTCTTCAACCTTCTGTTTTCAAGGTAGCAATACAAAGAGTCGGTTGTCAAATTTATTTCTTCAATATAGATTTTCTAAAAAGTTACTTTAAAGTCACAAATATCGATTTAGTGTAGTGGTTAATAAAATAAAAACACTAAAATAGGTTGATTCAGGAATTAAAACGCACTAAATCTCATCTTAATGATTAGATGATCGAACTCCTAATAATTAGATGATTAAATCGTGAAATCGATATTTTGAAAATGACTTTTAAACATAACAATTACTTCCCGATTTGATCTCTCATCTAACAGTTACATTGGAGGTAAAAAATAGCTATACTCATACTCACAAATTCATACAATAGCTAAACTTTAAATTTTAAATTAATTCCGTTATATAAATATTTTGTTTTAAATATCCATCCTATTTAAAAAAAATTCAATAATTTAAAACATTTTTTAATAAAAAAATTATTAAAAAAATAAAATATTTTGATATATTAATAAATTGAACAAAATATAAATACCTAACAACCACTAATTAGGTTTGGCACGACCTATGAACCCGAATGGTTAAAATGATTAAGGGCATAAAGACACTTTTTTTTTTTTTTTTTTTTTTTTTTTTACTTTTTTTTTTTTTTTTTTTTTTTTTTTTTTTTTTTTTGTCATTTTATTAGAATCTTTCTAAACATTTGAGATTTTGATTAGATTAATGAATGGATTGTCCACCTCATCCCTATACTTTATCCTTACTAAATTTCTCACTCCCGTTTCACATTTAAGTTCCTATCAAGCCAGTACCTGTTGTGATTAGAACTATACACTTTAGTCAATATATTGTATTCTTATGAATAAATTGTCATTAGTTTTTTTTTTTTTTTTTTTTTTTTTGTCATTTTATTAGAATCTTTCTAAACATTTGAGATTTGATAGATAATGAGGATTGTCCACCTCATCCCTTATCACTTATCCTTCTAAAATTTCTCACTCCCGTTTCACATTTAATCCTACAGCCAGTACCTTTGTTGATTAGAACTATACACTTTAGTCAATATATTGTATTCTTATAATAAATGTCATAGTACACGTGTCTGATAAAGAATATATGCTACGTGGCAGTAACGGATCCATAATTTATTTTTTGGAGTTAATATAAAATAAATTATAATAAAAAGAGTTTATTTTAAATTTTAAGAGAAATCAATTGAAAAACATACATGCGTATCTAATAAAATAAAATAAAAATCAATTGCCCTTTTTATAGCATAAAACCACCACTGCAACCATCCAGAGAAAGAAAAAAAAAAAAAAAGATATGATTAATCGCAAATATATGAAAATTAATTTGTAATGTCATATATTTCACTGTCATGTAAAAAAAAACTATTATGGCTGGATACCAATTATCAATTTTATTCTAAGTTCTCATGTATAGGGATGTCCATTTTATCCATATGTTGGATATCTATTTGACCTCGACTCGGATAAGATAATCCTATCCGTGATCATTCCTACCTTTGTGGTCTGTGGACTAGTCCTGAAGCATGAACAACCCAATAAACCCTCTAACTTCAAGCCCAACTTCTGCTAACTGATGAATCGTTCAAAGTTTGAAACCTGGGAATGGCGACAAAGCATAAGTAGCACGTGAATCTTTATTTTCATATCCAAGAGAGGCCCAACCAGCCCAAATAGTTAGGGATCAAATAATTATTTAGGGTAAATTTATTTTTTTATAAAAAAGAATTACACTAGAAATTTATTTATTTATTTATTTTTATTTGGCCCTCATAGTTATACTCTTGTACCTGACCCTATTAATCATATCATACTTAGCTATAATATTATACAAACCAATAAATATCATACATATTACTTAAGTTTTATCGATTTCATTGATTATTTTAATTAGTGTTTAATTTTTCACAACTAATTGTTTACTTATGTTAAAGCAAATGAGTATATTAATATGAAAAATTAAATATGAAAAACTAAAACTATATTAATTAAAAAATAAAACATAGATTCAATAAAACGAAATTGAAAAAATTAATAAAAAGTAAAATATATTACTTATTGGGAAGCAAATTATAAAGATTAAAAGATAATAATCAAGGAGAAAAGTAACTAAGAATCAAAATAAATTAACTGTGAAGCAATAATTATGATATTATAAATTAATTTAATGATAAAAAAATTTTATTTTAAACCAAAAGATCCGCCTCCCAATCTGCTTATCATATATCCGTTTATGAAAAGCATATAAAATAAGAACAGAAACGAACAATCAATTTTAATACAAATGGAAGCGGGAACTATCATCCACAACGCCATTCCATGGAAACCCAAACGCCAAACCCGACGTTCAGTCTCTGCTCACCTCCTCAATTTCCGTTGCTTCGTCAGGGCTTCTTCAAATTCACAGGTCTCTCTCTTATTTGCCTCCTTTTTTGGTTTCATTCGTTACTTAACTCTCTTTTTCAAAATTTCGAAAATTAAGGGTGGATATAGAGGACCCAAGCCGAGGAGAGATTGGGTTGCAGATTTCGTATCGAACAACGACGACACCGTTCGAAGCCTGCCGATATACGTTGGAGGTGTTTCTCTATTGGCTGTGCTCTTGAATCGAACCGCTGCTAATATAGCTCCAGTTGCCGATGCCAGTAGGTAAATATTCCTCTTCTACTCACTGTTTAGTGATTTGGCTATGGCGTGAACTAACAGCTTTTCAGTTTTCTACCTTTTTTTCTATACTCATTATTGCAAATGTTTCAATTGATTGCTTAGAATACGAATGAGCTTTGGTGGCTTTCTTAGATTAGAGGAAATTAATGTTACGAAATGTCATATTAGATCTTCTAGCCTACTACTTTTACTTGCTGTTAGCTTTCTAGGACCAGTTTGTTAAAATTTATTGCATTATTTTGTTTAAACCTGTGTTACTATAGGGATGATTAAAGATTCAGTTGCAGTTGATTGTTTTATTATGGTTGTCATCTATCATTTTTGTCAAATATGAAAGCATTACATTGGAGCAACTTAAGATGTTCAAGTTTTTGATGTAGTCTTTTAAATTGGCAGTTCACAGTCCAGAGCTGATTTATTGACACTTGGATTGGCTGTGACCAATATATTAACAGGTCTCATATGGCTCACTATCAAGCCAAAGTCCATATCTGCGGTGAGGACTCTGCATCTGCTCCTCCCACCCTTCTTTTTTGCCCTTTTTTTCCCCTTTCATTTATTTAAGTGTATGTATTGCTTATTGATGCTTGCTTTCTCCCTAATGCTGATGGACGAACATAATGTTTTGTGTTTTAGGTAGATCCTCAAGGAGTGGAGTGTCGCATTATTTATTCCCACCTCCATGATTTTGTGGTTTCTGAGCTATTATGGTACTGCTGCTTGTTTTCTACTTTTCCAATTATCTTAAACTAGAAATTCTTGAGGTGCAGGAAGATACTAATCTAATTGTTTTACTAAAATGATGCACTCAATTGGCCTGCCATGGTTTGATCAGTGAATATGGGGCCTTAAAATAATTAAAACACAATTAGGAATGTGTCTTCTGTCAAATGCACACTAATACATTTGTTGACTAATGTTTATGGCCTTTCTTGATATTTTCAGAATTTGCAGCTCGCTACTTTTGAAGGACTATTTTAACTTCTGAATTGCTCGATGTCTATGCTGAATAAAATTGACTAAGAAAATTTATTTATTTGTTTGCCAAAAATGAAATAAGAAGAATAAACTCCTAATTTATGTTAACGTCTTAGTTCCTTGCCCCCTACTCCCCTCCTTTTTATGAAGGGAGGATATACGACGTATTCACTATTGATAATTGCTTTTGTTGCTCATCCTAGGGTATGGGAATCTCTGTCAGCTGTTACTTGCTGCAGATCTCTAGTTATTGTCTATGATAGCATTTGTCTTCTACAAATTGGTGTGGCAGCTGAATCTCACAATAAGGGTGAAGCACTGGCTGTGGATGCTGCCAAATTGATGCAAGGTTCACTTTATCAAGCTGTCATGAAGTCTGGAGCTCGTAAGTAATTGCCACAAATTGGAATTATAGGATTTTTTTTAACTCTTTCTCCATGCTATATACACTGCCTTAAGGAGTGATTTGAAAAACGCAAATGACTGTTTATCATTTTGCAGAGAATTATTTGGCCAATCTCTCTCTCTATCCTGGGAGATCTGAGCTGCCATTTTTCCCTTCAAATACACAGGTAATCATGCTTACTTTTCTCAAAAATAAGCCTAAGAAGAGGTCTCTTCTTACTTAGTTGACTATTCACTGCACATTACCCAGGCAAAATCACCCTTTTGATAACTTTTTTCCTCAATAATGTTACCTTTCCATTATTCTAGTTGAGCTACACTGTCCTTATAATTAAAATCTATTATGTAATTCTCAATTTGTACTATATAAGAGTGTGTATATTAGTATATTATTGAGAAAAGATAAAATGTCGCATAGAGATTAAGGTGCAACTCTTTTACATTTAATCAGTGACCTTTACTCCACATGACTGCCTCTATACACTTTATAATTGCATATGACCACTTTCCACTATTAAACTTCTGTAGCAGGGACTTTTCGTTTGTTATCATCCTTCTAACAACCATTTTTCACCATGGCCATTGTAAAATGTTTTGAGTCCTTTTGTTGAAATTGGTGTCTAACCTTTCCAATTTCTGAAGTCCTTGGAAGTCTTGTATTTTCTATCTTTGGATCTCTATCCTACTCCTTGATGCTGACTCTTAGGTTTCATGTTGCATCAGCAGCATAAAGTTTGTTAGTGCACCTCAGAACAAGAGGGATATGAACTATGAATTAATTTGAGTATCCATGGAAAATTTGCCTTTTTAGCATGGTGTTGAAGATATGGTAAAATCACTAAAGAGGATGAACTTTTGCTGTTTAGTCAGATTTTGTTGTTTCAGGCATGCTGATGAACTACATTTAAGCTTCTAAATTTTTGTAATAATTATTTTGTGCCATTGGAGTCAAATGTGGTATATATATATAAAGGAATATGTTTAAATTATTTCATTGATTTATTTACTATAGAAACAGTTACTGTTATATGTTTACTGCTTTTACCAATTCACAAACACAGCTTTTTCAATATCTACCCATCAAAATAACTGCTACTGCAATTTGCCAGGCAGTGATTTTACAGCCACTTGGAGCCAAAGGAATTGCAATAATTGGTGGTCACACAATTAGGGGTTTCACAAGTTCTGACCAGGTCCTGCTTTTCAAATTCTTTATCCATTCTCATTAACTTCAATCTGCATCTTTTTCATGCCTCCATTTTCTTCGTGCTAATTTTAATGTTACTCATATATTGAATGGATTATCAAGTGGATCATTAAAAAAAGTTGTCAACCTGTGCAACTTGACCAATATTGACTGAACTGATCCAATCTTATTGGGTTTCCTGTACAATGTATTGTTTGATTTAAATTGTGAGTTCCTTTATCAGGTCAGGTTCTGTTTTCCATCAGTATCAATAGTAAACTGAGTAGCAAATCTTAAAAAGCATAGTTTAGCTTTCCCGCATTGCATTTCACTTTTTGAGGATATTTTTGAGATTGGGCTTTTGGAGAGGGAACTTGCACTGTATTCTCAGAGATTGTAAGAGTTGAGCCTGCACTTGGTATCAATGACAATGGACATGAGATGGCTGGCCATTGAAGAAGGGTGTGTCTGGGGGAATTAGGGGTTCTGTGGTTTATAGGAGCTGTATTTAGTTGGCAATATAATGGGTTGTATATTCTTGGAAAAAGGGAAGTGTCAGGAAGCTATCTATGGACTGTATGTATATGTGTGAGTGCGAGCAAGAGATGCATTTTCTTATTGGGCTGGTATATGAAATGTGATTCTCCTGCAACTGTAATTGAGCAACACTAAAGCTAATATGAGCAGAATTTTTTTGGAGGCCTGTAGCTGCAGTAACCCAATCTTGCCAGGAAGATACAGCCCAACATCTGACCTGAACTCGGGATGACCCAAGACCCAACCAACCTTGACCTTAATTTTTTACCCCATCTATTGCTATCTTGCCTTTAGGTTTCCAGTGGTCTGCAACTAGCATTTTCAGTAAATTTTATTTGCTTTGATTTGCCCAATTTTTTTCTTATTTGCAGGCATGGATTACGTTTATTGGGGACAAACTTGATTCTACACTAGGAAAGTATGCGATCAACAGGCCATTGGCAGTGCAAGATAGAGTTTGAACCGAGCACTTGTAGGTTCTTTCGAACTCATGTATGTTACTATGTTCCATATTTGATGTATCCTTTATGCGAGGTAATTTTATCTTTAGGTTTGTTGTGTTTCAGAATTCTGCTACCAACAAGCTGTCAAGTTATGACTTTGATATAGAAGCCTGTAGGCATTTTGTCAAATTCCTTTTGATGTCATCTGTCTGAACATTACTGTTAAATTTTGAAAATATTCCTTCCCGTTTTTTTTTAACTAGCGTTTTCCGTTTTAGTTCTGCTTGTACCGTTTTGTCTGATTGCTCTAACAACACATTAAAATAATAGGAACCTAGTATGATGCATCCATGGAGATCTTTATCTTTATCTTTTGATTGGTTTCCTGCACAGCAGTTTATATTGAGACCGGAACAAAGGTATCAAGATTCCAGATTCAACATCCTACATGGTGCCAGGCAATTCTATGCTACTCCTGATCCTCAATTTTATGATATTGTGAATTCTAATGTATGCGTTCTCGCACTTACTTTGGAACATTTATTTTTTCTTAGAGATTATTTTGATACTAGCAGTGATATGGATTCCCCAGTTTAGCATGAGTACATGTAATTGACAATCTGTGAATAGTGATGTAAAGATAAATTATTGGGACGTGATTTGACTAATTTTGTCCTTTGTTTATTGCATTAACTTCGATTTGAGAATGGAAGCATGTTTTGTTGGTTGGGAACATCCAGATTAGGTTTGACTTTAACCCTCAAGAGAATCTGTTATGCCAAATTATATGATACTGAACTTTTATTTTCTTATTTGTAAAAATTTTTTAAAAAAAAATCCTCCAAATTTCCAACTCCTAGCATTTCTAAAACATACCATCAGAATGTATGAAAAACTTTCTATTCAAGTTCATATCATCTTTACACATTAAATAAAACTTGTGCTGGAGCTGTGTTTTAAACAGAAGATCAATGGAACAAAAAATGATGAAAAGAATCAATTTCATATCTTAGCAACTTTACAACTGTGTAAGAACTGTATGATTTGCATGTCTATGAGAATCAAAAAGCAAAAATTGCAAGAGAAACAAAAGAATGGACAGCTCTGTGTATGATTACTCTGTTTTATATAGGTGCCTCCTGCATAGCTGCAAGCACCTTCAATTTGTGAATTTGTTAGAAAGAAGACCTCTCCCAAGGAAGTAAACCAGTTGCAGGATCAGCAAAGTTGGCCAACACAAAATCCTTGAGCCCAGTATCCCAAACATCACAGAATCTTAGCCTCCAGTCTGGAGGTTCTATGGCCACGGTCCCTAAACCAGGTGCTCTGTCTTTTGAACCCTTGTTTTGATCCTCCTGCCAATTAGTAACATATGTAGAAACTCTTCGATAAAACTTTGCTTTAAAAGTATCCCACACTTGATATTTATAGTGGTTCACTAGAGCAGTGCTTTCAGGCACATTGAAGTATCTATATCCTGCCTTGAGTCTGAAGTGATGCACCACATTAAGAAGAGTTGTATCCAGTAGGTCTGGTCGAACAATAGATTTATGCCGCTCAGGAGCTTGAAGCCGGCAAGTATACCCAACAGTTACTCCTTGTGATGGAGCTGAGGTTAACCCAGAAGGTCCAAAGCTATGACAAGTTGTTCTTATCTCTGCATATATTGGTGAATTGGTGTAATTTGCAACTAAAGTTTTTAGCGAATCCTGCCCAAGCATATTCCGTCCCAGGTGACGAGGAAAATAAAAAAATTCATCCACATCGAAGAAACCAAGCCACTTACATTCACTCCTTGCTCGTAAAGCACAATGTGAAAACCCAGCTTCTTGCGCTTTAGTCCATGGCCAAGCATGTCTACTAACATTATAATTCTGCAAATTAAGCTCATCAATCACATCTTGAATATCATCATCACTATTATTATCATAGATGAACCATCTCTCGACTCCCAGCCAAGCATGGTAGGTAATCCATTCGCGAAGAAATGATGCTTGATTCCACAACATTGTACAAGCACAGAGCTCATACTTGTCTCTATAACTCCTCTGCTTACGAGACATAGTGCTATAAACTTTGGCCACAGAAGGTAGAATTGCATCATTGACATCTTCATTAGCAGCATCAACACGACTAACTGAAACTCGAATTCCCTGAGCCTTCTCTGGATTGGTTCTAACACTTCGTGGTAACGAACACCTAATAACTTCTTGTGCAGCTGCAGTTGCTTCGGTAGTGAACACAAATCCCTCATCCTTGTCAAATTTACTTAAACCAAAGTGGCACCTGAATTGTGATGGATCTGATTCCTTGTGTGGCCGAAGATTCAATCCTTTAACAAATACAACGGCTGTATTCGAATCCAATATCGCCTCATAAACCACCCTATCCCATGAAGGAACAACTGCCAACCGATTACCTTCCGCCGTCACCTCCCAATGTCGCCGCAAGTCAACAACGGCAGAAAAATTAACCGGCGGGAGCTGACACCTCACAATAGACTTATCTTGACGATAATCATCAATAGATAAAGCCGGTATTAAAACGACATCTTTGGAAGACGAAGAATTGGACAAACCGTAGTAAACACAATTTAAACTCTCATGGATATAAAGTCTGTTAGAAACAATAAGCAGCAAGTGGTCAGGCAACAGTACTCTATCTTCCACGACGAAAGGAAGGGATTTAGGATCAAAAGAATCATGAGTTAAAGATAGACGGCCAGAAGGCAAGAACGACACAGAGAGAACTGGACGAAACGACGCAGTGTTGATAGAAAAGCGATCTGAGGAAATGAAGAGGAGAAAGACGAAGAAAGAGAAGCAAACAGCTAGAGACCTTACTGTAAAGAAGTTACCGTTATACGGTCTATATACTCGCTTGCGCTTGCGGCGTTGCTCTGAAGAGTCCATTATAATTCTATACCAACGAACAAACTAAACAAGAAAATTGGACACTTGTAGGCAGCAATAGATCTTGGAAGAGCAGATCTAGAGGGTTCTATTGGTGAAGTGAGTTATGAGTCTACTGATTTGTGTACAGGAAGACAGAAACCAAAAACGCGTTAATGGCTGCCGTCAGAAGGGGCGGCCAAAGACTGAATGATGTCAGTATAGAATGGTGGTAGCGGAAGAACAAGAAGAAGAAGAAGGGAAGAAGGAAGGAAAGTAATATTAATAATATTAAATTAAATAAAAAAATAAAAAACGCTTTGTATTTATAAAAGAAGGGGATGAGGACTGAGGAGGAGGGTGAAAGGAGAAAATGAAATAAGGTGGACTTGATTAAAGCGCGTGAAGGTGACGTCCGTCCGGTATTTAAGTTATTTGATACAAGTAAAGTTGAAATCTTTCGCTTTTATTACTGTGTCTTTGCAGTGATATATATATATATATATATATAAGGGTGAAAGGAGAAAATGAAAAAATAAGGTGGATTGATTAAAGCTGCGTGAAGGTGCCGTCCGTCCGGTATTTTAAGTTATTTGATAAAGTAAAGTTGAAATCTTTTCGCTTTTATTACTGTGTTTTGCAGTGATTATATATATATATATATATATACTATATTCCACTTGGCATATATATATATATATATATATATTTCCACTTTGGCCCTTTCAAAAAAAAAATATATTTCCACTTTGGGGGTGGTGCTGTGCTGATGTGGACTTCTTGCTGTGTAAAGCAAATGTGTTGTTGTTAAAGCAATTATTGAAGTGATGATCTCTTTAGAAAATTGAATTTGATTTATTAATAGATAAAATTTCAGTAGATGAGTTTAATAAGACAACTTGATGCTAAAGTCTCCCTTTATTTATACTCTGTTATTGGAATTTTCCTGTCGGTTATTTTTTGTTTTACTTTGGAAGATAGATAACACCGTTGTAACGCTTCTCTTGTGAAGAATTATCTTAATTTTATTTTTGCTTGATTGATAGAATTAATTAGCATCTCAATTTACCAAAAAATCTAAGATTTTAATTCCATAAACATGATTATATTATACTTATTTTGCTTTGAAAGCTTTTTTTTTTATATATATATATATGCTATAAACTACCGATTTCAGAAGTTATCAATTCACCGCTAACGATGATCGATTTTGGTTCATGAGGAATTTCAAACCATTTATGAATTTCTTTTATCAAATGAAAAAAATTTAAATAAAGCTAGGAATTTATTCAAAAGCCCTTATAACTAAAGTCTCCCCATAACAAATATTAACCATATAAATTGATTTTCACATGTCTAAAATGTCCATATCAAATATAATTGTAGCAATAATATGACTTTGGAACCTACCATCAAAAGAAATTACCCCATAATGATGTGCATGTGCACCTAAACAAAATGATAATGCAACAACAGTGAGATTGGAAATTTCACCTTCCACCTATTGGATAATGGATTTGTTAATTAGAATTTTAAGATAATTTTAATTTTTAATTTTTCATTTGTATTTGTATCCATCTCAAATTTATTTAAATTTTCTGTTAAAAATATTTTATACCAAACAAAGATAAGTTTAGATAAAGAAATAATTAAAATAAATTAATAAATATGAATTTGGATATCCATAATATTCAAGTAAATGAATTGAAACCACCATAACAACTTGTTTGGTGTTGATCCTTAATTTAAAAAATTGAAGTAGCCAAACCTCACAAGTCACATGTTATTTAGTTAACGGGCTTCGATTATTTTATGTGGCATACAACATTACCACCCTGACTAATACAATACGTAAAAACCTTAACCTTCGAACTAAATCTGAAACAAACTTTAACTTGTTTCTTCTTCCAATTTTAGTTCGGTCTCCTAAACTTTAAAAAAGCTTAATTATCATTTCCTTTTCTATTTTCTTACGAATTTCTTATTTATTGATATTTTTTAATCGCTCCTTAATTTTCATTTTTTTTTTATAAATTTTCGTATTTTTTAATAACTAATAGATAATATAAATATATGAGAGTAATAATTGAGAGTCTTAAATTTTAATCACATGTATCCTATATAAACATAATCTGATAAAAAAAAAATCATATATATTCATAATCTCATTTTATATATCTATCTTTTTTTTTTTTCTCTCCGTCTTTGATTTGATTTGCAATTTCATTTCATATGTACGTTATTTATTGTTATTTTTATATTCTTTGTTGTCTTATATACATTCTTTTACATTTAGGTGTTTTCATATTTTTTTATTTGGAATTAATAAATATTAATATAAGATTTTTTAATTTTCCTTTATTTTCTATATTTTGTAGAAATAATAATTAAATTATATTTACGGTAAAATAATTATATTAAAAATAATATCTATCTATCTATTATTTAGATTCAAAAACTTTATTTGTATAAACTTATCATAATAAGATATAATATTTTAAATTGTTTGAAGTATAAACTTTAACTAAAACCTATACATGATTAATTAAATTTTTTAATTATTTAAAATAAATTAACTGCATTACAATTTCTGTAACACCATAATCTAATAAAGCAATTTGTCGGAAAGCAGATTATTTAATAATATTAGTAAACACAATTTATAAAATATAAACAATAAAACAACTCACAAAGAAAAATTACTTTTATTTATATCTATAAATTATAAATTATCAAAGCAACCCGCACAAACACAACTGCAGATACCAGTGATATATATATATATATATATATAAAAGCAATTGCACAAAAGCACGGGCTTTCACCAAATCTATTTATAAATTAAATAACTTCATGTTAATTTATATGTAATAGAATGATTTTTCTATTTACATATATAATATATGAAATGATAATGTGTTGTTGCCATTTTGCTTGGCTTTCCTGGTATACATAGAAGATAGCTGGCAAAAAGAAAAGAAGAGTAGGTTTTATTTTATTTTATTTCAAATATTCGTGTAAAGCACGCCTTAGGCTGTCTTATTTTTGCATTATAACTTAAGAAAAAACATGTTCTATGCCCACCCTTTCATGTGCTTCCCAAAAAGCTTCGGAAAAAAATTTCTGTTCTCAATTTTGACATGTTGACGAACTTGCTGGCAAATGAATTTCAAATTTTCATTTTAAATTTTTAAATTGAATTAAAATTTATAAGAGAAAAAACATGTATTTTATCAACATGGATAAGTAAATTTTGGCAGGATAACTCAAATTTTTTTTATAAAAAATAGAAGTAGACTGTATTTTTAAGTGAATTTTTATTTATAAAATTAAAAATATGAAATTTAGAAACCTACTTCTCATGGTACCACTTGTTGAAAAAGAAAATAATAATTTATAAATAATGGATGTGATTGGATAATTATTATCAAATGGGATAAGCTTTGGGCTTTCCCCTTTTAATCTACAGAATAAAGAAGCAACAACTTGGATGGTATATTCTCAAGTAAGTTGTATGTTATGCTATCTAATTGTCCCTTTCTGAACATTATTTAGTAGCCATCCAACAAATATTAGGTTTCATCCCATCAGGCCTTGCATTGATAGCAAAGGCTGAGCTTTTTGATATACCAAAAGTTTTACGTTTTATAATCAAATAATTTTCGGAACAATTTAACAAATGTCAGAAATTAGGTTTTTATATTAACAAAATGTCAAAAAAATTATGAAAATTAAGAGAATGTTAATATTGGTAAAAAAATAAATTAATAATCTCCAAACTAATTTTATATAATTTTTGTGATTTAATAAAAACGACGAGGTGACGTCAATAATAATGGCGACGATAATAAAGAGTAAAATAATAAATGAATAATGAAAATGAAATTATTTTAATATTTAAAAGTTAAATTGATATTTTTTAAAATAAAGTTTTAAAATATGACATTTATTACAGTATCCTATAATTTTTTACTCATTACGGTTATCTTCGATGGGTGTAAATTTATATTTTATGATTGTGTTAAGTTTGAAATCTCCTAAAAGTTATGCATCATGATATAGATTATACTATAGTATTATCTCTGAAAAAAAAAGGAAAAATTTAATAATTAATTTCTCCCTTTGAAAATAAATCTAAACTATGATATTTTCCTTCAATACTTAACTACTTTGATGGAGTGATATTTTTGTACAATATGTTTACATTAGCCACTTTGTTGTAATAAAAAATTTCAATTGGAAAATAAAAAGTTAAACTTTCAAAAACTTTAAACTTACAAATCCCAAAAGTTAACTAAGTTGGTAGGTAAATTTATTCTTCACTTTATGAATTAGGGTTCAATAATTGAAGTTAGACCATAAATGAAGATTTTTCTAATTTAAAAATCTCCAGGTCTCAAGTGAATGAAGATTTTGACTTAATGAAATATATATTGACTTACAGGTCATATATTGAGCCCAGTCTCTTATAGCACTCAGGCCTTTAAAATTTTGTCTTAGATTTCTTTTGGATTTGCTATTTTGTTTCCTTTTCTTGTGGGCCTAGTATAAGTCAGGGTTTTCTTTTTGGGTTAATACCTAAAACCTACTACCCATAAAGCCCATGGATAGGTTTCCGGAAGATGGAGAGACCAGCAGCTTTTTTTTTTTTTTTTTTTTTTTTTTTTTTTTTTTTTTTTTTTGACATGAAAGGGGAAACAGCTTTTACTTATGTAAAGTTACATCCAATTAATTCAGAAGAAGGTATTATCAAATTCATGATTACTAAGGAATTTCTACCCGTAAGGGTGAGATGGGATTTACAGAGATCCCTTTCTTTTAATCAGAAGTCTCGAGCCCTATGTATGGAATCTTTTTAAACGTTTGGAATGGAGTGCTTTGAGCCCTTTGAAAGTATGTTCGGCGTCCTAAGTATGAAATCCTTTTAAATGTTTGGAAGGGAGTGCTTTGAGTTCTTTGAAAGCATGTTCGGCGTGAATCCGAACTAATCTTATTCGAAGTTCTAATTTCGCTTCGATACATTAATTAACTTCCATAAAAAATTTTACCCACATTTTTTTCGAACCTGTTAGTTTGAGCTTTAAGGCTGAAGTCTTTATACAGGAGAGGAATGACCTGCTTAACACAAATGTTTCAGTGTATTTAGGAACTTCTTTGCATTTCGGTTCCCACTAGTCTCCACAACTGACTCATTCACGGTTAGGCCATGAGAAACTATCAAGAAATTGCCAGAAAATGTATGTTTTTATCCACCGTCCGTTCCAATACATGCATAACAAGCCAAAAAATGTTGTGAACTTGAGGCTATCTCTGTACAGATTGAGTCGATAATGACACGAGGGCTAAATAAGAATCATACATGCAATAATGTAAAAAAAAATTGCTCTGGCGACCAAATGCAAAAGCGAATGCTACCTCTAAATGACAGAATCCTGATGTTATATATTTCATAAATGATCAATGAGAGCAGGGGCGAAGTCAGCCTTTACAATTTGGAGGAGCCAAATAAAACTTTTTACAAATTAAAGGGGGCCAGCTGGGAAATAAGAATTTTTTTTTTTTGACTAATTTCAAAGGAAAATTTAAAAATTCTTTTGGAACTTGGCCCCCCCCCCCCTTCTTTCCTCCACTCCTGAATGAGAGTAATGCAGAATTTTCACATTCATGCCCTTCTGTGACAGACTTGATGCCCTCTTCACTGTTTGATGACCAAGGATGCTCGTTCTCAGTTAATATAACTGTTGGAACACGCTCCTATATCCGCTAAGCAGGTAATCTGATTAACATAATGATAACAAAGATTAGTATGCAAAACCATGCAACTGCGAATTTTTAGGCGTGCTATGTGTGCCCTATGTGTGCTTGACGTTGAAATATAAATACTGTTTTGGTTAAAATGATAGTGTAATCATATAAATCCAACGACAATTCTCAATAACTTTGGGTTGATGTATGCAGCTTTTCCCCTACTTTTTTATAGAGGTTGTTTCCGTAACTCGAATCCATGATCTCCAAAGTCACAAGTGGAGTAACTTTATCATTACACCGAAGCCACCTTTTTTTATTCCTAATTTACATGACAGAAAGGTATACATTCACTGATAAAAAGTAATAGGGACATATAAAGAAAATATATTCAAGAAAAAGCTTAGTGTCGTCAAAAAATGTTTAGGAATTATGTTCAGCATTTGGAAAATTTCGGAGTGCTGGTGCTGATTACCGCAGTTAGTTATCAGACCAGAAGACAGGAACATTAAACAGAATTTAACGAATTGATGTTCAAAAATGAGTATAAAACAGAACATAGAAAGCAATGATTTAACCAAAGCGAAATACAAGTACAGAGAAGTGTAAAATTTAGATTGTTACCTGCTGCACAAGTTCAATGTTGTTTTACAAGAACATTCAGTGCGCATTGACATTCTGAACTTGTCCATCATCTTGGATAATGTTTCTTGACATATGATTTGAATACATCCCTGAATTCTTCCTTGCAACGCTACAAACATCAGTCAATGGATTCATAACAAATTCACCCCTGTTTTGACGCTGAAACTTTTGGCTATATCCATTGTGTGTTTCAGTGCTGACATCTTTGTGAATGTTCCGTGCAGCATGCAGTGATTGCATGTTCCCAGGAGAAGAGAACCTCGAAGTAGAATACCGACCTTCTGTTCTCCTCCAGAATTTAGAACTCAAGAATTCTGCACCAGGCAGTTTGCAACACGTGTTATCTGCGGGTTCAGTATTAGGAATCCTTCCACTTGATAATGCCAAGTCATATGAAATCTCATCCAATGTCATTTCCAGACCACGAACACGTGTCTCCAGAGAATTTATCCCATGCTGGGAGCTCCCAATGAATCTCTATATTCAAGTGAAAATGAAGTCAGTAAACAGTTCTTATAATGTTCGAGCATTAGCATCTCAACGATTGTTCTACATTATGATTAAAGCATTAGTTAATAATAGAAAATGATTATTGGATTTTCTACACAAGATTCATGAAAATTATATGAGCACTAAAATGATAAACTGTGATAGGCCTTAGTCTCTAGTATCTAGGGAACCATCGAACATTAATAGTTGAAACATGTGACTGTGAAATTGTAGAGATTATAACAAAGTTAGGGACTTCAGCAAATACCCCATAAGCAAACTGAAATAAGGATATAAACCACAATTTACACGAATTACGAACTATGAAGAGAGGTAAAAGAAGATAAAACTCTAGTAGATGTATGTACCTGGAGGAGGTCAAAAAGATTTGATTGCTGGTTTTCAATCTGAATAAGCTGGTCATGGATCAAAGACAGATCCTCAATGTCTTTATGGTTCTCAAAGAATTCTTCAGTACAATAACTGACATCAACATCTTTGTTGTAACTACTGTCATCATCATTGCATGGAACCACTCTTGACCCAGATTTCAAACCACCGAATTTGAGCAGTTTATCCTCTCGGATACTACTAAAGAGGACACGCTTGGTTTCTGGCTGGCATTTCTCATTCTTTGCATCATCCCATGATGCCAAAACTCCAGAATCACACCTTTTAATATCAGCCCCACAGCCCATGTCTTGTGGTAGAACCAAATCAATTTTCCAGGAAGAGGCTTTCTTGTGGTCCATTTTACGAAACATTGCTGTCTTTGAATTGTCATTGTTAATCTTTGCAGGGCTTTGTTTTCTGGCAGTGGTCACAGACGAAGCATCGGATGGGGGGGACCTGTTTGCAGGGACTGTTTTCTTCGGTTGAGGGGATTTGGAACTGATTTCATGAGAAGTATCAGAGGCAACAGAAGGGGAGCTTTCGCAATTATCTGGTCCGACAGCAAAACCCAGGAAAAGCATAAATAACATAACATGAAATTGTTCAATTATAGATAATTTTGCTACAATGACCAAATTGACAATGCCAAACACTTAAATTATAATGAGAAAACAGTACAAAAAGAAAGTTGTACTATAAAGATACAAGCTCATTTTCATTTATACTGATCCATTGCTATAAAGATTAAAGGATAATAAATTTTTTCATCAATCGAGATAAGAACACCTTCTGATTTTTAAAATCGCTTTAAAATTTCAAAAGAAAAAGAAAAGGAAAAATGGAAAGAAAAATCTTACCCTTTGAAGAAGATTTAGAAACTTCATCAGAAACGCCAGGAACTTCCTTCCATAACTCTATGGTTCGATTCATAGTCTCTCGAACTGCCTTCACCTATAACACGAATATCATATCAGGCAAATTTGTAACAGGAAAAAGAAAACGACGCATTTCTCACGTTTCTTGCAACCAGACAGAATATATGCAAATCCCAGAGAATAAGAAACAAAAAGAATGTACCTTATCAAATCTCTTGCTCTCCAGTGAACTCAAGCACGCAGCTTTATGTTCTTTTGCCAATTCCTTCTCCACTAAGGCCACCTTCCCCAAGGCCTCCGCCGTCGCCTTTCTCGCCGTCCAATCTTCAATACTCAAAAACTCTACCAAACACGGCACTAACCAATCCAACACGCCCTTACATGACGCGCCACCAACGCCAACAATATTTCCGATCACACTCAACAACGCCGCCTTCGCCTTACATCCCTCGCCCTTCACCAACTTGCCCAACCTAGGCAACAACTTCCTCAACTGCTCCGCCTCCGGCTCCGGCGCCGCCTCTATCGCAGCCGCCAAACACATTGCCGCACCGATCTGAGCATTAAAGTCCTGCTCGAGCGTCAAAAGCTCAATAAGCGGCTTAGACAGCGTAGAAAATGGTGGCTTCGTGATCTGCGACGACATAGCAGTGGTAGCCTCAACACAAGCTGAACGGACAGCGGAGTCCGGATCACGGAGGCGGCGAGTGAGGGTTGAAATCATTTTAGAAAGATGAGGAGAAAGAGAGTTGCCATGAGAATTTGAAAGAAGAGTCAAGAGGTTAACACATTGTTTCCTAACAGGAGATTTACAAGAAGCATCGGTGTTGTAAATGCAGTTAAGGAAAGGCGAGAAGGAATCTTGTGTTAGCGTTTTAGCAATAGATTCGAGCTCTATTGTGGCGAGAGAGAGTGTGTCTCGATCGGAGAGCTTGTTGAGGCAGGTAATGACACGGTGCTTGAGATCGCTGGTGGTTGACGAAGGTGGACTAAGTGAAGATCTTTTTGGCGGAGACATTTTGGGTTCAACTTGAATTTTTGTGGGTTTGTGTTATATGTATCAGCTGCGGTGCATTTGAGTCGATGGTTTCGGCGATGGTGGCGGTGCTGGTGGTGGCTTTAAGATTTGGCGGCAGACTCGGTGGTGGGGAGATTTTAGTAGTTACAAGTCCATATTATGGTGCGTGAATGCATATTTAAATTTTTGAGGAAGGGGCAGTGGGAACTGGGCAGTGCCCCTTCAAACTGAATTAACTGATACAAATTGTCTGGATAAGAGATAAAAATAAAAAATGATAAAGTTTCTAGCTGGGATAAAAATAATTTGTAGTAATTTAAAAATTTTCAAATATTACAAAAACTTGAATCTAAAAAATCTTATATGATTGTCTAGCTTCTAATATAAAGATAATAATGAAATTTGGATATTTAGGTCTCGTAAATTGGTTTTGATTGATGAACAATATCTAACTTTATAATAAGTATTACAAGTTATTTATTAAAATTTATAAATTCTAACTAAATAGGAAATTCTCCAAATTGTATTTCTTTCTTTTTTGGTAAAAAATAGACAAATCTCCAAATATTATAAGCACATCTTAAAATTAACAACATTCATAACATCATGCACAAGCTAACGAGACATTTTGAATGATAGCTACTAGCAATTTTAGAAAGAAATTTTAAGGAGAAAATATTATAATTACAAAATAGGTTTATATACCAAAAATATAAATATGCCAATACGTAAAATTTTTATTTTTTAAAATTTATTTTTGGATCAACATCAACAGTGATATATGATTGCCTATAAACAGTTATATGATTTATCATTTTTTAACCAATCAACGATTTAACCGATTTATAAAGAATTATAATTATTTAATCAATTATTAGAGATATATATTGAAAAATAATTTGGAAGGTAAAAGAATGAGACATGAATCTAGAGAGCTGAGAGAATGAAATTTTGCTGTCAATCATTTAGAGGATCAAGTGGGCACATGGGAGGTCTCTGAGGCCTGCCGGCTTTCATACAAAACCAAACAAAAATTAAAACATTACCTATCTTATATTATACCTATGGATTTTGCTTTGGTCAAGCATTCTTGGAATTCTTTTTGCTTGCTCTTCATTTTAGAGAACTAATCATAATGATTTGATGCTTTTAATCCATTTTTCTTCTATATTTCAATATTTTATTCAAAAATAACATAAAATCAAATAAAATTTCGACCTATTGATACGAAAATTCTGCATAATATATATTTTTTTCTAACGAATAGTTAAAAATATCTTAATTTCAACGAAAAATTATTTTTTATTAATTTGCTTAGACCCATAAATCAAGAATCAATCTTAAAATAAATAACAAAAAAATTTATGAAAATCACTTTTCCTTTGTTGACTTATTGTATTTTTATTCTCCTTTTTTTTTTTGCAATATATATATAATTTCTTTATAAGGGGAAATAGTAAAGAAAATGTAAATTCATGGATTAATTTCAATATCAACCTACTTTTATATAGCTAAAGAAATTTTTCTTTTTTTCAAAAGCTAACCCCAGAAAGATAGACAATTGAATCCAATTATTAATCTAGGGAAAATTACTTATTTAAAAAAAAATCAAAAAGAAAATATTTCATTTTCATATGTATTATCACAAACTTAATTAATTAATTAAGCACCTTAATTTATGGATTTGATTTGATTGCAAGCGAACTCATTGAATGAATTGGTTCATTCTCCTCCAAATCGTTTAGGTTAAACGTTAAATCTTAAGTTTTGGTTGACCCACACATCTCATATATGTATATAAAACTAAAAATATATATTAGAAAGGTAAATTTTATGTATTAAAAGTTCCTATATTAGTAGAAACTAACAAATTTTACCATTTTGGATTGCAGTTATCATTAATCATTTATTACTTAATATATTGTAATTTACCAGTTCTAATGGGAGTAATTAAGATTATAAGGTCATAAAAATAGGATATGTGATTCTGGGGTACCCTATAATGGTAAAAGAACGGAAAAAAAAAAAAAAAGAAAAGAAAAGATTCCCACTGGAAATTAAGGGTAGAGTAGATAGATTAGCATTAACTAAGTATATATTAAGTTGCTAAATGGTAATTAATAAAGATTGAACAAAGAGGAGCTAAATGTGGAGCATGTGACAGACATGGAAGGAAACATCGTTAAAGTGATCTAAGCACAGATAATCACGTGACACTCAGTATGAAAATTCAATGAACTGAAGGAAACCACGGTTTCTAGTAAAAGCATTACATGATTGGATTTGGGTTTGAGTGTAGAAGATTGCAAATACCCCTTTATAATATAAAAGATAGCTCCCTCTGAAAATCTAAGCTTTTTCACTTTAGCTATTGTGTTTTTTCTTTTTTTTCTTTTTTTCATTGGTCTCAAATAAACGCGTTATTCCGAGATTAAAAGAATTTGAATTTGAAATTTCTCACTTCTTATATAAATAAAAATAAAAACCGATTGATTTTTGTTTTTACTTTAGCTATTCACAGATAATTGTTACTTTTATTATTTGATTTTTGGAATTAATATTAGAATTTAACTTTTAAATATATAGATAAATATGTGAAAATATTTCATTAAATTCATTGAAAATGTAACTTAATTTTTATATACAAATTTAAAAAGTCAAGTCAATTTGAATGAATAAATTAGGGAAATCTAGGTTATAAAAGACAAAAATTACCAGCTAAATTAGGATAACCTAACTTATAAGGGACAAAGCTTACAAATTAAAGATGAGGGGTCACGGTGTGAACTTTCCACTAGAGAATGTGAGAACATCAGCTTAATCATCTGAGCTAAGCATCGCTTATATATATAAAAAAATTGATTACAGGATACTTAAAGAAAAATTTTAAATACATTACTTGCACTTGCTGCAGTAATTTTTTTCATCATGAGGTTTAATTTTTTCAACTGCCTCACTAATTATTGATCAGAACAACCAATTCCCAACCATTAGATCTCTTTACTTGAATGTTTGACTTTGATAAAGTCAAATTGGTAACCAATGTGATGCATAGGGATAAAAACGAATCGAGCTGAGCTCAACTTATCAGGTTTAAAGTTCGGCTCGGTAGAATTTAACTTGACTCGACATCGATTTTAAACTCCACAAGCTTAAAAATTTCAGACTTGAACTCAACTTGAGGTTTAAGTTCAATTTAAAAAATTTTAACATTGAACTCAGCTCGAGGCTCAAATAAATTTAAAATAAATAAATATTATATATATGTATATATAAAAACTTGATAAGACTCGAATTTTCAAGCTAAACATCATTAGTTTCAAGTTCGAATTGTTTACAAATGAGTCAATTCGAGCTCGATCCGAACTGAACTTTTTCAAACTTTTCTCAAGTCGAATTTAAACTGCTCGTGGAACAATTGAACACACTATCAAAGCTGATGGACCCAATGGTGGAACAATCGAACACACTATCAAAGCTGAAAATCCGTGCTGTCTAGTAGTAGACTAGCAGCAGCAAGAGTACAATTAGGCATGAATAAGCTTTTTAGTAACTGAAACAAAGTTGAAAGAAACCTAAAGTTGGTGTAAAAGAAGAAAAGATGCCCCGTGAATCAAGTTAAATTGCAATTATGATTAATTGAAGCATCAAGTGGAAATAATAAGTAATTAGTAAATATTGTTGTGTATGATGCTAACTTTCCCTAATTTGAAGGGTAGATGTTGACACAAAACAAGCTAAGGCATCCATGTGACCTTCCCTCATGTTAATTAATAGCAAAAGGGTTTGGCAGTTTTTGAGCTTATCAAATTGTAAGAACCCTAAATTCACGTACCAACAAATTGCTAATTGACTTTCAGGCTCTTTATTTTTTCATTTTTGGAGTCTCCTTTGGCTAGGGCTATTACTTGCTTTGATGCCAAAATATAGAGATATTTTCAACCCTTCATTATAACTAATTGCGATTTAAGCACATAGACCGGCTTGCGAATTAGTTCGTTCCATCACGAGATTTGGATAATATGTTCATTGACACATAGAATAATTTTCATAATATATAATCAATTTTGTTGGATTATATATTCTGGCTTTTGTTAGCTGCAATTTAAAAAAAAAAAAAAATTAGAAAAGGTGTAGACATGAAATTATTGACAGATACTGTAACTAAACTAAAAGTTAGTGCAGTGTAAGACAGGAAAGATGACGAAGTGATTATAAATTGTGAATAGGAAAGAATCTGCTTTAGCTTTGCGTGAAACACTTTGTTGATAAAGCCCCATTTTTCACACTTTACTAGACAGAACCACTTCAATTATAGATGTTATAGCAGTAAAAATTGTGATTGGATTTTATGTACTGAACTTCAATTATCAAAATATTAGCAATAAAAAATAAATTAAAACTGACAGGCTGTCGGATCAGTAAAAGCGGATTACATCTCTAAGCGAATTTTACCTATAAAATCAAATGTTCGAAACCTGAAGCCTTCACTGTTGTGTAAGAGTGGTTCAATTGGTACACTTTAATTTAGTAAAATTTAGCCATTTTGTAACTGATGATAAAAGAAGAATGTTCATAAAAAATTATTAAAAAAGAAAAGAAGAAAGAAATTCAAAATAACTTAGTGCCAAGAACTTGGGAATTGAACCTATTTCAACTGAAATTCTAATTCAATAATGGGTATTGGATTGTTTTTACATATATTCATGACAAGAACTTAGTTGATGTCTTTATGATAAGAATATGGGCAACAAAAGAGGCGTTAGATAAGGAGAAATGAATGAGTAGATTTTAGATAAAAGGGCAGATGTATATACATATGGGACCTGAGTAATGGTCCATTTTTATGTCGTTTGACCTAGAAGCAGACCCCATCTGCTAAACATTGTCCTTATATTTGCTATCCCAATCACATGGGGTTGGCCAAAAACTGTGACCAAACAAACCCACAGAATTTCTTTATCACTTCCCATGTGTATTTTCCTTCTTCCACGACATTACCACATGTAAGCTTCAGTGTTGGAAGAAACAAAGCCAAGATAGTGTGGCTGTATATATCATGTACATGGGTAAATCATTTAGGGAAAATTATAAATTGATAAAAAATATATAATATATAAAAAACATTCTGTTATTAGCCAATCGGGCATCGCCGTGTGGCAAGTGGCCTTTGGTGCCCTATGTGACTCATATTTGTTCATTTGTCTTTGTTAGGCCATGTCTTGATTTATAGTATTTGGTGTGGGGTTTGATACAATTGTGCCTTTGAATTGTGTCTATCAATTGGCCTTGGATTTTACGTTTGATCGACCTTGTTAGAGAAGGCCAGAATATCAAAGAATGGCTTCATGATTTGATGAAATGTGATGGTGATTGGACTTTAAATTGATTAACATTATTAGATAGTTTGTAAGAATCATCAAAGAGAAATATATCAACTATATAGCTAGCAAGTTCATATTCAGCAAGAATAATTGCTAATTGCTTTAGAAAATTTTAAAGATCATTTTTATTCAATTTTCCTTAAAACTGTGTTCGACAATAACTTTTTACATAATTTTTAACGTTTTATAGTGTTCGATAACATAACGTTAAATTAATTTTTAAAGGTTAAAGTAACGTTTTATAAAAGATTAATTCTTGTTACGTTTAAATTTTAGCGTTGTATAAAAAATTATTCAAACAGATACGATCGAAACGTTACTGGTTAATAATTATCAAAAGGTTAATTTTATCAAATATATCTTAAGCGGAAGAAGTTTGTTAAGAAAATTGATAATTATGCATCGTTGACATAATTGATTTAGATAGCAAAGCACTTAATTAGGTTTATGATAAGGGGGAGGTGGTGGTCAAAAGGGCCCAATTAGAGGACTAGATCACCAGCAGATCTAACTAAAATATGCCATAACATGAAAGTATATATATTATAAAACCCATTTAGAGAAATAAATTAAAATTGAGAGATTCTCCATTATTCATCTTCACGAGGCTAATTAGGCTGTATGGTGAACTTGTCATTGAGCTATAGGGTATTGCAACTTTGGTAGGTCCATCTTTTCTAGCTGCATCTTTGTCCTTACTTAACCCAATAACATGCAATACACTATACACATATTTATATATATATATAAAAAATAATAATAAACCTAATTTTATAATTAATATTACAAATAATGTTAGTTAGCAGTAGACCTATCATCAGCCCTCATAATTCCACATGGAAACTGCAATACTAATCATTGACTGATTTTTGGCTTCATTTCTATAATGGGTTGAATTTTTTGTCTTCAAATAAACTAAATTAAAAATAAATTATTATCTTTGAGTTTTTAATTAAATTTTCTAATTATTTTTAGCAGGTCCAGTGAAGCTATCAGTGCTGGGCTTTACTTCATTAATATATAATTTGATGCCTTCTATAATTATTAAATAATATTTATAATTATCTATCATTTCAGTGTTTAATCCACCTGAAGGTTATACATATATACATCAGAAAGATTGTGATCAAAGAAAAGGTAATATGACAATTAGAGCAGCATTAAAAAGCTTTTTGATTCCAAAAGTTGGTGATTAGGTAGCTAGGCAACCTTTAACAACTAATGAGATATATTTTATGATTAAGACCTCTTATCTCTCACCTCTCCTCCGATGGAGAGATGTTTATATGTTCCATTTGAAATAAATTAGATACTTCTCACTAATGTGAGTAATAGAGGTTTCGAGTCCTGGAAACTAATTTGTCACTTGAAAATGAAGAAAAATATTGAAATACTGAAATTTTTTAATTAATTTTATAAGTGGAGTATGACATTTTTTGACTTGTTCAGCAGCTCAATGAATATTATTTGGGGCAGTAAGTAACCTGTACCCTACAGCATTTGTGAGAGTTTAAGGTTATTTAATCTTAATACTACATAGTACAAATTTTGTCGGGAAAGACTGGCTGGCAAGCAAAATTCTCTGCTAATGCTTGGAAGAAATTAATGACCTGTTTACAGTGGAGTAACAAACTCTTTAAGTTTTATTTTCTGGTTGAACTATAAACTAAATATTACTCATTTTTAAAAGATTTAATGGATCTTTCTACTGAGGTTGGTGATTAGAATGATTGGAAGACCAAATATTAACAGTTAAAAATATCAAATTTTAGCGTTTTAATTATAATTTCAAGCTAGTAATAATTAGATTTTAAAATGTCGTACTTATTAAACCAAATATCAAAATTTGGTTCTCAACCAAACATCCAAATGTATACAAGAAAAATTTCTTGCTTTTCCATCACGATTTGGTGGATAAATATATCTAATTGCTGAATTTCCTGATTTGGATTTTTGAGTTAATAACTTTATTAACAAGCATTAAATTATTTTATTCTGAATAATTAATATTTGGCATTGTAATTAACATTTGTATTAAGGAACATTCCAGTTACCGTTGCTGACAAATGTATCATGAAAAATGAAATTGTTGGGACTTCAGATTTTTGGCAAAGCCGAGGTGAGATTGAGACAAGCAGAGACAAGAAAGAGAAGACTGACTTGAAGCATTAATGGGCCTAAAAAGGTAAGGATGCTTTCTGGGTGGGCCGTACAAAAACTAGTCGATGGTTCCAGAGTTTGGGCTCTAGTGCTGCTTTTGTTTACGTTGTTGGTCCATAAGAATAGGGTTCTAAAATTCCAGTCCACAAGCACAAAAAGAAAACCATTCAAAACAACACTGGCCCATTAAGGAAAAAGTGCCTTAGGCCTTCCTTTCAGGGGCCAAAGCTATTCTTCCAAAGCCCTAACAAATGAAACAATAATTATTTTAGGTTAGACTGTAGTGGCAGTGCAAGTGGGCTTTTTAGGCTCTTACAGTTCAAAATTTCCATTCTCTAATGACAGCCACACTTGTAGATAACTATTATTTTCTTAATTTGAAAAAAATTTAAATATCGTACCTAATTAATTAAACTTTTAATTAAGACGTAAAAAAGACTCTTTAGCCATTCTTTTTTTAGTTCTAGACCTAATTTAATCCCACTCTTATCAATTTAAAAAAAAACCACTCGTGATTACCAACAGCTAATAAAAAAACCCATCAACAAAATCAAAAAAAAAAAAAAAAAACATTCAAAAACAACACTGGGCCATATAAGGAAAAGTGCCTTAGGCCTTCCTTTCAGGGCCAAAGCTATTCTTCAACACCTAACAAATTGAAAACAATTAAATTATTTAGCGTTAGACTGTTCAGTGCAGTGACAAGTGGGCCTTTTTAGCTCTTACAGTCAAAAACTTTCCATTCTCTTAATGGGACAGCCACACTTGTAAGATTAAACTTTATTTCCTTAATTGAAAAAAATTTAAATATCGTACCTAATTTAATTAAACTTTTAATTAAGGGACGCTAAAAAGACTCTTTAGCCATTCTTTTTTAGTTTCTAGACTAATTAATTCCCACTCTTATCAATTTAAAAAAAAAAACATCGGGGATTAACAACGCTAATTAAAAAAAAACCAATCAAACAAAATCAAAAAAAAAAAAAAAAAAATCCACAGTTTAACCCTAATTCCAAAAAAAAAAAAAAAAAAATCCACAGGTTTAACCCTAATCCTCAATTAACATTAGAAAAAGGCATAGAGATTGACCCTTCAAAAGCCAAAGCCATTTTGGAAATGCCAGCACCGAAGACGGAAAAGGAAGTTCGTGGTTTCCTGGGAAGGCTACAGTACATCAGCCGGTTCATTAATCAATTGGCCGATACTTGTGATCCGATCTTCAAATTGCTCAAGAAAGGGGTATCCGTCAAATGGAACGAAGATTGTCAGAAAGCCCTTGATCAGGTCAAATAGTATTTACTATCTCCACCAGTCTTGCAACCACCAAGGCCAGGAAAACCTTTGCTATTGTACCTATCAGTGACAGAAGAAGCGATGGGTGCAATTTTAGCTCAACAAGCAGAAGACACCAGGGTAGAAAATGCCATGTACTACCTTAGCAAAAGGATGCTAGACTATGAGCTGAAGTATAATAAGATAGAGAATACTGCTCTAATTATCGTATTCCCTCCTTGAAAGGTTCGTTAATAAAAATTAATTTTACATAATCATCCTTGAAACCGCATCTCCATTCTTAGCTTTCTTCTTTCTTCTTCCTGTTCCTGCCTGCGTCGTTGTTTCGAAGTCCTTTTGCTAATTCAACGAGTAAACGATCTCTTGTAATTTCTCTCTCTCTCTCTCTCTCTCTGTTTTCAAAATTTCGCTTTGAGTATCATTTTGGACGTCGCTTTCTGTTCAAGTAAATGCGAATTACTTGTTTGCCTTTTGGTTGGATATTGCAGGATTTTTCTTCTTCTCTGAGAAGTGATCCGCTCCTTTTGTTTTTGGTTAGATCTAGTTCGTGTTTAAATTTTTAATTTTTTTGTTGCAGGTTTTTGTTTCTGGTTCAATTGAAGTTTTATGAGCATGATTTGTTTTTGAAGAGGAAAAGAAGAGGAGAAGGAGAGAGAAGATTGTTTGGTTTGTATAAAACGATGAAGAGGTCGAGAGATGATATTTTCATCGCCTCTCAAATTAAAAGGCCTATGGTGTCTTCTCGTGGAGAAACGTGAGTTTTTTTTTTCTATTTCTGTCATGCCTAACTCTCTTTCTGTTAGTTTGTTTTCTATTTTTGTTTTTTTAATTTTTGATTTTTATCATTGTTTAGTTTTTATTTCTCCTTTTAGTGTTTGATTGTCGAAGCTAATTGTATTAACTCGGATTAAGCTCAGTATTAGCGATTCTTTTAGAAACTTTCTGTTGGTTTAGTATTTAGTGCATTAGTCAAGCTTTTGAGTTTTTTCTTATTTGTTTGACCTGTGAAAAAAGATCAGTTTTTTTTTTTTTTTTTTGTTGGAAAAAAGATCAGTTTTTTTTTTTTTTTTTTTTTTGGGCTGAGAGTTCTCTTTTCTAAATTTGTCTGTATGGATGTCAGAGGAACAGTAAATAATTATACTAGAGTTTTTTTTTTTTTTTTTTGCTGGGTTCTCTTTCTAAATTCTGTGTATGGGATGTCAGAGGAACAGTAAATAATTATACTAGAAATTATTCTTTTATGCACGTAATATTAGTAGTGTGTATAACGTTGATGTATTTTGAGATGAACTTTTAGTTGAATGTAGGAAATGATCTACTGTGTGTGTTTTGAATCTTGTAACTTATGTATTTACTTACCATGTGGAAATATTTGTTCAATGAAGTTCTGGGCAACCCCAGATGATGGGAGGAGGAGCAGCCAGTAGTGCTGGAGGAGGCGGAGGCGGAAGTGGGCAAAAACTTACAACAAATGATGCCTTGGCATATCTCAAGGCCGTGAAGGACATATTTCAAGATAAAAGGGAAAAATATGATGACTTTCTTGAGGTCATGAAAGATTTCAAGGCTCAAAGGTTTGATCATGATATGCTGTGTGATAATATTCTTAATCTTCCATTTTCCTTTAGAGGCTGCTAATCGCTGATTTAATTAATGTCCCATGTTTTGTTTGTTGTAGAATTGACACTGCTGGTGTCATAGCAAGGGTGAAAGAGTTATTTAAAGGGCATCGTGACCTAATTTTAGGATTCAATACTTTCTTGCCGAAGGGATATGAGATCACCCTGCCTTTAGAGGATGAACAACATGAACAACCTCCACAGAAAAAGCCTGTTGAATTTGAAGAAGCAATTAATTTTGTAAACAAAATTAAGGTAGAAATTTTGTTTCGTAGATATAACTGGAGATCATAATTTTGGTTTTGAGAATTTTAACCTTGTGAATTGTGTTCTGCAGACAAGGTTTTCAGGTGAAAATAGTGTTTACAAATCGTTTTTAGACATTTTGAACATGTACAAAAATGAAAATAAATCCATCACTGAGGTCTACCAGGAGGTATACTATATTATCTTTTCTCAAACTTTTTCCTTCTCTATTCGTTCTCCATTATTTTCTTAACCGTCTGAAAACATATAAACTTTTCACGTTGTTATAATTAATTCAATTCTTTTCCTGTTGTAGGTTGCTTCACTCTTTCAAGACCATAATGATCTCCTGATGGAGTTTACTCATTTTCTACCTGATTCTTCAGCTACGGCCTCTCATTATCCTCCATCTGTTAGGAATTCTCTCCTTCGTGATAGGAGCTCTGCCATTCCGACATTGCGCCAAATGCAAGTTGATAAGGTTTTTACTTGCTTTTACAATCTCCTTTGGTTTCATTTAAATATGCAGCTAATGTGGTTCTTTTTACCACCTTCCAGAAAGAAAGAACTACTGCTTCTCACGCTGCTGATCGCGACTTCAGTGTTGACCGTCCTGATCCAGACCATGATAGATCTCTGGTAAGAATGGACAAAGAGCAACGGAGACGTGGTGAAAAGGACAAGGAAAGGAGAGATCGAGAAGATAGAGATTATGAGCAAGATGGCAGTCGTGAGTTCAACACACAACGGTTTCCCCACAAACGAAAAGTTGCTCGAAGGCTTGAAGATTCAGCTGCTGAACATCAAGGTGGGGATGGGGATGAAAACTTTGGAATGCATCCCATTTCATCCACTTATGATGATAAAAATGCTGTGAAAAGTGAGTTACTTGTTGTGTTATGTGTTACTTTATACACGCAAATGCAGTTGATTTTTGCAAACCACCAATGAGTTCTAGAAATATGTTTTCTTATTTTCATTTAGACTAGAAAATAGGTGTGACTGTGGAATGCTGTTATTGATATTCGTGTTGCCACTTTAAATTATGATTGCATGAGGACTTTTGCTCCATGATATTTGTGTTAAATATGTAGATAGAAGCAACTGTGGATTATAGCAACAACTTATATGTGCATACTTAAATTTTCAGCTCACATTTCTATGATTCTGTTCGGGCATGAAATCAGAGTGTGTGTGCTTTGACTGTTCTCAGGATGGTAATTTAACAGTGCTGTCCTTCTGAATCTAGCACATTACTTTCAAGCTGACATACCTATGTAGAGATATTTAATAAATAAAAGCTTTATTGCTAAACAATTTTATGTTTTGAATGTTTTCACCAAAGGAATGAGTTACTTTAGTTCTTGTCATTTATAGGTTTGAAATTTTAAATGTTAATTTCTTTTTCGATATAGAGTTGTAGTGCTATTGTCATGGATGTTTTTTTATTTTTAACTTCTTTTTTTTCAAAATATGTGTGAATGAATGAAACATCTTGTGATCATCTGCATATTGCAGGATAAAAACACTTTTCACACTTTATACTGTATGTCATTCTTCTTATCATGCTTTCTACTGTTCAAAACTTATATGATCATATTACTGTAACAAAACTTATATAATCATTTTTAATTGCATGCTGGTGCCCTTAATGAATATGGGCTGAGTTTGCATCATCTCCCCCTTCCCTCCTCGCTTTAATCCTTTGTGATTTCACCCCCTTTCTGAAACTACCTTTTTTGTCCATTATTTTCATGACTGCTTTTTTCATTTCTTTATCCTTTTTGTTTCTTAAGCTGCATACTCTTTCTTTCATTTTTTGGTCTTTTTTCTTCATATCATAACAACTGCTCCTTCTTAGTCTGCTTTTTTATTCTGCCTTATTAATGTGGTTCATGTAATGGCAGATGCACTTAGCCAAGAGCTTGCTTTTTGCGAGAAAGTGAAGGAAAAGTTGCGTAATCCTGATGATTACCAGGGATTCCTCAGATGTCTTCACCTATATACCAGGGAAATAATCACAAGAACAGAGTTGCAATCTCTGGTATGCTAATAGTGATTTACCAATTGCTTTATATCAATCTCTGATTTCACCAGTTCCTTCTATAAACAGTTGAATATATATCACACAAGTTATATGGTCTATTTGAAATTCAAAGTACATGCAATAAAACTTAATTATGTTCTAAGTGGTGGAAATTTGAAGGTCTTTTGAACCCAGGATATTGATTTATTACTTACATAATCTCTTGACAATAGTCTTAAGTAATTTCAGTGGCAGCTATACTTGAACCAACTTTGTGTGTCTTTGTTTGGTCTATAATTGTTCAAATTTATTTTTCAATCATCTAGGATGAGATTTAGTGTACTCTGGAAAACTCAGAAAATACCTACCTTTGTAGAGTGATAATTAATAGAATTAGTAATCCACATTACCTTTATCTGTAACAGGTTAGTGATTTACTTGGAAAATATCCAGATCTTATGGATGGCTTCAATGAATTTTTGGCACGTTGTGAGAAGAATGGTAAGTTTTCAAAAAAAGGCACATTAACTTGTTTACTTGGGAAATTTAGCATTCTTGACACTGTGGAATTGATCTATCTTGCAGAAGGTCTTCTTGCTGGTGTTGTAAGTAAAAGTAAGTAAAATAACTAATTTTGTCCCCTTATCTTTAAATTATATATGCATCATACTGAACCAGTCTACATTGGCTGATTGGTTGTTTGATTCATATTTCAATTACTCCAGACCAACAAAGTGACTTTGTGTTACGGTTTTTAACTTTGGGTGAACTGAATTATTCCTGGAATTAAGGTGGATCATGCACAAGGTGCATAAAGCACAAGATTTTTGATGGTTTATCATTGCAACTTGTAATACGTTAAATTATAAAATTTTTCTCAACTTTTCATTGTAAGTTATTTGTTATTATTGCCTGATCTTAATAGCTAACTACCTAAGTGCACTCAATTCATTATGGAATGATTCAGTTTTCAAGCACCCTTCAGCTTGTTTTTAGTTCAAATAATTATGTAACCGTTGTTGGTGGAGTCCTAAAGAATGTCAAAACTGAGTTTCCCAAAGGTTTTAATGCTTACAACTTCTTTTTCCAGAATCATTGTGGAATGATGGTAATTTGCCCAGACCTGTGAAGTTAGAGGATCGTGATCGTGAGAGGGAAGATGGGGTTAAAGATAGAGAACGCGAAACACGGGAAAGAGAGAAACTAGACAAAAATGTGGCCTTTGGCAATAAAGATACAGGGGGTCATAAGATGCCTTTGTTTTCCAGCAAGGACAAGTATTTGGCAAAGCCCATTAATGAACTGGACTTGTCTAACTGTGAGCGTTGCAGTCCCAGCTACCGGCTTCTGCCTAAGAATGTAACTTGTTATTTACTTTTTTTTTTCTAATAGGAGAGACGAAACTAGGACAAAAATTGGGCCTTTGGCAATAAAGATACAGGGGGTAATAAGATGCTTTGTTTTCCAAGCAAAGGCAAGTATTTGGAAAGCCATTAATTGAAACTGGATTGTCTAACTGTGAGCGTTTGCGTCCAGCTACCGGGCTTCTGCCTTAAGATGTACTTGTTATTACTTTTTTTTTTCTGTGTGTGTTAGTGTGTGAGATTGTGCTAAGAGTGTAACTTGTTTATTACTTTTTTTTTTTTCTTTGTGTGGTGTGTGTGTGAGATTTGTGCTATATTCTGGTTAGTTTCTGTGTGTGTGTGTGTGAGATTGTGCTCATATTCTGGTAGATTCCTGAACTTCTATTAAATTTTCTGAACCCTTGTAGCAGTATCCCATACCTTCAGCAAGCCAGAGGACAGTGCTTGGTGCTGAAGTACTGAATGATCATTGGGTATCTGTCACTTCAGGAAGTGAAGATTACTCTTTTAAACACATGCGCAAAAACCAATATGAAGAAAGCCTATTTCGATGTGAAGATGACAGGTTCAAGTTTTCCTGAGATTATTTGATATGTTGCTTTCAAATTTATGTTTTTGGCTCAGTGGGGCTATTCTGTTCTAGCTTATGTGTGTGTTTGTGCATGTGTCACATGATACTTGTTGTGGTTGATGTCAAAACCTGAGATTCATTCATTTGATTATTTTGTTTGTTGGAAATTGAGATGGCAGTGTTTTTCTATTGTTTCTTATTCCTCTTTTGGAATTTATGGCGTTGCATGATTTTGAGTCATGTCATTATCCTGTCTTAGGCAGTCATTTGATGTTCTGTTTGTTGTCAGGTTTGAGCTGGACATGTTGTTGGAATCTGTGAATGTGACGACCAAGCGAGTAGAAGAATTGTTAGAAAAGATCAACAACAATGTGATCAAAACAGAGAGTCCAATTCATATTGAGGAGCACTTGACAGGTTACATTAGCTGATTGATGTTCTATCAAATAATAAATCCTTTTTTTTTTCCGTGTGTTTATGTGTCGGCTGCTATTCTTTCTATTCTTTTCTCTCTCAATCTTTTCCTGATGTGGATTCTTTTCTCTTGTAGCTCTGAATTTGAGGTGTATTGAACGTTTGTATGGTGACCATGGGCTTGATGTGATGGATGTGTTAAGAAAGAACACTTCTCTTGCTTTGCCAGTTATATTAACTCGTCTGAAGCAGAAGCAAGAAGAGTGGGCAAGGTGTCGTGCTGATTTTAACAAAGTTTGGGCTGAAATTTATGCTAAAAACTATCACAAGTCCCTTGATCATCGTAGCTTCTATTTCAAGCAACAGGACACAAAGAGCTTGAGCACTAAAGGTAAGCTATTATGTGATGATAAATGCATTTAGCACAATATACTATTATTTTGATAGCTTTAGCTGCACAAGGGCCATGATGCATGATAGCTATCGTCCATACAATCTATCCTATGCCAAATCAAATTGAAGATAAGGCCATAACCCATGGAGTAAATTTGGGTCTTGAAAGTTTCAGAATTAGTATATATATCCTTTTTCAACTGCTGCTTGCATTTTCCCTTCTCTGCCGGTTGCTCCATGGATTCGATTGTTTGCCATGCTAATATGCTATGTTTTCTGCAGCCTTATTGGCAGAGATCAAAGAAATCAGTGAGAAGAAACGCAAAGAAGATGATGTGCTTCTTGCTTTTGCTGCTGGAAACAGACGACCCATTATACCGAATTTGGAGTTTGAGTACCCAGACCCTGACATTCATGAAGATTTATATCAGCTCATCAAATACTCTTGCGGTGAGGTTTGTACAACCGAACAGTTGGACAAAGTGATGAAGATTTGGACTACCTTCTTGGAACCCATGCTTGGTGTTCCTTCTCGTCCTCAGGGTGCTGAGGACACTGAAGATGTGGTAAAGGCAAAAAATCATTCTTCTAAAGTTGGAGATGGTGAAGGCAGCCCTAATGGTGCTGGTGCTACAGGCATCAATAAGCATTCTAATCCTTCTAGAAATGGTGATGAAAGTATCCCACCTGAGCAATCAAGTTCTTGCAGGGCTTGGTTGAATGGAGATAATGGGGTTAAAGAAAACGGTTCTCCAGATGCTGATCGGATAGCTCGTAAGAGTGATGCATCATGCAGTACTGTTCAACATGATAAGATGCAGATCAATGCAGCCTCAGCTGATGAAATTTCAGTTGTGGGCAAACAAGTTACTTCCAATGAACGATTAGTCAATTCAAACACTTCACTTGTCACTGGAGCAGAGATAAGCAATGGAAGAACTAACATGGAATCAGGTTTGACGAATGCTTTTAGCATAATATGACTTGCATTTATTTCTTAGTCCTGACACCTCTATGCTTATTTGCTAGTTGTTTCTTTGATTTTGTTTCCCCCCTCAAACTGATAGCTAGATTTCTGAGACAATTTCTTTATTGCAAGGGCTTAGTGCTGCTCCATCAAGACCAAGTAATGGTAGCCTTAATGGTGGGCTTGGATTAGGTTCAAGCAATGAAATTTTACCTTCAGCAGAGGTATGGTCTTCCATGCATGACAGGAGTTCATAATTGCCACTTTAAACGGCCACATTCTCTTGATGGGCCATTCATCTGATAACCAAAAGGAAAAATTTAAGTCAGTAAACTTGGTAAATTGTAGCTAGGTTTTAAGTTGAATTGTTTGCCTCGATGTAAGTTCTGATGTTAGCTTGCGAGTATCTTTTCCTAATGTTGAAATTTAAGATACAAGTTGCAGCATGGTACTCCCTGATTCATAGCAGATAGCATTAAGCTAGCAGATAGCAAAGTTAGGTTTTTGGTTACAGTTATAATCTTCTGCTCAACTTCTGGTGGAGGATGACTATATTTGTTATTGATATAACAGGGTGGTGATTTTTCGAGACCGACAATATCCACAAATGGGGTGGCAGCAGAAGGTGTCAAGAATCACAGATATACTGATGAATCTGCTGCACAGTTTAAAATTGAAAGAGAAGAGGGTGAATTATCTCCAAATGGGGATTTTGAGGAGGATAATTTTGCAGCTTATGGAGAAGCTGGTTTGGAGGGTGTACATAAGGGAAAGGAAACTGTTGCAAGTAGGCAATACCAAACAAGACATGGAGAGGAAGAAACATGTGGCGAGGCAGGAGGAGAAAATGATGCTGATGCTGATGATGAAGGGGATGAAAGTGCTCAGAGGACATCAGAAGACAGTGAGAATGCCTCAGAGAATGGTGATGTTTCCGGAAGTGAGTCTGGAGATGGTGAAGAGTGCTCGAGGGAAGAGCATGAGGAAGATGGAGAACACGATGAGCATGATAACAAAGCTGAAAGTGAAGGTGAAGCTGAGGGAATGGCTGACGCCCATGATGTTGAAGGAGATGGTACAATGTTGCCATTTTCAGAACGTTTTCTTCTGAATGTGAAGCCTCTAGCAAAGCATGTACCTCCAGCATTGCATGACAAAGAAAAGGGATCCCGGGTTTTCTATGGAAATGATTCTTTCTATGTGCTTTTTCGGCTTCACCAAGTAATATCCTTTCTATATTTGAAGTTTTATTTAGAATTGAGATCCATAATTAAACTTACTGAGATAATTATTTAATTGCTTTCATTAACATAATGTCCCCTGTTCCCTATTTTGCAGACATTGTATGAAAGAATACAATCAGCAAAAATTAATTCATCTTCTGCTGAAAGAAAGTGGAAAACTTCAAACGATACAAGTCCAACTGACCTCTATGCAAGGTGCTGTAGCTTTAAGGTTTGGCTATTCAGTAAATATTGATTGTCCATCAATATTAAATTCATTCTATCGTTACAGGTTTATGAGCGCTCTTTACAATTTACTTGATGGTTCTTCTGATAATACAAAATTTGAGGATGATTGCCGAGCTATTATTGGAACACAATCATATCTTCTATTCACATTGGACAAGTTGATCTATAAACTTGTTAAACAGGTTAAATCTTTGTGATTTCTCGTCAGCTGACCTTTTTTGTTTTCCCAAAATTTATATCTTTTGTTCCTCTTATTTAATTTACCTAGGCATTCAATTTGTGGGATTTTTTCTTCAGCTCCAAACAGCAGCGAGTGATGAGATGGACAACAAGCTGCTCCAACTATATGCATATGAAAAATCAAGAAAACCTGGAAGATTTGTTGATATAGTTTATCATGAAAATGCCCGTGTTCTTCTCCATGATGAGAACATATATCGTATAGAATGTGTAGGTTTCTAGTGGTTCTACTTTCCTTTTGCTTTGTAGTGACCATTTTGATTTAAATCTGAAACTGTTAATAATTCTGCAATTGATTTTTAACTGCAGTCTTCAGAACCTACCCATTTGTCTATTCAGCTTATGGACTTCGGACATGATAAGCCTGAAGTATCTGCTGTTTCCATGGACCCCAATTTTGCAGCTTATCTGCACAATGACTTCCTCTCCATTGTTCCTGACAAGAAAGAGAAGCCTGGGATATTCCTGAAGAGGTGTGTAGATACAGTGGGAAAAAGTTCATCTATTTTCTTAGTTTATATGGCTAACAATGCCTTCTTTTTGCAGGAATAAAAACAAATGTTGGAGTCATGATGAATGCCAGGCCATGGAAGGATTTCAAGTTTTTAATGGTTTGGAGTGCAAGATTGCTTGCACTTCCTCCAAAGTATGCTGCATTAAAATTCACAATTCAATTTTGCATTTTCTGTAGTTAATGCTTTTAGAATTGTATCTCTTCTGTTGATCCATTGGTGATACGTGCATGATAGGTATCCTACGTTTTAGATACAGAAGATTTTTTGTTCAAAACGAAAAGGAGAAGGAAAACCTTGCAACAGAGCAGCTCTTGCCACGACCAAACATACACTTCAAAAAGATTACAACAGTTCCACAGATGGCTCTCCAGCTCATAGGATGCTTTCGTACGACCTGAAAGCGGATATGGTGTGTACTAATCTTTCAATACTGAACTGGGGTTTGCTTTCTCATTAGCATCCAAATTTCCATTTACATACATTCCTATCAATTTCTGTGTGTTTTGTTCTTCTTGGCTCCTGTAGTCAAAACAAATATGCAATCTGTCTTTACACTCCATGTGGTTTTTCCATTTAAGCGATAAAAATGACATCATTTCCAATTTTCTGCTGTCAGATTATTTGTTCTACAGTTGCCATTCAGAGTACAGTAAATGACAAGGCGCTAGAACTGGAATAGACGGCGCCATGACTGATATTATCTTTCATCTATTTCACATGGTTATATCTCACCAAGCAATAACAGGAAAGCAGCAGCAGCAGCAGCAGCAGCAGCTGTGGCTCGCGAGATTGTAGTATAGTGTAGCTTTATGGCCTTTTGGAGCCACAATCATGTAAATAGAGATGACATGTGATGTAATACCTAAGATTATATATGTTCATTCCATTCATCAATATTTTTATAATCTTTTTCATTGTGCCTAACCTATTTCTTGAGAATAGTTGCAGGTTTTATTTATTTATTTATTTTATTTTTGCCTTGTTACTATTGGGTGCTTTAAGTCTTTGGCACGTAGGAATTGATCGATCGCATAGACAAGCAATTTGGTTTACTTGCTGAATTGTTTTTCTAATATTTTGAAAAAGATTGATTAGGTAGAAGATTTTTATTATTATTATTTCTGTAAGGAAAAGAAAAAGTTCTAAAAGAAATAAAGGACTAACCTTAAGGAAAGGTCAAATTAGTCGCTTATCTTCGTTGGTGCTACCACTACAATCAGTAATCACTATCTTCGTTGTTGCTTATCTCTACCGTTTTCCACAGGCATATGAAGACAATATATTCTTTGCTTTTTTCCAATACCACCAAAATTGTGGAATTAATGATTTTAAAATTCATGTAAGTTAGGAAAATTTGTAGAATCGAAAACATAGATTCATATATTGACGTTTTTACATGGATGGAGGAGTATCAGCTAGAAGGTCCAATGGATTGAAATAATATGATGGATAACATATCAAGGATAGCTCTTTCTTTAATTCACCATTTTGATGAAAATTTTTGTGGTCGAGGGAACTCGGACTTGAGATCTCTCAGTTCTCATATTAATGAAAGACCAACCAGATCATATTTAATTAATGGAATATAAACAATATAGATATGTTCTTACTATTTAAAAAATACATTATTAGATCTCTTTTTTGTTTTATTGATTTCAAAGATCTTTAAAATTAAATGAAAAACTCAAATTTATCCTCAATCCAATATCTCTCTTTCCCACTGTCTTCCCAAAAACTTCAAAAAATATTCTAGACAGCAACATGTTCTTGTACACACGACACGAGAGAGTTTTGACAAGCAACTGGGGCAACTCTTGATATATAAACACGCACACGTCATGAATTTGATAAATGAATGAATACATCAAATTTTCAGTGTAAATACAAGGTTGATTCTTTTGTTGGTTCAAAACTTAAAAAGCTGTTTCTGCCAGTGAATCAGATTCTGGTGAAGTGGAAACCCTTGAGGATATTGAACCATCTTATTATGTTGCTCTTGGTTCGGATAACTCTTGGTATCTCTTTTTACTGAAAAATGGGTTAAAACTGTTTGCAGGACAGGCTTTCCCCACATTGCTTTGGCCCAGGGTGATGCTTTACCTGATGAGGTTATGTGGAAGCTACTTTGTATGAAGAGAAATAGTGGGAAAAGCTTGCTGATTCTGAACTAGTGGCTTGCCAGTTTTAAATAGTTTTTCTGAGAAAAACGAGGTACTACGTATGTCACAAGCCTATCATGATGCTCTAGAACATTAAAAGGGGCAGAGAACTAAGGTGGCACGTACAGAAGGCTTGAAAGAATATAAAAAGATATTAGATTTGAAGAGTTTTACAGAGGATAAAATTAAAAGCGTGAAAATTAGATCAAACCGTTTGATTGATCAACTGAGGAAATTGGACCATCTGGGATGGAAAAAATTCTTGAAGATCAGCAGTTTTGTATATGATTACCAATATGGTGTCACTGAAAATTGTAAATGCATTATTCATTTATCAAATAAATGATGTAAACAAGGGTGCATGTTTATAAATTACCAGCTTTACAAGTAGCTATTGACAGCAGCGGATGTCACCCCGCCAGTTCGCTTATTGGCGGACGGTCAAGGATATCATATGCAGTCTTTGCATTGCTTTGTAATACAGGGTCAATATCTGGCAATTTAGGAATTTGAGCCAGTAAGTCTATTGTCCGTCTTATTAGTCGAGCTAGATCCCCGTCGTCCATTGCACAATCCATTGTAATTTCTCTCCAAGTAAGTCCTGAAGCCCAAGCTTCAACCATTCCTGAAAATTGGCTATCCAAAAAACAGGATATTTCTACACCGTGTTTTTCCTGAAGTTGCAAAATAGAGCTTTTTTGCTCATCCAAGATTTCAATAACATTGAGCACTGCAGTAGAAGGTTCATATATGTAGCTGTTATTTTCCCATGCACGAACTTTCATACCTTCAGACACTACACTTGCACAGACAGCAGCAAGTTGTGCTGGTTTTAAATCCAGTAAGATTTTATTTCGAAGAACCATTGCGAGCCAAAGTTCATTCTCACCTCGAATTGCAGCAGCAGTTTCACCAAGAGGAAATATCACATGTGTATTGATGTCTAATGCCCTAATTTCATGTACAACGTTGCTGATCTTCAAGAATTCCTTCCAACCGGATGGTTCAATTTCCTCTATTCGATTGATCAAACGTTCCGACCTAATCTTAAGACGTTTAATTTTATCCTCCGTAAAATTCTTCCAATCTAATAACTTTTTATATTCCTTGAAGCCTTCTGTACGTGCAATCTTCTTCTTCAACCGTGCAACCTTAGTTCTTTGTCCCTTGTAATTTTCTAGGGCATCACGGTAGGCTTGGGACATATGTAATTCCTCATCTTTCTCAGAAAGACTATTTAAAACTGGCACATTTAAACTCCATGACCATGTCTCCAGAGAACCTTCCATGTACCATAAGCCACCAAGTTCAGAATCAGCAAGCTTTTCCCACTGCTTCTCTTCCATATCAAGTAGCTTCCACATAACTTCATCAGGTAAAGCATCACCCTGAGCCAAAGCAATGTTGGGAAAGCCTGTCCTATAAACAGATTTAACCCATTTTTCAGTAAAAAGATACCAAGAGTTATCTGAACCTAGAGCAACATAATAAGATGGCTCAATATCCTCAAGAGTTTCCACTTCACCAGAATCTAATTCAACTATTACACCATTTATTGCAGTTGAATTACTGGCAGAAACTGCTTTTTGAAGTTTGGAACCATCAAAGGAATCAGCCTTCCCTAAATAAACTGCAGGGACTGAATGTTCAACTCCTTCAGAATCTTTGTATTGCAAGCACAGAAAGGGTAGATGATCATTTCGCAAATCCTTAAAGAAAAGTTTAAGGGAACTCAATCGCTTCATCTCCATTATCCTGCGTAGTTCTGTTCGAAGCCGTTTTTGTTCTCTCAATTGCTCCTGCAGTTCAGCAATCTCCTTATATGCCATCTCAGATAGGACTTGTCTGCTCTTTTTATCTATTGCATCCTCACTGATATCTAAAGTTAGTTTTTCAATCTCTTTCTGTATTTTAGCAACTTCCTCTTTTGAAGCAAGCATTACATTGCTACCAATGTAGGTCCCAAAACTTCGCTCAACTAATTTCCTTGCTTCTTCCAAAGTTCTCCCTCCCCGAAGAACTTTCATATCTTCTGATTCATTTGATATACGAGTGACTTTTGTACCGGCAAGGAGATTCAGAACCATACCATAAGAAGCTGTAAACTGTGAAACAAGAGGTTCTAGTCCAGAAAACAGAAGCTTGCAACACTCTTCAGCACCTTCATTAGGAGTCTGAACCAGTACGACATGACCCTTTTCATCAATACCTCTACGTCCAGCTCGCCCAGCCATTTGAAGCAGTTCATTTGGGGTTAATTGGATACGTCCAGTACTACTTCTCTTGCTGAGAGAAGATATAACAGCTGTTCGTGCAGGCATATTGATTCCAGCAGCAAGTGTTTCTGTGGCAAACACAACCTTAATAAGTCCTCTTTGAAACAGTTCCTCAGTAAATGATTTCCATAGAGGGAGGCAGCCAGCATGATGTGCAGCAACACCTTTCAAAAGTCCTTTGACTGCAGTATCCCTCACAGCATCAGGATTCTGAATGCTGAACCTCTTCACAGCCATTTCAACCTCAATTGTCTCATACTCATCTAAGAGCTTGAAACCTTCAAGGTACTGCACAGCTGCATCACATCCTCTCCTACTAAAAATAAACCAAATTGCTGGCAGCATGTCCTTCACCTTAAGCTGTTTTAATGTATCAATCACTTGAGGTACCTGAAATTTATAATTCATTGTGGATAAATAAAATGCTATTTTTCCTCTTCATTTTATAGGTATGTAGTTAGTGTGTTTTTTTTTTTCTCTCTCTAAATAGAATAGTCAAACATGATGAGAGAACTAGTGGACTAATTCATTACCATTGAGCGGCGGATTCTGCCTATGTCATTTTTCGAGAGAGGTTCTTCAGACATGTTAGCAATACTAGTTATTCCCATATTACTCCCACGTTTTCTTGAATTCCTTCTTCTAGGACCATCATCCTTATAAGATTTAACTTTTGAAGCAGATAAGTGTAAATAATTAAGTGACAGCTTCCTGTTCCAATTTGAAAAGCAAACCAAATTAGAGCTAAGCAAAAGTCAGAGGGAAAAAGATAATATAGATCACTGCTCAAAAAGACGGCATTAAACTAAGCAAATTATGAATACTGAAAATTTAGATACAATCAAAAGCATACAAGAAACTTAGTGTGGAAAATAATATCTTCACAAGTCACTATTATTACTTCTAAGTATACAAGATACACTTACTGGATGCAGTTATAAGAAATTGATACAGCTATTCGGTTGAACTAGGAGTCCATCATCTAGTGCAGTGATAAAAGTTGTGCTTAAGTTTCTCAATCACCCTCCAAAAATTGTGAACAAAGAAGAATGCACTCAGCAACAGCTTTCCATTAGCATAAACCAATATTTGCATGACTCAAAAGATAAAAAGACAGAAAACCTGAACAACCTTGCATTACAGCATATCCATAATTTATTTCCAAAAAAAAAAAAAAGTATATTGGCTGGAGCTTTTTTAACCAACTATAATACAAAGTGATAGAAAAAAAAAAACTTTCAGCAAGTGATATGAAAGAAAAAAAAAAAAGATTTTTAAAGTTTTAGTACTAAATCTTTCTGACCTAAAGTAGCCTGGAGCTACTTCATGGGACAGGCATACAACGATTATAAGAAACAATCAAACATGGTATTCGTATAGTGTCAATCACTAAATATAAGCAGTTATTACCTGACGAATATAAAGTCGTAAACTTATTTTGCAACATGTAGTAGAGAAAAGTATTACATTGAATAGAGTGTTCTAAGGACAACAGAAAAATGTTTTCACGTGAGGGATAAACAAGGATGAAGAAAAACCTATTCATGTGCTTTCCTTTATCTTCAAGAAGAGGGAACAAACAAGCCTTTGTTGAAAAGTGCCAACTCAACGGAACTGGACGCTTTGACGATGTCACCAATTCAGTTTTACCATGAACCTGGATAGAAAACAAAAGTAAATAAGAATTAATCTTTTCACCCTTGAAATGAATAAACCTTGGTTCATGGATCAACAGAAAAATGAATCAAATGAATCATGTTTTCATTAGTAACATGCATCGCTATATATTACTGTTTATCTGCCTTATCTGAGACAGCTTCAAGTTCGGTAAAAAGGAGCTAGTTCGTTCAGTAAAAGAATCATACCTCATTAATCCAACCAGCCAGCTCATCCGGATTCTTTACAGTGGCTGATAGACATATTAGCTGAACCTCTTTTGGGCAATAAATGACCTGAAAATATTTCACAATAAAACATACATCAATATACCCCATGCTATACCTTGAGAATTTAAAAATGAGCTATAAAAAAGATCCTAAATAATAAATAATACTTACTATCTCCTCCCACACTGTACCCCGAGATATGTCACTTAGAAAATGAACTTCATCCAAAACAATCACATCCACATGGAAAAGTCCACTCCCAGAAGAAACCATCCCAATGCTGCATGAAAAGTTTAACCATCAATTCCGTGCCTTGTTCAAAAGATCAACTTAAAGAATAGAAAACTACAGGGATCAAAAGCCCAGTTTGGAATTGCAAATGCATCAAGGGAGGATAAAGATTTCATGATGCATGAAAGAAATTACCATGCAAATTCTAGCTGAGTTCCAGAAATCACAGTGACAAGCATAATGTCCTTTTTAAGGTAGATATCACCACTATGACAAGTATGCTAATTCCAAAACTACAACTATCTAAAACCTACCAAAGACAACAATCAAGCAGCCTCCCATAATATAGTTGAACCCAAGGTGAAAGTCAAAACCTTTCTCTATATTCCGATATTGCCAGTAGTCATTTGCATATTGTTTTATACTTAATACTCCTGAATCACTAACAATGATAAGATTTTAAACTACAGTCAAAATACCTCTGGTACAACATGTTGCGCAAAATCTCTGTAGTCATTATCAAAACATTGGCGTCTTTATTAACCGCAGAATCCCCTGTAAGAAGTCCGACGTTTTCTTCCCCGAATGTCTCCCTATAAATTAACAAAATACAAAATTTTAAGATCTCAAAATTTGTGAAATTTCGATTTTATTACTAGCCAGGTCTGGAAATTACTAACCGAAAATCACGAAACTTCTGATTAGATAATGCCTTAAGCGGAGTGGTGTAGAATATCCTCCTTCCTCGAGCTACTGTAGCAACTGCTGCAGCTTCAGCTATCAATGTCTTTCCACTGCTAGTTGGCGCCGAAACCACAACCGATGAGCCATTCAAGAAGGCTTCAATCGCCAAGCGCTGTCAAAAAGAGAGAGAAACCAAAATTTTCAAACCAAATCAAGTTCGATCTTTGACGAGGCTATTAATTCATATAATATTATACCTGAAATTTATCGATACGGAAATCGTAAATGAAAGCGAGTTCATGAACATCTAGAATGTCATTTCCAAACTCTTTAACTGCGTCACGAATCTTCTCAACTCTCTGCCACTTGGACTCCTTGCGCCAAGTTACTACTTCTTCTAGCGAATCCACAGATATTTCTGTTTCGTCTTCGCTTGGTTCGATTCCGTCCGAAACGTAGTCGTACTCTTCAGCAGCTTCTTCGTCGTCCTCGTCCTCGTCTTCCTCTTCTCCTCCTTCTTCATCGTCAACATCAGATAGCTCAGAATTGAAAGGGAAAGCAGAGAACTTTGGGGAATCGTCTTCCGCTGCTCCTCCTTCTTCATCATAAACATTAGATAGCTCAGAATTGAAAGAGAAAGCAGAGCATTTGGGGGACTTGATGGAAAGTCGAAATGGAGGTGAGTATAATGGGAGTGGCTTGGGGGAACAGAAATCTAGGTTTTGGAGGATAAATGAGGAAGGACTGAAAGATGAGAAAATAGAAACGGACGGATGAGGAGGAGGAGGAGGAGCAGCAGGAGAAGAGAGGATGAACAATGTGTTCATGGCGGGAGTCATTTTGATTGGGGTTATGGTATGGATGGTAAAAACGTATCGGTTTGATAATAATGATTAATAATTTTCTCGGCTTCCTTTTTTTCTTTTTCCCCCTTTTTTTTTTTTTTTTTTTTTTTTTTTTTTTTTTTTTTTTGCATCCTATTTTTTTCTTGTATCGAGCCGGCTATAGGCTTGTTGTTGTTTTTATTGTTGTTGGTATGTTTTATGTTTGTCGTTCAGTGTTTTTGGCAGTTATGACAGTCTGTGTAGTCATTGGTTTGAGAGATTTGTTGTTTCTTCTTTTCTAGTTTTGTTGGTTGAATAGTCATTTTGGTAACTAAGGGCTAATGGAGGATCGACGCGCGGAAGTGAGCACTCAGCTAAGAGATAGACGAGCAGTGCGGGCCCAATCTATTTTAAGAAGTGGCGCTATAGAATGAGATTAAAATTTATTGACCAACGATAATCCGAATTCCGTGGGTATTGAAAAGGCAACAAAAAGAGGTAAAGTGAGCTCATAATTAAGTCTTAAAAATAAGATTCACTCATTTAAGAATTCAAACCCGAGAGTCCGAGGAAAATTTTTGCACCGCATTTATCTCATTACCTGTGCGATTTTTTTTTTTTCTTTGTTTTTTTTCAAATAATCGATGAAAATAGAGAAAGGAGAAAAGAAATGAATGAAAAGATGTTAGGAAATAACAGATATATGGACAACAACCAGAGGAAATAAGATTATGGAGAAAGTGGACAAATTTTCCAGAGAAAAATGAATATGTTTTTGGAAAGACAAAAAGAATTATAGATTTGTCAATAACATTTATCTTATGACTTTTTGTTGAAAGAGAAGATATTACCCTTAATCTAAGATTCGTATAAATTAAGAAAATAAATATCCTTTTCTCAAATATAAAATCTTTTTTTTTTTTTTTTTTTTTTTTTTTTTTTTTTTTTTTTTTGGCATTTGACGTCGGGTTATTTATAAATTTTTTTCCTTTTATTTTTTTGAATCATTTGGTATCTAAGGCTAATGAGATCGACGGAAGTAAACTCACAAAGGATAAAGCATGGGCCCAATTATTTTAGAATGGCGCTATAAATGAGATAAATTTATTGACCAACTAATCCGAATTCGTGTATTGAAAGGCAACAAAAAGAGTAAAGTACTATATTAAGTCTTAAAAATAATTCATATTTAGAATTCAAACCCGAGATCCGAGAGAAAATTTTTGCCCATTTTATCTCATTCCTTGGCATTTTTTTTTTCTTTTTTTTCAAATAATCATGAAAAAAAAAGGAAAGAAATAATGAAAAGATTTAGGATACAGATAATGGACAAAACAGAGGAAATTAAATTATGAGAAATGGACAAATTTTCCAGAGAAAAAATGAATATGTTTTGGAAAACAAAAAGAATTATAATTTTCAGGAATTATTAATACATTTACATGAATTTTGTTGAAAGAGAATGATATTACCCTTAATTAAATTCGTATAATTGAAAATAAATATCCTTTTCAAATATAAATCTTTACAAAAAGCCAGAGATATATTAAAAATAATAAATTAAAAAAATACTAATAGATGAAATTATAACAAATTACCTTGTTATTAGATTATAAAAAAAATCAACCCAATTTATTTCTATTAATTCCCCCCTTATCTATTTTCTATTTTGCTCCTAAATAAGGATGTCTAATAATAATATATTTAAAAAATCTTAAAATCAGTAGTTTTATATCAGCTTATTTTAAAAAGTTGTTATCGAACAAGCATCAATAATAATAATAAAAGGATAAAAAGATAAGTAAAAAGAAAAAAAAAAACTTATAATCAATTTTTTAATAATATGTCTACCTCAGAATTAGTTGCATAATTATAATTAATTATCATCCTTACTTGTTCAACATTTGAGAATCAATTTTGAAATTTCTTTTAGATTGTATTTGTTTTAACTTTTTAATCCATTTGTATATTCAAAATAAAAAATAAAAAGATTATTGTTTGTTCATAAATATCTAAATTCTTATATAAATCATTCACTTAACTCCTTTATACTCTATGTTGCTTGGTATGGAAAAACTTTATTAACATTTAAGAATACAAAACACAAAATTTACAAATTAAAGTGATTCAAATTTTAGATAGATAATTTTGTTTTTAACTTTCATTCTAGTTATATTGCATTGATTTATCGAACTTTAAATTAAATTTAATATTGAGTAGATTTTTTAAACTCTTATTAAACTCTTAGAAATTTGATTTATAGACGGTTAAGTAATAAAAAATATTTAAAAATATAAAAACTTTTAAGATAGATTTTGATAGTTAGATCAAACAAAGGTAAAATCTGTAACAATAATTATGATTAACTAAAATATTTTTAAATTTGTCAGTTGAATTTTATTTTGTAAATGAATACTCCTCCTCTTAAAAAGACTGACAAATTTGATGGGAAAATTTAAAAAGATTTTATTATTGGAAAAATAAAAGGAGACCCAGTCCCAGTCCGAGCCCAAAACCATCTGTGGTTGTGGGTTGCATGTTGTTGGGCTATCGGGTCAAGCAGGTTGGAGCCATAAAAAACATGACAGCATTGTCGGGTAACTTTTTACTACCATTAAGGTTAAAAAACAAGAAGCGTAAATCGAACAACAGGCTGTGGTTGGTGAAGAAGCCACTATTCCGGAGTTCAAAGTTCAAACAGCCAAAAGGCGTGATGTTGATGATGCCTAATTTACTTTCTTTCACCTAACCACGTGCGCTTCCAATTCGACTTGTACTAAAAGAAAGCACAACGAAACACTCAACTATACGGAGCAGAGGTCATTCGTGTGTTTTTGAAACAAAAAATGGTCAAACCTTTTGTTATTTTTGGGGAAAAAGTCAGCATATTTGAACTTAATTAATGCCCTTCCATGGTTGGATCTTGATATGATCTTTGTTGCTATAATTTTTGGACTTTTTCTTTAAACTTTTCATTTATGGATACTACATTGTGACATAAAATAATATTTCAATCATTAAACTAAAAAAAATTCTATGGTGTTATGATACATTTTGAACAATGACTTTAGAAGCTAAAATTAATAACAAGCATTCAAAGGTTAAATAATAAATCATATTACACAATTGTGGATAATAGATTATTTATAATTAAGAGAATTAGGAAAAAAAAAAGACAGAGAAAAATTTGCGATTCAATGCATAAAACATCTTACAATAATAAATTTTTAGAAAGACAAATTTATTGCTCCAACCCATAATGTCGAGATCACGAAAGAATAATACTACAGTACTTGTAATAAAATCACCAATTTTTTAAAAAGAAATATCAGTTGCCAGAAATAAAAGAGAATCACTTTATTCTAGAATTTCAAAAATCATGTTTATTTGGGGAATATTTGGCAGTAACTTAATAGCTAATAGCTCACTATAAGTATATAATTTGCAATTGATCCAACTTATTGGGACTAAAGTTGGTCCATAATTTTTATTAAAAAAAAAAAAAACAAAAGTAGTAAAAAATAAATAAATAAAAATAAAAGAAGTAGACTTTCCGCCCGCGAATAATCAAGCGACCCTTCATAGGCAAACATGGCCATCTTTTATTAGCAGTACTTCTCTATTTACTCTCACCAAACCTCTCCTCTTCACCGAAACACCTACACTTTCAGATCATACCGGAATTCGCCCACTGATCCAATCCAACGGTCACTATGGCTTTATCGAACTTAGCTTCGTCATCTAGATCTCATCTCCTAAAACCTCTCGCCACCGCCATACCTTACACGGCAACTCTCCGCCGTCCGATTTCTACCTCCACCGATCCCCTCATTATCGAGACTTCCGTTCCTTTCACTCCTCACAAATGCGAGCCTCCTTCTCGCTCCGTGGAGACAACTCCTAAAGAGCTTCTCTCCTTCTTTCGCGACATGGCTACGATGCGCCGGATGGAGATCGCTGCTGATTCTCTTTACAAGGCTAAGCTTATCCGTGGATTTTGCCACCTCTACGACGGGCAGGAAGCGGTGGCCGTTGGGATGGAAGCTGCTATTACTAAAAGGGATTGTATTATAACGGCGTATCGGGATCACTGTACGTTTTTGGGTCGTGGTGGGACGCTTCTTCAGGTGTTCTCGGAGCTCATGGGACGCCAGGCGGGGTGTTCGAAAGGGAAGGGTGGGTCAATGCATTTCTATAAGAAGGAAGCCGGGTTTTATGGAGGACACGGGATTGTGGGAGCTCAGGTGCCACTAGGATGTGGATTGGCTTTCGCGCAGAAGTATTCTAAAGACGAAACGGTGACGTTTGCTCTGTATGGAGATGGTGCGGCCAATCAGGGACAGTTGTTTGAGGCGCTTAATATTTCTGCTCTTTGGGATCTTCCTGCTATTTTGGTCTGCGAGAACAATCACTGTAAGGACTGGAATGTTTATCCCTTTTTTCAATTTTTTGAGGTTTTAATGTTTAATCGATTTCAATTGGATGCTGTATGGTTAGATGGTATGGGGACTGCAGAGTGGAGAGCCGCCAAGAGTCCCGCTTACTACAAGCGAGGAGATTACGTCCCTGGCTTGAAGGTTAGATTGAACTTGAACTCCTTTTTGGATTAAATTGAAATATGTTTTTCTTTTTGTCTCTATAAAAATAACCAACTGCTTGATTATTCAAATACTTCATGATTAGCTAAAGTTGCAATTAGCAAGCTCGCCAACCAGCCTTGAGGGTTACTTTTGAACAACAACAACATATGCATGTCTTGTAAATCTTACATGTAATGATGATGTTAAGTGGGTTTTTAAAGTCAATATCGGTTTTGGAAAGTGCCTACCTGCTTGATTGAAGTTTGTTCATTGCCTCGGCAACTTATAAGAATAACCTTGCTCGGTCAATTTTATACAGTAGTCGCAGAACTATGCAAGCAAAGTTTTTCTCATTTAGGCCATGAAGATTTTGGAAGATTATTTGCCACAAACTGTTCTGGGTCATTTGCAAAGATAGAGATGACATAATTTTAAAGCAGGGATTATGACTTATACTAATTAAAAGGCAAGAAATTTTGTTGCTTTGATTGTTGCTCTGCATGAAGTAACCTCCTCATGATGAACTTCTCATCTATGGCACCTTAGTGCAGAAACAGGTTTCCTTGTGCTAGCGTCTATCTTCCAATCTTTATGCAATATCAAATTTGGTCCTAAAGTGGTAGGTAGCAGTAGCATCTGCTCTGTTTTCAAAGTTGATTTGTTTTTACAACTAAAATCTGTTTTAAGGAGTTGTTTCTAGTGAGATATCTAGGTACTTTTCTCACATCTTATATAAGCTGTTCATTCAATATGTATTTGACCTTGATCAAAGTTTACGGAAATCAGAGGCCAGTAGTTGAACCGTCTGCTATGTTTGTTGTAAATTGCTGAGAGATGGATTTGAATGCATTTTCTTGTTCAGGTTAACTTGTTGGTCGTGCAGATAAATATTGAATTCTTATCCTTGATGCTACAAGCTCGAACAAGTACCAATGCCTTCAAATGGAATGAAATTTCATGCCCTTCGCGGCATAAGTGAATTGGAGCATTACTGTTGTGAACAACTGATAGTATTCTCTATCATTATTTTAATATTTTGTAACATTTTAGCCCTTTTCTTTGTTGACAGGTAGATGGCATGGATGTTCTTGCTGTGAAACAAGCATGCAAATTTGCAAAGGAGTTTGCTTTGAAGAATGGTCCACTTGTGAGCTTTAGTCTCTGGAACTGTGATTCGATGTCTTTCTATGACCTTTAACTGTTTTTGGCTTGATTTGAATTGAACCACAGTACATATCAACTTTTAGTATGAAGTATTCGAGTTATTTAGTATCTGCGTAATTCCTTACCTCACTAGGTTTGTTCTTCGATACAGGAACAAAATAATGCATATTCCTAGTTAAATTCGATAGAGATATGGAGCAAAGTTTATCTGTAGGAAAGTTAAGGACTTAATTGTGAACATCTGTTGATTGATTTTATCCTTTTAAGGCATATAATCTGGACTTCAATATGAAATACTCACAGAAAGGTGAAATTTTTAAATCCACTACAAATAAGTTGTAATTCCCTTTCACAAATGCAGTTACCTCCATATTCCTTTATTTTAAATCCTTAAATTCAGAATCAACAGAAACTTATTCAAATTCTGAGGGAAATGCTATGTCGTCATATTTGATTGTGCCTATGTGATTTCACCAAATTGTTCTCTGCTCTATTGATGTTTTTGGAAATGCTAATGTACCACAACTTAATCAAATTTCAAGATGCTTCAAACACTTTTGCCCTTTATCAGTCATGTAGATTGATTGATTTATTTTAATGCTTGATGCTTGTGCCAGATTCTTGAAATGGATACCTACAGGTATCATGGTCATTCCATGTCTGATCCTGGTAGCACCTACCGTACTCGTGACGAGATCAGTGGCGTGAGACAGGTTATTGCATAGTTTACTTAACATTTCTTTTTTGCAAGGCAAAATTCCTTCACTATTTAATATTTTGTATATATTTGCCTTTGTGATACAATTTTCAGGAACGTGATCCAATTGAAAGAGTAAGGAAGGTGATATTAGCTCATGATCTAGCTACTGAGAAAGAGCTAAAGGTAATTTATTTCCCTTGTTTTGCATTTGAAGTTATGAACGCTAGACCAAAGATTTTCTAAACAAGAATGTTCAGAATGCTGGTATTGAACTGTTGAGAAAAGTAAATGTTTGTTTCTCTCTTATTCTTTTCAGGATATTGAGAAGGAAATAAGAAAAGAAGTAGACGAAGCCATTGCTCAAGCCAAGGTAAGAATTGGCATAAATTCTTAATTCTTGTCTGCTGAATGAAACCTTTCTCTCGGTCTTATACTTCTAATCTTCACAATCCTGATGCTTCCTTCCTCTGTTTTATCCTTTAAATTTGTGTTCACAGGAAAGTCCAATGCCAGAACCATCAGAACTTTTCTCAAATGTGTATGTGAAAGGGCTTGGAACTGAGGTAATCAATATTTCCTTATATTTATCTGTTTATTCCACCTTCATTATTTCCTTGTATTTACTTGCCACGATGAACTAAGGTAACCAATGTACTACAACTGCGTAATTTTTCCTCTGACTGTAATGATTTCCTGATTCTCAAATGCAGGCATTTGGGGCAGATAGGAAAGAAGTCAGAGTTGTGCTTCCATAAACAAACATATGCGGAAAAGTATCCAACAACAACCCCACTCTCAAAAAAAACTTTACCCAGCAGAAGTTATAGAAAAGTGGTAACAAATAAATGTTAGCGAAGATGGGTATCTTTTTCCAGCAATCATTTTGTTTCTCACATATTTTTGTATAGAATACTGATTCTTTCAAAGTTGTGGGGGTGAGAATTGTTTCTTTTTTGTCTGTGTGGTTCTCTTTTTGGTTCTGTGATATTCAATTGAATAGGGTTCTAATGTGCGTGAGGATACAAGAAAACTTGTTTCTTGGTATTCCAGGAGTTTTCCTTTTTTGTTCTATGCCCATTTTTCGCTGTTTTATGATAAAAAAAAAAAATAAGTATTTGTTGATCTTATTTGCCAACAGGGCCTGTCTTGCTCTTAGTCTAATCAATAATTATGAAGTTAGAAATGTGAATCACTTGCTATGCTAATTTGGACCAGGTAACCCGGCTTGGGTACATGAAATTTGTTAATGAATTGACTTGCCATGCTGGTGAACCCTTTATTTATTTATTTTTTTGGTCGGTGGTGTTTTTGTTTTTCAACCTACTGCTTTAGCTTCAGCTTCAGTTTAAAATATTCATTAGTAATGGTCTTGCTCATCTCACTTTATGGTATTGAATATTTTTCCGGTAGGTGTCGAGCTTTTATTCTTGTCGGCCATAAAGCATTGTACACGTCAACCCAGAAAAAAATGTAGTTAACTGCTAACATATCTGGAAGATGAGGAATTTTTGGCCAAAAAAAAAAAAAAGGGCTTGGCGGTGCAACTGGTCACTAGGATCACGGTACTTAAGTGATAGAATATTTCGTTATTTTTCTAGGTGAAATTTAAAATACAATTACAGAAATTGAACAAATAAATAAAAATAAAAAGGCATAAAAAGTCAGTAAGTTTTGGTTAATATTTTATAATAAAAATTAATATGTTAAACTTTTCCTTATGATGATAATATTATAACAGATTATATTAAAATAAAAGTTTAAGATTTCAGGACAGCTAAGTGTTTTCTTAAAGTTGATACTTTTAAGGAACTAATCTGTACATAAAAGTATGTTCTTTAAAATTGTGACTCAATTTACCAGATTTTGAGCTTGTCTATTAGGCTATTCTAATAAAAGAGTTATAGTTGTCTACGTGCCCAAAGCATTTTTCAAAATCCTGATCACTACTATTACCGCAAAGATTAAAGGAATCAAACGGAAATATTTATAATTAATCCGTGTTAGTTATTAGTTAAACCTAATTTGCAGATATAAATTTCAATTACAACTGTCAAAACTGAAGAATTTCAGGAGTTCAAAGTCTAATATAAGGCAGACTTGGGCATTATAAGGCAAAAGTTACTTGTGGAGTAGTTTGAATTTAGTTCAAACAATTAAATGTTAAACCTTGATGGTAAAATAACACTTAAATCAATGCAAAAATCATAAAAAAATATAATGCTACGTGAAATGTGTAGTTGCTATACTGATTAATGGCCCTTCTATTCATCAAATGAAAAATAACCCTTTTGAGACGCAAACATAATGCAAAGATCTACCAGGCTGCATAATTGTATAGGCAGCATTCCTAATCCTATATTGGCAAGTAGCATCATTATTTTCACCTATCTCAGTTTCAAGGTTCAATCAGTAACGAGGATCAAAATAAGCTCGAACCAGAATTGCCTTTTAGATTGAATGCTCCAACTGATCAAATTGCAGGGAATAAGAAACAAAAGCAGAAGCAGAATTTTGAAGGCAAGCTCATGAAATGATTTGATTTCAAAATAATACCATATAGAAGAAGCTTAGTGTTATCTGAAGAAAGAGCATTGATTGAGTATTATAAAAGGGCAACAGGCAACACAGTGTGACTTTGAATAAACACATTATCACAGAAATTGCCTTCTTCAATGTGACAGTTGAAACATTAAACAGAAAATTTCACACCTTCATCATCTGTAGAAGTTCCCTTGAAGATTGCAAGCTTTCCTTTGCTCTCTAGTAGTTTCAATGCCCGCATCAAGATTGTGCGATCTATGCCGTGGAGCTCTGTGGTTGAGCAAAGATAAATTCGCCAATCAAAATATGTACAAGATAATGCTCGCTAGATGATAAAATTGATGTCATGAGAAATTTCACTGGGCTGTGTTATTGTGTGCATGTGAGATGGACAATGTCAAAGGAAAAAAAATGTGATCTGGCAAAAGAAAGAATGTTGAAAACTTGAAGATTTTGATTTTTCAATCAAGTTTCTCCTTAGGAGGTTCATTTATGATGCCCAAAGGAATATTCGATTCTGAAAATTGCAAGCATAGTTTTCCTGTTTCTTCCAGATTTAAGGTTTCTTTTCTACGTTTTCATTATTTTAAGGTCTAGGTTTAGGTTTAGGTTTAGAATTAAGGTTTAAGGTTTCCTATTATGTTTTTGAGGTGCCTCAAAGGGTATTGATTGACTTGAAATAAAGAGCATTGTAACAGAAGTGGGTTTTGTGTTTTTATTTCTCTTCCTTTTCTTTGACAATGATCCTGCAGGTAGATAGACCATTAAAAAATATGAAAACACAAAATATCAGCACCTATGACAATATAATCAAAAGCAATACTGCACTCCCATATTTCTAAAATGAAAAGGCACTCTGAGAAATGCCACCGACTTTTAAACATGCAGAATGTAATTAACTTGAGCAAACTTTAGCATGAACTAGCTGAGTTTGCAATATACATCTTTTTTCTTCAATCTCATATCCCAAAAGTACATTGCAAAAACGGCTGCAGCACATTTATCTCTCTATCTTCAAGGTAAAGATGGCTAAATCATAAACTTTAGTTATTCTACTCGAAAGTTTCATATGTATTTTTAACCCTGCCTCACTCAGCCTGTACTTTCTTAGCCATATCCAATGAGGTGATATATCTCTCTCTCTCCCTTCTTCTATTCCTTTTTTTTTGTTTCTCTAATGATTCTATAAGGAAGATGAGGCAAGGCATCTTTAAGTCCGATTCAAAGATAGCAATAAGCAATGAAGTTTTAATTCCCCTGTAAACAAAGGTGTCACCCTGCCTGCTTCATCTATTAATTATAGAATAGCATATCTAATTCAAATAAGGAGTGGAGTCATGGAGGGAGTGAAAGCCAGAGCTTGTGGGCTGCAAGAGAAAGGTGAAATAATTTTTAAGACCCCATTCAATAAATATCCACAAAATTTTACCTGTTCCCCGAGATTCAATTCCCGAGCGTATTTCCTCAATAGTCATAACACCATCCTCTAATCCATTATCCTTCACCTAATGAAATAAACAAGTATATCAAAAGAAAATAAGAACGGAACAAATGCCAATGATTCATTATAAAAAAGAATAATTGACTCACAAAATGTAAAATAATGTTTGCCCAATCTTGAATACGATGCCACAGAATGAGGCATTTCCTATGTCCTTTATCTAGCCATTCCGCACGACCTGTAAGGACATAAAATATAATAGAGCAACTATTAAAAATGTAGTTGTTTACAGCAGTTCTTTCCTTCAGAAAGCTCCCAAAAATAAAAAATAAATAAATAAATAAATAAATAAAAAGAAAAGGCTGAAAGGGCTGACATGATTGCACCCTTTGATGGATGGTTTGATGTCAACCTGAAAAAACTGGATATAGCTTGTGTTTTTGGAACAAAAATAAACCTAATTATTAAAATTACCACCTCAGGGACTACTTTTTTCCCCATCGAGTACCCAGTGAATCCGTTTAGCAGCACTCAAGTACTATTCAGCAAACATTTTCAAGTGTAGTTCACTTGATCCTTCTGAGCATAACCTACAACAAATATAATAGTCTACCATATATGATTTTCATCTGACTCTTGCACAACAGCCTTGTGGCCCCACATAATTAACTTCTACCTATTTTTCTTTATTATTTTGTTCCTATGTCTGCTTTTATGTGGGGATGAAGAAGAAGAGAAAAAGAACCACAGTTGCTGAAATGGCAACGTGAATAACTACAAGGTCTAATTTTGAAATTTCCCCGGAACACAATCAAGACTAACCTTCTGAAACTAATGCTGAGAGAAATGCTTTTCTGGCTTCATGACTGAGAGATCCTGCATCACATTATGTAGATAGAAACAAAATCAATAATATCATTTAAATCAAACATGCTTTTTTTTTTTTTTTTTGCAAAAGCAGATTTAAGCAGGGAACAACACGTTGGCCCTCTGAGCTGTGTTATTTTAATTTGTTCAGTCATCACTTATATATAAATATGCTACAATTTAGTTTCAGATATAAACCTTCCACAACTAGCAGGCAAAGGAAGATCACTAGATATAGGAAAATTAGAAGTACCTACACTTCCCTAAAAAAAATTGTGTAACCGTATCTCACTACCCCTTCAAGGAAAACAAACCCATATAACACCATTATCACCACACAACCTCCAAAATACCAATAATTTCACAGCGCCTTCATCATTCAATATGTTATACCATTTGGCTACTTTAGCTCTCAACCTCATGACAACGGAGAAATATATAAAAAAAACTCATTTGGAAGTACAAAATACATTACTTAGCATGCTAACTTGAGATAAGCAAGATCAAAGTCTACAGACCAAACTGCCCTAAGTTTTATATGTAACTTGTTATAAATATAATAGATGTTGCTAGCTTTAACTGGGCAATGAAACATCCCATGGAGAAGGTACAAAATTGAGATGCAATATAATGGATCTCAGCCTTCAATGAATAACAATCAAAGAAACTATCATAGCATAACAGATCCCAGCCTTCAGTTAACCCCTATGCCAAAATTTCAATAACAGCATCAAGGTCATCGAACTCGCAATGCAGATTATTAGTTACAAAGACATATTCAAGCTATAAAAGTTTGAAGATTATCAAGTAGAATGCATCATGTGAGAAAGGCCTGTGAAGCTTTTATCATTATTGGATTCCTATACAGTTTATTTTTTCATCTCAAGAAATCCAGACACTTCACAAATTCATGAAAAATTCAAATATAATGGCTTTGCAAGCATACTGGCATATCCACAAGACTACACAGCGTTATGGAGACCACATATAAACAAGTAGTCAGAACCTAATGAAAATATAGGACTTACTTTCAATCACAGGATTAGAGAACAGAGGAAACTCCTCTTCCAATTCAATCGCAAATATCTGCTGAGTTCTACAATAATCAAGGATAAGTTCCTTCCAGAGCTGTACTTGCTTCTCTCGAGTGTCCCTAACTGGCTGCAAACTAAGAGTGAGAACTGAAAATTAATTAGAAAAATGATTTAATTAAAATTAGAATCGAGGAGGGGAGAGCAAATAATTGCGTTATAATAAAAGAAGATAAGATGTCATTCAATGCATAAAACACAATAAGTGTTAAAGAATTTCTTATTCTTCACTGTCATTACTAATTTACGCATAAGATTTCTCCATATGCTCTCTTCAAAGGTTTAATAAATAACAGTACAATAATGATGGTGAAACTTATGATAGACGAATTACCAAATATCATTGGGATTTGAGGTTTAAAAATTAATCAAATAACTTCTAGTTAAACAAACTTATCTGAAAGCGACCATATTTTTTCTTAAGAAAGGGGCAGCAACAGAAACTGATCTTTAATAATCAACTAAACTACAAAGCAGTATGAGGGGAAGAAGAATACGTGAAGTAAGGTGGGTAATTGAAGAACTGGGGTAGCTTGAAATCACCCAATTTCTGCATTTCTCTGGTGTTCTCTCAAAAAGAAACTTACAACTGCATCACTGTAACTCAATAAAAAGGAATGCAATCAGCAGAAGCATCGTCATATTATCAAATTATGAACTTTTCAAATGACTATTCCCTAAACAATAATTGGAACACAAAAATCGAATGCTTCACTTAAAAACGCTAAAAATAACATTATAAAAATATATAATCCATTTGAGCGGACCGCTATCATACCAGTATAACAAGCTCAATGCTTTTATCAAGATCTTGTCGTTGGGCTAAATAATGATGGAGCAGAGGTGATAGGCGCGGTTGCGATCGCTGATAATTGCTATGCAAGAGACTCACCGGTGGCGGAGAGAGAGAGGGAGGAGAGGTTAGGAATTTTGATACAGTTAACGTACGATTAGTCAATAAAAATATGAGGGTATTTTAGGTAAAGTAACACCCAAGAGCTCGAAGTCGAAGCTTTTATCTCGTGAAATAACAGAAGGCTAGCCGCAAAGGCATGTAGGTGGTGGCGAAGTTTGGACGTTGTTTGAGTTCTCCCTAACGTTTGAAAGAGAGTTTTTGACTTTTTGTAACGTTAAAACCAAGGAGACAAGCGCCTGCTTGCTGCTACTTGTCTTCTTCGCTACAACTTCAGTCTTCGCATCTTCTTCTATTTTACTTGCCTGTAACTCTCTGCAAATCAGTCTCCCCCTCTCCCTCTATAGATATACTTTAGAAATCGAGAATCTGTTGTTCAGGTTCATTTCAATCTCTCTTAAATCTTATTTTAACCCGCCAAATTTCGTATCACTTTGTCACAGTTAAGCGAATATCAGGTTGCAAGAGAGAAATAAAGACAAATGGCTGTGTAAGTTTTAAACTTTAATGTTTATGAAAAGTACTAATTAGCTTTTTTTACTTGGATTTATCAACATTTGAGGCACAGGGGCAAAATTTTGGTTAATCTTGATCTTTTGTGATTTTGGTCATTGATTTCGTTTATACTTTAAAAGATTTGATTTTTTAAAAAGGTTACTTCTTTATCTGGGTTTTGTTATTTGATATTTGTAATCGTTGATATTAATTCCACAGAGTTGCTTCTGCTCCGGGTAAGGTGTTGATGACTGGGGGTTACCTTATCTTGGAAAGACCCAATGCCGGAATTGTGCTCAGCACGAATGCTCGATTCTATGCTATTGTGAAGCCTCTTTACGATGAAATTAAACCTGATAGCTGGGCGTGGGTGAGTCTGATTCTTTTATATCCTCTCTCTACGTGCGCAAGAGTTCTGTGTATTTTGATTGTGTTCGTTTTGGAATATTTCAACTAAATATAAACAATTCTACTTGTGGTTTGGCCAAATGAATCCATGATCTAATCACTTGTCAACAGTTGTATTTTGTTAACTCTATGAAATTTATCTTAATGATGTTTGGATTTGAACATCATATGTAGAGATGTTTTTTATTGAATAATATTATCATTTCATTGTTGACATTCTTTTTGGGTGAGTTGTTCTATGGATCACCTTTCAGGCATGGACTGACGTGAAATTAACATCTCCTCAACTCTCTAGAGAAAGCTCATACAAATTGTCACTGAAGAATTTAACTCTTCAGTGCGTCTCCTCAAGGCAAGTTGTCAATAGTCGTATTTTGACCAGTGTTTTATTATAATTTGAAGTCAATAACAGTCCAATTATTATCTTTTTCGTTCACTTGTACCTGCATTTCTTTTATCGGGAATTTGCATTCAGCTTCGGGAGCACTCAGAGTATATAGTAAAACCATGCCCAGTTCATGAGCATAATGAAAATCATTGAGGAAATTATGGTTTAAATGAATTAATGATGCAATGCTTTTTGTTGTTCGCTAAAAATTTCAGTACATCAAGGAACCCTTTTGTGGAACAAGCAGTGCAGTATGCTGTAGCAGCTGCACATGCAACATTTGGCATAGACAAGAAGGATGTCTTAAACAAGCTACTCTTGCAAGGTAATATTCATGTTTTCTCTTTCCACTTCAGGGAAATGGGCAGTAGGATTTCAAGAATCTGATGTTTGAACTTGTTTAGTCATGCAGGTCTTGATATCACAATTTTAGGTTGCAATGACTTCTATTCATACAGAAATCAGGTATTTACCCTTCTTTAGGTTGTTCAAAATTGTTCCTTTTATGAACATGATCTTTTGGAGGCATCTTTTGTACTCGCACATCTCATCTATAGCATATTCTCCTTTTCATTTTATTTTCCCTTCTAAATAGTTCTTAACTCTCAATAATATTGGTGTTTGAGACGTGCAAATAGCCAACAATTTGTCTTTCTTGAAGATGGGCGCAAATTTGTTATATGAGAAACTTCAAGTAACCCTGAAATTGAATTTCCCATATAATTTTCAGGAATTTGATGCATAGATTTTGTTTCATTGTTTTTTATCTTAATATTGTAAATGTTATTGCTTTTTTTCCTAGATCGAAGCTCGTGGACTCCCTTTGGCACCGGAAGCATTGGCTGCACTCCCTTCTTTCACCTCAATCACCTTCAATAATGAGGATGCAAATGGACAAAATTGCAAGCCTGAGGTGGCCAAAACTGGATTGGGCTCATCTGCAGCAATGACCACTGCTGTAGTTGCCTCTTTACTTCATTACCTTGGAGTGGTTAATCTTTCATCCCTAAGTAAAGATCTTGATATAGTGCACATTATAGCTCAAACTGCCCACTGTATTGCACAAGGGAAAGTTGGCAGTGGCTTCGATGTCAGTTCTGCAGTTTATGGCAGTCATCGTTATGTTCGCTTTTCACCAGAAGTGCTATCCCCCACACAGGTCTTTCTGCTCTTACCCCTTTTCTCTCCCTCTCCATGCTCCACCCCGCCCCACCCTCTTCCGAAAACAAAAAGTTTGCTTCCAAGTATTGTTTCATTATTTCCGCAGAAGGATTACATCATGATAGCATGATGCTTGCTGAAATAATGAGATCAAAGCCAAACTTCCACCATCATGCTTTTTCCTTATAATTTCTCCATGTAAAACATTTCAGGATTCTGCGAAAGGAATCCCATTACAGGAAGTCATTGCTGACATCCTAAGAGGCAAATGGAACCATGAGAGGACAATATTTTCCTTACCACCACTGATGAACCTGGTAATCACCTTGAGATATTTCATTTGATACTCCCTACTTGTGTCTGTATTACTATTCTTTGTGTGCTTGTTTATATAGAGATGGCTATTGTGATTTAATGATGAAGGTTGCACCTATTCACCTCTTATTTTAAGTAAGCTATCTTTTTCTCAAAAGGATCCTCATACTGTCTCACTTGCCATAAATGTGTCTCCCTCTTTTGGTTCTGTGTGTTTATATTCTTCAAAGCGAGCATGGATGTTATGTGGAGTGATTTTGTCCTCTACTTGTTTTTCATTGTGGATTATAATTTCCATCTTGTGTAGCATGTTTTAGTTTTTCATTCACTTCATGAATTTATCATCACAAAGACATTTTCGCTTTAAACAGTAATTTTGAGCCTTTTTATTTAGCTTTTCATCATCTATAAAAAACGATAGCATGTGTTAGCTAATGATGATTATAATACTTGCTGAAGCTGCTAGGTGAACCAGGAAGTGGAGGATCATCTACGCCATCAATGGTCGGTGCTGTGAAGAAGTGGCAAAAATCTGACCCCCAAAAGGCCCAAGAAACATGGAGAAAGTTGTCAGAGTCGAATTTAGCACTTGAAACACAGTTCAATATTTTAAGCAAGCTTGCGGAGGAACACTGGGATGCATATAAATGTGTTATAGACAGCTGCAGCCTGCAAAAGGCAGAGAAGGTATTTCTGAAGCTCTTGTTTCTCTTATATCTGCAGTTGTAGTGATATTGAATAAGTAATTATTGATTTTTCATGATAATGAAAGTAAAAGTGAAATATATAAAATAATGAAATTTTTTATGAGTTAAGATCATAAGAAGCGTGCTAGTAATTGTTGAAATTTCTTTGAATTTTGTTTTATTTGATTGTCATCATTGCTTTAGAAATCATTGTCATTTTGTAAGATAAGAGATCCATTTATTTACAGGGGTCCACTTCTTGTCTCCATTCCTTATCTCCATTTGCAGATGAAACTGAATATAACTTGTCGAAATTGGAAATAGTTTAGTGAAGTTGAAATTCTGAAGCACAATCCAGGTCTCTTCAAAGTTGGAAGACCTGTATTCCAAGAAAATGATTTTAAATCTTCCCAACTTATAGACACATTTTCTTGCAGTTTTCTATTTGCCCATGGAATTCTATGGTAAAGTGAAAATTTATCAGGATTGAAATACAATTACCAATGCCTCAAAAACGAAATATGGTTTTCTTTTGTATTGAAGCCTTTTTTGGACTTTTGTCTTGATAAATTTTCTTAGTCAATTCAGTGAAGACTTGTCTAAATCATCATGTCAAACTATTTTCCAGACAGCAGCAGGTGATATAGTGCCAAACAGTTCATATACTTCTTTTTGTAGCACGCAGCTTGAAATCAGTTTAATACCATTAAGTGAAAGGTGTGTTCTTTTTTAACTCCTGAATTCGAGAGAACTCGAACCTGAGATCTCTTATTCCTGCATTAGTGAGAACCAACCAGATCATAGCTGATTGGCAGCTTTAATAGGTCCATTAGGATTTGTGATTGCTTGATCTTCTAGGGACTATTTAACTATAATTCGAAATGTTTTCTTTTTTGTTTTGTGCCTTGGACTTTATTTTAGTTCCCGTTTTGGGATGGTTTGACATAAAGCACATAAAAGAGTTGTCTATAAAATTAATGTAATTTTGTAATAAACATGTACCAAGACTTAAAGAGAACCTGGTCATTAGATCTTTATCATCTATCATTAACACAAAATTTTCACCTTCTTCCATCAAATGTTAATGTTTAACAGTTAATTGCTCAAACATGGTTAAAATTCTACTCATTTGAATTTTAGAAGCATCAAAATGTATCAATAATCCATACATGAATTATAATTTTGTCGATTTCACCAAAACCAAATGTCTGGCTCCACCACTTCTCAGCGTCCATGCCGCTTGGCCTGAAATGATATCCACTCCTTCCATGTCTATCCTGGTGAACCATGTGCAAACTGCTGGTATTTCGTTGATCCATGTCATCAAGTGTGAACTTTTTACTTATTTTTTTATTTATGTTGAATGTTTTCTAACTTGTGGGATTGCTAATTTTGTTGATATGCGCATTTGCATGAACAGTGGATTAAGCAGGCAACTGAGCCTAGACAAGAAGCAGTTGTTAAAGCATTATTAGGAGCAAGAAATGTGATGCTTGAGATCAGAAATCACATGCGCAAGATGGGCGAGGCTGCAGGTGTTCCGGTATGGTTCAGCTTTACTTAATTAGGAACTGGTTTCTTTTCCTCCCTATTTTTGTCTACATTTCCGTGCAAAATGCTTATAAGATGACGAATGGAAAATTGAACTGCGACAGCTATTTCCTGTCCCCCATTACATTTATGTTCCTGACTAGCAAGTTCTACTGTTCTGCTAGACGGATATCAAAATCACTTAAAAATATCTCATCTTACCAGCAAAGAAGTACTTTACTAGGGCTAGTTAGGCATTCAGTGTATTCATTAACAGTCTCTTTAACAAAATCTTCAGACAGAGCCGGAATCACAAACTCAACTTTTAGATACTACAATGGATATGGAGGGAGTTCTGTTGGCTGGAGTTCCTGGAGCCGGAGGATTTGATGCAGTCTTTGCTGTTACCTTGGGGAACTCTAGCAGCAACATTACAAAAGCTTGGAGTTCGCTCAATGTTCTGGCTTTGTTGGTTAGAGAAGATCCTCGTGGTGTTTCTTTAGAAAGCGGCGATCCAAGAACCAAGGAAATTACATCAGCTGTATCATCAATTCACATCGAGTAAGGTAATAATACTACTCAATTGTAATTGATAAACTATACCCACCTTCATGGAGGTGGAAAACTTGATTTTTCAAAGAAAGACTCGTTTCAAGTCCTCAATTTTATCATGTGGATTGATGTTAAATAGCAAATGAATAAAAGATCCTTGATCGGACAATCAATAGCAAAACTTGTTCTAATCTCCTTAAATAATGTGTAATAAATCAGCTTCTTTTTCTTCCATGTTTTACTTTGACAATGTATATGCTAGGGATGTATTGTTACAATGTTGGGATGAATCAAAAGATTCACATAACCGAATCCAACCAGTTTGGAACTATAACTTGGTGGTTGTTTTGTGCTGTTGCGGTCTTGGTTGTTGATTCACCGACCCCAGCTAGTTTAAGAGTAAGGCCCGTGATAAGGTCTATGTATAGCAGATATATCTGATAATCTCTCATTAATTAATAAAATAAAAGAGCATGTTATAGACAATCACTCTCGGGAAGAAGGTGACTTTTTTTAAATGATCGGCGGAAACGCTCAACGGTCATCTCATATCATAATCATGTGCAAGATGTGAAGAGGTGCAATCGTGCACGAAACGGGCTTGGTTCACGGACGACCCGGTTTACGATTTTCTTTCACGCTAAAATTTAGATGTTCTTGTGCACTGTAGCCTGCACTGCAGGGAGTGCGACCACCTAGGAGGTCCCACTTGTGACTTGTCCAAGCCAAAAAATCCACGTGCTCCGCTGGATTTTAATCGTGGTGGCTTGTTTTATTCCCACGTGGAAAAGTATTTGTTTAAAGAATGTCACGTGCTGACAAAACGCCACTGTACTGGTCTGTTGTTTTGGCGTCATCCAATCAAAAGCCCCTTGCCGTATATTACACAAAGAGTTTCAGACTTTCAGAGCATCCTATGCTCTGCTCTTCTCCTGCAACGCAATTTAACGCACCTGCTTGCTCCCCCCACCTCCTCACCTTCCCTTATTTTTATTAAGAAAGAAGAAAAAATATAAGAAATTAACAAAAAAAAAAAAAAAAAGATGATATAACATTGTAATAAGCAAAAAAATATAGACGAAACTATATATTTCTAAAACTGAATAGATAAAATTATGAATTAAAAAAAAATACAGGGATAAATAGTAGTTTTTCCTATTATTTATGACATTATTTTAATTTCCCACAATTTTTACTGGTGTTGGAATTGTAAAAGACAAGTGCTATATTTATTAATCGAAGGGAGAAAAAAAATACTATCAATTGGTGAGATGTTGGAGAAATAAAAGTTTCAGAATTTATTTAAGGCAAGGTGGTTGGTTGGTACATGGTGCTCAGAACCTAAATTCCCTACCCAAATTCTTATAAAGACCACCAACTGATACTACTATTATTCTAATGCTTTGCTTCTTTCTTTCTACATTACTTGCTTCCTTAATTAATCTAATAAAATATATGCTAATGGCCAGAACTAATCGGTAATCCCAAATTAAAATAAATAAATAAATGATGTTTTAAAAGGCCACATCGCACACCTCATGAACTTGTCTCTATTTTTTTAGTGTTCTTTCTTTATTTTTTAATGAATGGTGCACTCTGTACATGAAGCCACCGTCCATTGTAGTAGTCGTTGTTGGTACCCACTCTTGATTTTACAAAATGCTAATTGTTCTAAATTGAAACCCGCTTCCAGATGCCCTTGATTTTAATTTGTAGTGGATACCGATTCGAATATGAAACTTTTCACTACTCACATAAATAAAAAGATTAATTAAATTATATTTAATTAGCTATCTAAATAAAAAGACCAACTGAAATATTATTAATTATAATATAAGGAATATTAGTTAGCCTATCTAATTAAGAACAAACTTGAAATATATTTATTATATATAAATATATAGCCGTTGGAGTGGAACTCTCCAGAGTGGAACCAGTCAATTCTCTTTATTTTCTTTGGTTTTATAACGCCCATTATTGTAAACTAATAAGAATTCAATTTGCAAACTATTTAAATCGATTAAGACATGTAAATAAATAAATTAATAAACGAAAAAATATTTGCAATATGATGTATTTTCACTTATTAAATGGTGATTATTAATATTAAATAAAAAAAACTGATAAATTTTATATATAATTATCATAATAATTTTTATATTTTCCCACAAAGTAAGGACATTTACAGAAATTAATAACGATATTACTATTAGTTTATCGGGAGATTGCAGTCGATGTTTCTTAATGTGAAAAGAATTATTCTGGACTTTTTATTGGAAATGTGAATTCGGCTGCAATATTACAATTCAAACAGACTGTTTTACAAATTTAGAAAATTATTTTTCAAAATAAAAATTAAATGAAAATTGTGAGAGAGTTTAGATGAAAACATCATTTTGCTTTGCCTCGTGTGATAATTGAACCGCAAGAATCAGACGGTTGTATATTGGAAGTCAAGTCAATCACTAATCAACCTTTTCTGTTTCTGCCGTTTGTAAGCACGAATCAAGTGTCCATTTTTACGCGCCTACCGCTTGACGTGTTCAAGATACGTAACTCTGCTTCTAATACTCATAAATCAAATCAAAAGAGAAAATCGGGGTATTCTCCTCAAATTGAAAAGTCGACTTCAAATCGCATTTGTGTTTGACGTTGACCTGAGTTGAGTTGAGTTTCGTATTCTAAACTTATAGGATAAGCTGATGCCTGTCATATAATTTAGACCTCATTAGAAAAGTTAAGCAACAAAAATGCTTTAACTTTCTTTTTAATTTGCAAAAAGCTCTAATTTTTATTTATTTATTTGCATACATGTGTCCATCCTTGAACCGAGAATGATATTTTCGATAATAACCTCTTAATAATATTTGGTAATTCAAGTTTTAAACTGAAATGAAAACAATTAAACATACTGCAAAAAGAAAAAAGAAAAAATATATTATTTCTAACACTCGCGTAATTTCTTTGCATTGAAATTGATCAATTTTTACCATGAACTAAATTATTTTTTCTTCTGCAAATGTGAAATGATAAAAGAAAAAGATTATAAGAATCATTGCATGTTAGGTAATAAATCAAATCAAACTTATTATTAGATCCATAATATGTTGTATTCTTGCACTTGTATTTGGCATCATAACCACTAATCTGTAGTTGTTAAAGATTCTGATTTTTGAATCTTAAATTATATGGATGAAAATCTATATTTGGTTCAACAATTAAATAAAACATATTAGTTAATTTTGATTCCAATTTCTCAAAATAACTCAGAAGTCCAATTTTATTGGTGATTTTAGTCAAAGTATTCGTTATTCATTAGGCTATTTTTGACTGTGGAAGCAAAAATATATGTTGAATTATCTTACATTTTATGTAATTTTGAATTATATCATAGTATTTCCGTACCATTTAATTTAGGAATATCGTATAATTTAGAATTCAGTAAATATCCAAATTCCAATTTCATTAAAATAAAATTTAAGTCTAAATATTATGAAAATTAAATTTTCAATTACGGAGGGTGGATCCTTATGCATGTACAAAAGCATATGGAAACATAAATGAATAACTATTTTAGTCTTTGCAATTTTATGTACTATATATATTTATTGCCACCAAAAGTATAAAAATCCATAAAAAATTTGGCACAGCTATGTTTGATGAATCTTGTATTTTCTATTATTATTGGGGCATGGAAGTCCAAAATTGAAAGCTAACCCTTTAGCTTCAAATATAATTTTTCTATTTAATATTTTTTATTTTATATAATATTAGTTTTTCAATTATACACAATTGAATTTTCAAAACCTTTTGTGGATTTTAAGTAAATTCCATGTTTCCAAAACTTTTGCAATTGTTTGTTAACCATAATGTTTATTTTTTATTCACACATGTATTTTCACACTTCAGGAGCCAAAGTATAATATTTAAGTAAAATTAGAAATATAATTTCAAAGTTTGAACTTTTAATCTTATGTCTAAAATTTATCTGAAACTGCAGTCTATTTCTATTGATTTAATCACCTATTAATTTTATTAACAGTAATTTAATGGTTGTTTTCAAGTTTTATAATTTTCAATATAAACCATTATTAAAAAAAAAAACAACTAAATCATAATAAAAATTAATAAAAAGAATTACTCCTTTATACAATTCTGATCTGGCATTCATTTCCAATATGGAAAAATAAAATACGACTTGGAGATGACAGTGGAGAAGATACGTAGAAAAAAGAAAAAGTTAAATACCATACAAAAATAAGTACTTTTTAGAGCAAATAAATAAAAAATATTATCAAAGGAAAAATAAATAAATAAATAATAGTAATAGTTAAATACAGAATGACTAAACAGTTTGTCAAAAAAAGAAAATAGAATGAGTAAACAGTATATACCATTCCCCTCCACTGAGGCAGAGGCAATGGCTGGGGAACACGTGATCACGTGGGTGAGGATCCAAGAGCCACTGGAATGACAGAAAACTGGTGGGCCCAGTTAGAAATGCCAGGGTAGATCACAGCCGTCAATGTCAAAAATCACAATTATGAAGAAGAGAAGACAGCTGGTTTCCTTTGGAGACACAGCTGGCACTGCATTAGTGGAGGGAAAGAATATTACTTGTCCCAATAAGAGGAATGGGATTGTGTTATTATGGGAATGCCAAAGTCATTGCCTCCTCCTCATTCCTTCGTATACTAATTCTATCTTTTCGTCTAGTATTTTTTTTTTTTTTTTGAATGGTTGTTTTTCAAGTTTTATAATTTTTCAATACATTAAACCATTATTTAACAAAAAAAACAACTAAATCATAATAAAAAATTAATACAAAAGAATTACTCCTTTATACAATTCTGTCTGCGCAATTCCATCTTCCAATATCGGAAAAATCAAAAACGACTTGGAGATGACAGTGGAGAAGATACGTAGAAAAAAGAAAAGTTTAAAATACATACAAAAATAAAGCTACTTTTGAGAGGCAAACTAAACATTAAAAAAATATTAATCAAGGAAAATCAATAAATAAACTAAATAGTACATAGTTTAATACAGAATGACTAAACAGTTTTGTCAAAAAAAGAAATAAGAATGAGTAAACAGTAAATACCATTCCCCCTCCACTGAAGGCAGAGGGGCAATGGAATGGGGAAACACGTGCGATCACGTCGCCGGTGACGGATCCAAGAGCCACTGGAACTGCAAACAGCAAACTCGCGTGGGACCCAGGTTAGAAATGTGCAGGTGTAGATTCACAGCCGTCAATGTTCAAATATCACAATTATGAAAGAAAGAAGTAAGACGCTTGGTTTCCTTTGGAGACACATCTTCCTTCTGCTCTGGCACTTGCATTTAGTGAGGGGAAAGAATTATTACTTTTGTCCCAATAAGAGAATGGGATTGTTGTTATTATGGATATTGCCAAAGTCTATTTGGTCCTCCTCCTCATTTCCCTTCTCGTAGTGACGTAATTCTAGGCCAACTCTTTCTCGTCTAGTACCTCGGTTTTTTTTTTTTTTTACATAGATTAGAATGTTGTAGTTAATTAATTTGAATTTGTATAGGTAATTTTAGTCCTTATTTTTTTAAAAAGATAATTCTTTAAATTTAATATATAAATATACATACTATTCTTATGCATATTTAATGAAATTATTGGATTGTTTTTTTTTTTTTTTTTACATAGATTAAATTTAGTTAATTAATATAATTTGTATAGTAATTTTATCCTTATTTTTTAAAAGATATTCTTAAATTTAATATTAATATCATACTATTCTATGCATATTTAATGAAAAATTATTGATAATAAAACAAATTAGATATATATATATATATGAAAAGAAAAAAATAAGTTGCTAATTATATGTAGTTTGATTAATTTTTTCACTTGTGAAGAGCGAGAGGTCTCAAATTTGAGCTCTTTTGACCATAACTATTTTGATCAATTTGGTGAGTCCAAAAAAAGACTATCCCTGTTATATAACCTACAGTATTATTTCGGTCCATCAGATCCCTCAATGAATAAAAAAAATATAATTAAAATTGTTCGCTAACTTATTTTTGCATATCAAATTTATTTCTTCTTTTTGTGTTTTGAATATAGAGAAAGGGATTCAAATTTGGATCAAACTGGATTGAAATTGTTTACCTTGTTTACCATTTTAACCAATACTTTTTCGTATCTTAAATACTTTTTTCAATAACACTTGAATTTTCCTTTTAAAACCGTTTCAATTTTTACGTTAAAATATATTTTATTCTATTCGATCAGTATAATTTATCCATAATGAAAAATAAATTAATCTATCTAACAATTAATGAAATTTCAACTATTAACCTTCAATATATGACTCACTGACATCAAATGTGGTTTCATCATTTGAATTTAGGTTGAATAAATGGAGTAAAAATTTAGATGAAAGCTTTAAAACTGAATTATAATTCTTATTTATTTGTGGAAATCACTTATGTCTTGACCAAAGAATTGATGTCATTAATCTTTGCAAACATTCTAAAACTAGACTTGTCGTAGATTCAACTTAAAGTGGTCAATTTCTATCGAATAGTCTATGTTATTTTCCAAGAACAAACACTTATGTTTTCTTTTCTTTTCTTTTTTTTTTTTCCATGAATAAAGAATTTTCAATGCTTGATTTTTTTTTTTTTTTTAAAAAAAGAAATTTCAGTGCTACTTTCTTCGAAAATCATATATTTAATCATATTTTCAACAAGTAAAAATAATTTGCCAAGGAATTGTGTGATGAACCTCAAATTTCTATGAAAATGTTGGTTTTTTTTTTTATGTTAATTACTCTAGTTTCCAATAATTAACATCATCTTCCTATCAAGAAAAAAAAAAAAAACAGTATTTTCAATTTAAAATTCCCTTATCAAACTAAGATACTGAATCCTAGTGATCTAACCAAAGATCTCTGCATCTACAAATAAAGAAAATATTGACAATTTTAATTAATAAATTATTTTTGATATTGTATAATATTAATTTTTAGATATACTTTTTTATATATAAAACACTAAAAGAGGATTAAATTTTTTTAGATAAAAATACTCAATTAGCGAACTACTAATATGAAGTATATTGTTACGGTAGTAAGTTATATATTTGACTTATATAAGTAATTATTCGCTATTATTAATAAATTAAATTGAGCTCAAATTGAAAATTAGAATAAAAATAGGATATAAAGAAACTCCTACAATTACAAATTAAGCAACAATATTATTAAAAACCGCGTAATTTCGTTAAGATCACAAATTTTAAACTCCACACTAACAAATACGCATCCCGTCTAACAAGATTAAACGCGCCGAACACGCGTGTATTATACCTTCCAACCAAATAGATAATTAGCATCGAACAAACAATTACAGGGTACATTTTATACCTTTCTTGCTATCAGTTTCCTAACCCAGTCACTTTCCCTCTGTATATAGAGAGAAAAACAGAGGGAGAGACAGAGAGAGACTGCATAAAGGCTCGCAATACCGCACTCTCTCTTTTTCATTACTCTCTCACAGAGAGGAAAAGGAAAACCGGAAATCGAAAGAAACAAACCAGGAAGAAAAAGAAGAAGAAGAAGAAGCTGGAAGGCCTCGTTGATCTTTCTCCTTCCATTTTTCTTGCAATCTTTAATTTTCCATTTGATTACCCATTCTACATTTATTTGATTTGATTTGATTTGATTTTTCTGTTGTTCCAATTTCCTAAATCGTCTCTTCACTTTCCCTTTCACTTCCAATGCAATAAATACCAACCTTGTATCTGTTTAATCTGGATAGAATCAGCAAAACTAAAATGTGTCGTTTCCTGTTTGTCGGTGCCGTCTTGTTCTTTGTAGTTTCTTCTTTTTCTGCTCCATTTTGTTTTGGGATTCGTTCTATACCGGCGACGGAGATTAACGGCAGTGATGGTTTTGAAATGGGTGTATTCCGATTTGCTGAAGCGCCGGAGTACCGTAATGGGGTGGGGTGTCCAATTTCAGGAAATGGACAGTTTGTTTCTTCTTGTGACCCTTCTTTGGTTCACATAGCCATGACTCTTGACTCGGAGTATCTACGCGGGTCAATGGCCGCTGTTCACTCTGTCTTGAAGCACGCTTCTTGCCCTGAAAATGTCTTCTTTCATTTTATCGCTGCTGAGTTCGATCCGGCAAGCCCGCGGGTTTTGAGTCAACTCGTCCGATCCACGTTTCCTTCACTCAGTTTCAAGGTCTATATTTTCCGAGAAGACACAGTTATCAATCTCATCTCTAGTTCAATCCGTCAAGCCCTAGAAAACCCACTAAATTACGCCAGAAATTATTTAGGAGATATCCTAGATAACTGTGTTGACCGAGTCATATACCTCGACTCAGATATCGTCGTCGTCGACGATATTCACAAGCTCTGGAACACAACCCTGGTCGGGTCAAAACTAATCGGAGCACCCGAATACTGTCACGCCAATTTCACGAAATATTTCACCGATGGGTTTTGGTCGGACCCACTTCTTTCTCGGGTTTTTTCCGCCCGAAATCCTTGTTATTTTAACACTGGAGTAATGGTTATGGATTTGGTGAAATGGAGAGAAGGGAATTACAGGAGAAGAATTGAAAACTGGATGGAGTTACAGAGGAAGAGGAGAATTTATGAGTTGGGTTCATTGCCGCCATTTTTGCTGGTATTTGCCGGTAATGTAGAGGGAATCGATCACAGGTGGAATCAACATGGGCTTGGTGGAGATAATGTAAGAGGGAGTTGCAGGTCATTGCATCCAGGGCCAGTGAGCTTGTTGCATTGGAGTGGAAAAGGGAAGCCATGGGTAAGATTAGATGCTAAAAAGCCATGTCCACTTGATCATCTATGGCAGCCTTATGATCTTTATAAAGGATACGAGAACATAAAAATGAAGGATTTGAATTTGGGATATTTGAGTTCTTCGCAGTCTACAGTGATGGGATATTCTAGTTATTTGTGATTCTTTTGATTTATTTTCTTTTTTAAAATTTTTAGCTAACACATTTGAAGAAATTCTTTCTTAGATGTGTACAGATTAGATGATTGATGGGTTTGGGATTTCTTTTTAATTTTTTAATTTTCAATTTCTTGAAATTCATGTGGTCTACACATGGGGGGATTTCAAATTTAGGGTTCCACTGCTGTGGAACAATTTTGGTGGGTTGATTTCTTTGTATGTATTGGAATCATTGTGGGAGAGAAAGAAGACAATAGAAGAAAGACGCACATTCTTCATTGTTTCATTTGTTAGTGCATTATTCTTTTGGAAAAAAATAAATTTGAAAGTTCCTCTTTTTTTTTTTTTTTTTTTTTAATGAAAAGTTCCTCTTTATTTTTTTTTTTTTTTTAAAGTAAGTTGAAAGAATATTTTGGTGATGGTTTAAGGTTTTCATAAGTCGAAAAAGGATGTTTTTCAAAAAATATTGAAAATTCAATTTATATTAAGTGTGTTTATTGGGATGGGCACCGCCTATAAATAAAGTTGTGAATGAAGTTGTCCTTGTGAACCCATGTGGAACGATTGGAGTTTCCCACGCAGTAATGCCGAATAATTATCATTTTATATTTCTTCTCATATTTTAATAAGTAGAATTATAAACAATAGAAATTTATATTGTTATAGAATGGTGAAATTTTTTTTTTTTTTTTTTTTTAAAGTAAGTTGAAAAATATTTTGTGATGTTTAGGTTTTTCATAAAGTGAAAAATATTTTTCAAATATTGAAAAATTCATTATATTAGTGTTTTTTTATTGATCACCGCCTAATAATTAATAGTTGTATAGTTGTCTTGTGAACCATTGACATTGATTGTCCACCATATTGCCATAATTATCATTTTTATATGTTTTTTTCTCATATTTAATAATAAATTATAAACATATAAAATTTTTATTATTTTATAAATTGTGAAATTTAATATCTTTAACTAATTTTTAATATTTTGTAATTTATAATTAAACAACAAAATGTAAATTGACCCTTAACATTTTTAATTTTAAACAAATTATTAGAATATAATTTCCTTTAATTTCTTCTGTCACACTTACTATAAATCCATCATAGTTAAATACAATAATGCATAATTTTGGATGGAAAAAAAAACTAAATAAAAAAGAAATCTATACATATTAAGTTAAAAAATTAAAATTAAATTTTGCCTAGAATTAAATTAGTGATTTATTCAAAATGAAATAGCGATGAAATTATATAAAGTTCCTAATAAGAATATAAATAAGAAAGATAATAATAAAAATGAAGGAAGGATTAATAAGGAGATGAAGAAGTGGGTGGTGTTGGTAGCCATTAATGGAGTTATGATTGAAAGATTGATCACAAAAGAAAAGAAAGGAAAAGAAATACATGTTGCAAAAGCCTGGAATGGAAGTGAAAGAAGAAATGCCAATGAAATGAAATGAATTTTTTTTTTTTTTTTTTTTTATTCACGACGAAAGGAAGGTTCCAAACACATCACAGCGCCATAAAAATGATGTGCGTAAAGTTTTGTGCCAGAAGTTCGGATGTTTGCTAGGTATTGGCACAGAGCGATGCCCTCCATCACTCACTAGGGCCTCGGATGGGTAAAAAATGAAGTATGCAGGAATGACAAAAGGAAGGTCCCAAACATATCACAGCGCAATAAAATCAATGTGAGCAAAGTTTTGCATGGAAAGTTCGGACGTTTGCTAGGGTTTGGCATAGAGTAATGCCCTCCACCATCCACCAAGTGTGCGGGAACGACGAAAGGAAGGTCTCAAACGCATCAAAGCGCCATGAAAATGATGTGTGCAAAATTTCGTGCGGGGAAATTGGATGTTTGCTTGGGTTGGCATAGAGCGATGCCCTCCACAACCCCTCCAGGGCCCGAACGGTCGAAAAAAAAAACGTACGGGAACAACCAAAGGAAGATCCCAAGCGCATCAAAGCACCATAAAAATTATGTGGTCAAAATTTCGTGAGGAGAAATCAGACGTTTGCGAGGGGTTGGCACGGAGCGATGCCCTCCATCGCCCCGGACCCCAGATGCGCCAAAAATGAAGTGTGCTGGAACGACGAAAGGAAGGTTCCAAGCACATCTAAGGGCCGTAAAAATGATGTGATCAAAATTTTGCGCTGAGAAATCAGACGTTTGCTAAGGTTGGCACGAAGCGATGCCCTCCACAACCCCTCCGGGGCTTGGATGGCTGAAAAAAAGTGTGCGGCAACGACGAAAGGAAGTTCCCAAGCGCATCAAAACGCCATAAAAATGATGTGGTCAAAATTTTGTGCGGGGAAATCGGACGTTTGCTAGGGGTTGGCACGGAGCGATGCCCTCCACCACCCCCTAGGGCCCCCAGATGTGCCAAAGACGAAGTGTGTGGGAACGACAAAAGGAAGGTCCCAAGCACATCTAGGCGCGATACTGGGGAGTGGTGAAAGAGGCCTAGGGGAGGATGAAATAGGCCACGAGAGGCGGGAAATAGGTAGCCGGACGGATTATTGCCGGAGCACACGGTAGGGGGTGGCCCGGAGTGATGCCCTCCACCATCCCCGGGCCTATGTGGGTGGCCGGGCCTTCGGACGCGCTAGGCCTCTGCCCCTAGAGGCATGCTTGGGCGCCAGTATCAAATATGAAGCTAAGACCATCGGAGAATGCATGGCCCTCAGGGGACATGCTTAGGGGGTGGCACGGAGCGATGCCCTCCACCAACCCCCGGGCCTCGGAATGGGCAAAAAATGAAGTGCGCGGGAACGGCGAAAGGAAGGTCCCAAGCACATCAGAGCGCCATAAAAATGGTGTGCACAAAATTTCGTGCAGGGAAATCCGACATTCGCTTGGGGTTGGCACGGAGCGATGCTTTCCACAACCCCTCTAGGCCCCGGACGGCCAAAAAAAACTGTGCGGGAACGACCAAACGAAGGTCCCAAGAGCATCAAAGCGCCGTAAAAATTATGTGGTCAAAATTTCGTGCGGGAAAATTGGACGTTTGCAAGGGGTTGGCATGGAGCGATGCCATCCACCGCCCCCCAAGGCCCCCGGATGTGCCAAAAACAAAGTGTGCAAGAACGACGAAGGAAGGTCCCAAGCACATCTAAGGGTCGTAAAAATGATGTGATCAAAATGTCGTGCGGGGAAATCGGACGTTTGTTAGGGGGTGGCACGGAGCGATGCCATCCACCAACCCCCGTGCCCTGGGATGGGCAAAAAACGAAGTGCTTGGGAACGGCAAAAGGAAGGTCCCAAGCACATCAGGGCGCCATAAAAATGGTGTGCACAAAACTTCGTGTGGGAAAATCAGACGTTTGCTAGGGGTTGGCATGGAGCGATGCCCTCCACCACCCCTCCGGGCCCTGGATGGCCAAAAATGAAGTGTGCGGGACGACAAAAGGAAGGTCCCAAACACATCAGGGCACCATAAAAATGGTGTGCGCAAAACTTCTTGTGGGAAAATCAGACGTTTGCTAGGGGTTGGCATGGAGCGATGCCCTCCACCACCCCTCCGGGCCCTGGATGGCCAAAAATGAAGTGTGCGGGACGACAAAAGGAAGGTCCCAAACACATCAGGGCACCATAAAAATGGTGTGCGCAAAACTTCTTGTGGGAAAATCAGACGTTTGCTAGGGGTTGGCATGGAGCGATGCCCTCCACCACCCCTCCGGGCCCTGGATGGCCAAAAATGAAGTGTGCGGGACGACAAAAGGAAGGTCCCAAACACATCAGGGCACCATAAAAATGGTGTGCGCAAAACTTCTTGTGGGAAAATCAGACGTTTGCTAGGGGTTGGCATGGAGCGATGCCCTCCACCATCAGACGTTTGCTAGGGGTTGGCATGGAGCGATGCCCTCCACCACCCCTCCGGGCCCTGGATGGCCAAAAATGAAGTGTGCGGGACAACAAAAGGAAGGTCCCAAACACATCAAGGCGCCATAAAATGATGTGCGCAAAATTTCGTGTGGGGAAATCGGACGTTTGCTTAGGGTTAGCACAGAGCGGTGCCCTCCATAACCCCTCCGGGGCCCAAACGGCCAAAAAAAACTGTGTGGGAATGACCAGAGGAAGGTCCCAAAAAGTCAAAGCTCCATAAAAATGATGTGCGCAAAATTTCGAGCAGGAAAATCGAACGTTTGCTTAGGGTTGGCATGGAGTGATGCCCTTCACAACCCCCAAGGGCCCCCGGATGTGCCAAAAACGAATTTCACGGGAACGACGAAAGGATGGTAACAAATACATCAGTGCACCATAAAAATGATCTGTGCAAAATTTTGTGCGGGAAAATTAGAGGTTTGCTTGGGGTTGGCATGGAGCGATGCCCTCCACCACCTCCCCGGACCCGGATGGCCAAAAACGAAGTGTGTGGGAACGATGAAAGGAAGGTCCGAAACACATCAAAGTACCATAAAAAGGATGTGTGCAAAATTTCGTGCAGGAAAATTGAACGTTCGCTAGGGGGTGGCACAGAGTGATGGCCTTCACCAGCCCCCGAGGCGTTAAACAGTCAAAAATGATGTGTGCGGGAACGACGGAAGGGAGGTCACGAACACATCCCAAGGGAAATGATATGCGTAAATTTTCGCGCGAACAGTTCGGATGTTTGCTAGGGTTTGGCATGGAGTGATGCCCTCCACCACCCACTAGAGTCCCGAATGGCCGAGATGAAGTGTGCAAGAACGATGAAAGGATGGTCCCAAACATATCACAGCGCCATATAGGCCCCACTTCGTGATGGCTTTTTGAGCTAGTGCTTTTTTTATTCCTGTTGGAGCTGCCTTCCACGTTCCACAAGTTTTTATCAGCTTCTTTTGCCCTTCAACGTTTTAAACAATCCAATCCCTTTTTTTTGTTTTCTTTCCTTTGATTTCCTTTACACTTGGCTTTCTATTAGGTTCACATATAAGCAGCAGCATCAGCCATAGCCATTTAAGAGTATACTTACTACTATTTAGGGGGTTATTAAATTTTCATTGATTAATTATTGTTAAAAAAATTACTTTTTAATGAAATATTTTAATTATTAAAGTTTTAACCTAGGTTTTGAAATTAAATAACGTGTGTGTATATATATATTAATTCATTTATATAAATTGTTAGAATTTCTGGATCCGCTACTTGTAGGCTATATTTGGTTGCCCACTGTTGTAAACAACTTTTCTTTTCTTTTTTTTTTTTCAGATAAGATAAAAAATTTGTAATAGTTAATGCCAAATACCAATTGTCAATGCCATCTCAAAGTTTTTAAAAAGTAGAGAACATAATTCAGTGAATTAGATCTCAACTTCATCATTCATCGTTGGATCTACCAAATATATATATATTGTAAAAAGTAGAGAACAGTAAATTCAGGTGGGAAATTAAATTCTCAAGCTTCACAATTACATGCGTTGAGTCTAAACCGAAATATATAGTATAATCGATGATATAGTAGTAAATATATTATAGTCATGCACTTTTTGTTTTAAATGTTAAGTACAAAGTCAAACAAGGGCCACCTGGAGATTTGTCCAAATATATATATATATATATATATATTATATCATCACTTTTTTTTTAATGTTTAAGTACAAGTCAAACAAGGGCTACCTGAATTGCCAAACATAAAATAGAGTATATTACATGTGTGACCCAATAGTTGAATTGAATATTCACATTTAGAGTAAAATTTATAATCCTCCAAGGTTTTTACGGATCTTCATGACATCTTGTGTGGTGATTTGATATGCTTTTTTCACAACTTCATCTGGTATCAAAGGATGTGACACGAAGGCAGCAAGAGAACCTATTTGTGTCCCAGGATTTTGGCTGCTAAGCCCAGAAAAAGCAAGTGCTGGGCCTCTACCGTCAATATTGTACAAAAAATGAACTAATCCTTTGGGAAACACAAATGACTCCCCAGCCCGTAACTGTTGAGTATACAAACGATTAGAAGTATCAACAAAGCCCACAAGCAACAAGCCCTTAATGCAAGTAGTTACTTCGGAGGCCCGTGGGTGCACGTGAGGTGGCACAAGACCATTTGCCGCTAAATCAATACGGGCCAAGCTCAGACCCAAAGTATTTATCCCTGGTAAATTAATTACGTTGGTGAGAGTGACATTGAAGCCAAAAGTAGTGGCTCCTGTGTTACCAGATTTGGCAAGCACCGATGTGGTGAAATGGACAGAACTTGCAAGTTTTGGGTTGATACAAGGAACACCGTTCAGGGACAAAGGGGCTTTTGTGTCAGCAATACAATAGTCTTGAAGTGGGTCTGGGTCTTGTTTGGATAGGCCCAATACAAGAGAGAGGGTGAGCAATATATGAAGCAAAGAAGGGGATTTCATGGTTGCTGCTTTTTAAATTTAACCAAAAAAATGATGTTTTTAGAAATGATTTGGTATAAGCAAAATAAGGGTTGTGTTTATATAGTGAATGGTAGACGGTGATGATTGAGTAGCTTAAGAGCATTGAGGAGGAAATAGCAAGACAAGTTAAGTAGGTTAAAGTTTTAGTTGGAATGAGCCCACATGTTTGAATTTTATATTTTGGGAATTGAATATTTACTACTATTTAATTTTCTTTATATATTGTTGGAATGAATATTACTACATTTAATTTTCTTTATATAATATTTTTAGTAGTTTATATTATATAGTAGTAAGTAATAGTAGCTAATATAAACTATCTAGCATATTGGATTATCCTATTGAAGAAAAAAAGAAATGTATAAGATTAAGAATAATATAGAAAGAAGGACACCTTAAAGCAAAAGCCATTTCAATAATTTGGCCACGATAATGGTTTATCTATTTCATTATGCAGAAGTTTGAGTTAAACATTTTTTTATTTTAAGAAAATTATTGTCAGCATATTGGTATTACTATTATAAAAAAAGATGTATTAAGATTAAGAATAATATAAGATAGACTTAAAGCAAAAGCATTTCATAATTGGCCACGATAATGGTTTATCTATTCATTATCAATTTGGAGTTTAACATTTTTTTTTAATTATTGAAAAAGGGAATCGAAACTAAAATAATTATGAAGTCATAAAGCACTTTAGACTACACCAATAAGGATAGTATTTCTCTTAAAATTAGTGAAAATCTTATACCGCTCAAATTAGTGAGAAACCAATCAGAGTACGCTTAATTGATACCACCAATTAACTATTTATTATAATTTAAAATTGAATTTCCTTCTATTTTTCAGGGGTGTGAAGTAGTCAATGAACTAGCCAATGTAATAATATTGGGATAAATGAAGAGAAAAATAATATAAGTTATAATTACAGTTTTTTTTAACGGATGTTACGATTGATGTTAAGAATTAAGGTTTCAACTTTATCCACCTAATAAAAGCAAGTCGGTGCATTTCAATCGGCGGCGAGAAACGACATCCTTAAGAAGAGTGAAACGACGTTGTTCTTCTCCATTTTTTGGACATTTCTTGGTAGGATAATGTAATGTAATTTGCGGACCTTTTCAGTTGAACAAATTCAAGTCATGGGTCCACAAAAGTCTGCAATTTTTTATTTTTAGAGACCCTTTCACCTGTCTCTTGTCCCTTGCTTGACTCTCACTCTCTCCATCCCTATCTCTCTTCACTGTAATGCTGCTACTTTTCTCTGATGGGCCCTCCTTTTCCTTTCTATTTTTCTGTTTTCTTGGTTGATCTTATCACTGCCCTGACTTTTCTCTGAATTATTGACTGATTATAAAGAGAAAATCTCCCAAATCTACAGGTGATCATGAAGAATTAATTATTAGTTGCGAGATCTTTCTCTAATCAAACGTGTCTACTTTTGTTTGTCTAAAAGACTTTTTCTTTCTTTTTAAAGTTGAGATTTGTATTGCCATGAATCTCAAGGAAGTCTCAAATTTTCAAGCCTTTCTTTAACGAGAAACAATAATGCTTCCAAAAAGTTAAATCATTTTAAAAAATAATTTTGTGGGTTGGTTGCTATTTATACTTTTTCATCAAGGTAATTGTTTTCTCTTGATGATTGGGTTCATGATTCGGTAGTTTGCACTTTCCAGAAGTACCAGAAACAGACAAACTGGGTACCCATTACTGTGAAAAGGTCAAGTGATAATAGAAATATATAGGGGAAAAAAATTTAGGGAGATAGTGAGAGATTAGACAGGTCTCTTTACCATGAAACATAATCACATGCCCATACATGATTTTGCGTGTTCAATGGATGCATCTTTTCGTCTTCTTTTGTATCCGTTCTTAGTAGTTTATTCTTAGTGGGTTTATTTGAATTGATGGTAATACTAATTACAGGCTACAGTGCACGCTATTTGTGTTTTTAAGTGCGGTAGCTCTGTGGTAATTCAGCTCTTCTGTTAAGTATTAATGGGCGAATCAATGATGGCTACCTCAAACGATGAAGATAAGGTAAAGCTTATTTGTCATTTGATCTATAGAAACTGGCCCATATTGTTTCAAATTAGGTTGTCCATTATTCTTTTCTTGAATTTATTTTGTTTTGTTATAGATTACTGATTGATTTCCAGTTCATGATTGCAAAAATGCCGTGATCTTATGAGTTGTCATTCTGTTTCTTGCTTGGATTTTTGGTTTTGTGTTACATGAACAGATGGGGGAGACGAGAGCTTCAGATCGTGGTCTTGAAGTGTCTGTTTCATTTGGTAGATTTGAAAATGATACATTGTCTTGGGAAAAATGGTCATCTTTCTCACAGAATAAGTATATGGAGGAAGTTGAAAAGTGTGCCACACCTGGATCTGTAGCTAAGAAAAAAGCTTACTTTGAAGCCCATTACAGAAAGATTGCAGCTAGAAAGGCTGAGCAGTTGGGTCAGGAGAAGCAAATGGAACACGAGTGTTTAAGTTTAAATGATCAAAATGGAGGAGATCCAAATGGAAAATCTTGTGGGGTAGATTCTGAATTTTATGGATCCAATATCCAAATTTCTGTTGAAGAGAATAGGCAAGAAATCAAATTGGACAGTGAGTTGGGTACTGACCATGTTGATAAGCCTTATGAAGTTGCAACTAACATAGAAGGTCAAGGCTCATCAGTTGAAAGAGTTGAAGAAGAACTGGGTTGCAGACTGGATGGTCCCACACTGAACAAGCCAGAAGAAGCTGTTTTAGGGAAAGAATGGGAAACTTCGTCCATGGAGGCTCAGGAAATGAAGGAATTGCCGAAGAACTTGGATGAAGAAACGAAAAGCATTCCCTTAATTAAAGAGGAAAACGTGAAGTTAGATCATCGAAAGGAGTCTCGAAAGGTAAACAATTTCACTGTTGAACTTACTGATTCTTAATTGTGAAACTCCTAAGTGTGAAGATTGCTCTTATATTTCTTTAAATTTCAGTTCTGTTCAAATTTTGGTGCCATAATTTTTGTTTCATTGTCCATTTAGATGTCTCCGATGAGTAAGATAAGAGAAGTGACAAGGATAAAGAAGAAACCAGCATCACCTGTAGCTAAATCACCCAAAATTTCCACTCCGAAGGTCCCAAAGACAGTGCCAACTTCCAGCACATCTGCCACATCACGTCCCTCAGCAAAGAAAGTCACTGGTTCATCCTTATCAAAGAGCAAAAATCCTCCTGTTGGACAAAGCAAGAGAATAGCTCCTAAATCCTTGCACATGTCTATTAGTCTAGATACGCCAACTTCTAATTCAGCTGCTTCCACGTCAGCTCCTTTGGCAACCACTAGAAAGTCATTTATTATGGAGAGAATGAAGGATAAGGACATTGTCAAACGGGCATTTAAGACATTCCAGAATAATTTCAACCAGTTGAAAGCTTCTGCTGAAGAGAGAGCTTTGGAAGCAAAGCAGGTTTGTCATCTAACTGGGTTTCCACATAGGAAGGAACCTTTTAAATCTACTGCATTATTAATCATGTTTAGCTTGTTGAATGTCAAATTTTTATTTACTTTTGCAGGTGCCTGCAAAGGGAACAGAGGTTAAGGTTTCTAGTTCTACGACTCCACGAAAAGAGAATGCAGGGTAATGTTCTGGATTCCCTTCTTTTTATGAATGCATTTAACATTGAGTGCATATGGCTGTGCACTTCAATGATAAATTTATTACTTGAATCCTATGATACTTGGTCATCGATGATACATTTGTCTATGTGTCTGAACATATTAGGTTTCATTGTATATGTTTAATAGAAGTAGAATGGTTCTTTTTGGACAACTCATTTGTTGAGTCAGAAATTTAATCGATGTGTTCTTTCAATATTTCCATTTTATACATCACCATTGAGCTTTGTATAATTTATAGGCTAGTGCTTTTAAATTATAAGATCTCGCCCCCTCTCTTCCTGGGTGTTAACTTATGCTTTCGAAATTCATGAATGTTGAAGGTTTGCAATCTGTAACAGCATTATTCAGATCCGTCATCTCAATCCTATGCATTTGTTGTTAATTTGTTCTGTCATTCTTAAACATTACATAGATCATGCGTAGCTCGGTACTGATTCATGAAAACATTTCCCATAATTTATAGGGACGCTTGAATAAGACAACTCAATCTTCATGTTCCTTTTTATTTGTATAGTCATTATAATGAAGAAAAATGTTTTCAATCCATGCCTTTTGGTTCCCCTATGCTAATGCAACACCAATACGTTGTTTCATATTACCTTTCCTAGAAAATTCAGTGTTACATTGACTGTTTTTGATAGGTCATACAAAGCAGTTAGTATGGATAAAATAACAGCTAAGGCTGCCCCATCTTCCTTTGGCTTGAAAAGCGATGAAACGGTAGAGAAAAAGAAAGAGGTAACTCTTGGGCCACTAGTCTCCTCTCTTTATCTTACACACAAATCATTTGAATATGCTTTTGATATCTTGAGCATAAAATGTCATTTTCCATTGCACACTTAATTTAGGATCATTTTACAATTTGTTTCAGTTTTCTAAGAAATTGGGAGAGAAATCAAATGCTAAAGAGGCCGAGAGCACACGCCTTCAAGCAAAATCAAAGGTATGATTCCACCTGTTAACATTCCATTGGTAACGGCATGTCAACCTTGAAAGTTTAATATTTCCATTTGGTCCAACCTAGAAAGTTGCCAAATGCTTCTGTATATGTGCTTGCTGTGTTATTTTCTGCTGTGGGTTTGGTTTGCTTGGGAGATTGGCATGTTTTGACACTTTATGCTTCTCACAGGAAGAAAAAGATACAGCTACTAGAAAGCTAAGACGACAGAGCCTTAATTTCAAAGCCACACCCATGCCGAGTTTTTATCGAGGACAAAAAGTATCAAAAAGCCCTTTAGACAAGGTATGTCACATAAGTCCTTCTCAAAATTCATAAACAGAATGTTTGAAAGAAGCGATGCATGCATTGTGGAAAGCAATTTGAAATATAATATACTACCTGAGAAGGCATATTTTTCTTCTTCCTTTCCGCCCCTTCCCTTCTTTTTTCTATGCTTTAGCATGTGCCCTCCAATGTTTGGTGGGAAGAATTGGTAAATAGCCATGTATTTTCCCCCAATTTCAGTCTGTCTGGCGATTTCTTTCACATTTGGAATGAGATATAACTTTTGAGCTCTAGTCCTACCAAAGTATGAAAAGTTACATATGAAGTGGAGGGGCCTATGGCTGCTTTGCTTAAAATTAAGCTTATTGTCTGTCAAGTGGGGCTTCACGGGTCACAAAGAACATGATAAACCGCCACTGTTGATTCATGTGATTCATGTTTATCGAAAATAAAGATCCATTTTTCTTTTCCTTTAATGTTGCATCAGAACTTCTGGAACAATATGATTTTGAAATTCGTGTACAATAAAATTGCATAATTATCATGTCTAACTGATGTCTTTAGAAAATGCACTTACCAAGCCATCAATGAAGCAATTTAGTCAAAGAATGCCTTAAAAGTACTTTTATTATGATTATGTATCTGTTGATCTTGACCTTGCATCACTATCTAATTTCAAGACAATCAAATTTATTGATTTTGAGTAAAGTAATGAATACAATTATCTAGTCACTAAGGCAAAACATCGTAATTAGATCCCAGTAGAGATTGATTGAGTGATTGTGTTCTGTAACCAAAGAGTTGATGAAGCCCATAATGATTGAGAGGAAATTGGAAAACCCCCTTGTTTTCTTATTTCAATTTTTAAATTGGAATGTAGTAGCTACACCTAACTTTTGGTCAATCTCCCCTCAATTTCAATCATTTCATATTCCCACTACTAGCTTCCATGCCTAAAATTTGTTGGTTAAGTTTTGATGATTTTGTTGAGAATTGGAAAAAAGACTAGCGATGGTTGTGTACGCAGGAGGGTTCCAAGACACTTGGGATTTAGAGACATGCATCATAACATAGAAGAGCTACTTCAGTATACTGCTTCGGGAGCTGCATCCATGCGCAAGGACAACATATATGGAGGAACCACTTTCTAGTCAGCATCTCTTCCATTATTGTGTAATTTGGCAGTGAAAAATGCTATTGATTAGTCACTTTCTGTATATTTTTAGTTGCTAAAAGAGAAAAACTAGATAGTATAGATCATACAGTCTTGATAGGGCATGTTAATAATCTATCAGGAGAATGGAGAATTGGGAGTTTGCAACTACTTCCCTCTCATCCATACCTGTAGGACACATATATTGGTGAAATTTTTACTGTGGGATGAAATTGTCAAATCCATAGAAATAATTGATTGCAAGTGCAGTGATTTTTACGGGTTCTGTTAACGCACTGATTTCTGTTGCAGTTGCTGTCTAAAGGAAACTCTTCATCTCATATTTGTATACAGAGTTGGAGCCCAATGAACATTACTTCTAATCACAGAATGCAAAACCAAAATAAATATATAAATAAATAAAAAAAAAACTCGGCACAAGTGAATCCATAAATTATTGGTTCCTAACCAAAGCCTAATGAAATGAATAAGTTTAAACCAGAAAGCAAAAACTTAAAAATTGATTTGCTGAAAACTTTCCAAGGTTTAGAAAACAATTTGATGATTTCAAAAATACTCCTCTATGACTTTTTTGTTTACATGAAGAATTTTCTAACTACTATATATACATTAACTAATTCCTGTTTTGTGATCAATATATGCTCAAAACTCAGAATCTGATTCACTAGAACTGCTGCTGGACTTTTCCTTCATGAAATGTTCTGGCAAATTTGGGAACCTCACGGGCAGTACTGGTGCTGGTGGTGACCTGGGTGAGGAGCCCAGATTTGAAGAGGCTGCTCTCCTCTTCTGCAGATTTCGAGCAATTTCAATGCATACATTATCAACCATACCTAAAAAGTCTTTAATTATAATAAATAATTGCAGTTGGTGTTCTGCAGTATTCTTGGAAGCTCCTGCTTGATAATATTCCGTCGTTTTCTGCACAAGATTCATTATCCGAATCTGCTCAGATCTCAAAACCTTTATTTCTTCCTCTGCAGCTTCAAGAAAACCTTTCATTTCTCTTGCAAATCCTTCCTCTCCATTAGCAGCACACTGATTCGCAGCTAGCCTAATTTCTGCTATTCGTTTTGTTAGAGCTGAACAAGTGCCTGCAAAAGCTTCATAATCTATTTGTGCAGCTCTTTTCACATTAGAGAATTCAGAACTAAGTCCTCCTACCATTGGCAATCCCAACATCTTATATTCTCTCTCTCTTTCCTCTTTGGAACTTAAGTTGGCAGAACTAATGCTGCTGCTGCTACTACTTATGCTGCTGCTTCGACTCAAGCTTCTACTTCGATTAAGCACACAGCGTTTTCCTTCTGACCTAACAACTTCTTCCACAATAAAATGAAGCAAAGTAGTTTTTCCATCAGAACTTTTAACATCGGAGAGCTTTCGAAGAGAAGTTAGATTAAATGCTTGTGCATTTCCTCGTGAAGTTCCTGCATTCATTCTATTACCTGCTTTTAAGATTGCTTCTAAAAGTTTCATGAATAGTCCTCGGTTTCTAAGCTCCTTGCAGGCTAATTCAAGAGTTTGTAAAGATTCCTTAAACTGAAGAATCTCAAAGTCATAATTTATTCTAAAAAGAAAAGCATTAAGCCGAGTAAAAGCTGATGGAACAGCATTTAAAATATGGTATAGGAAATTTTCAGCATCTGCTAGTCTATTTGGGTCTCCTTCAAATTCAAGAATTAGGGATTCTTCTTCTTTTGCTGGAGCAATCCTCATCAGCTTTTCAAGAGTGTCTGCATTTAGGCCTTTTCCATCAGCTAATGCATCAAGAATTTCTTCACGACGCACACCTAAAGATTTTAGCACAATTGCTATGTTTTGTGATTTTCTTGGATCAAGAAGTGTAATTTGTGCTGATGAGCTTGCATCACGATTCTCGGTTGTATCTCCGTGTTTAGGAGATTTTCTGTTCGTTGCAACATATCCAAATAAGGCTTCCATAAGATCATCATCAACCCTGGAAAATTAATAAAAAAAAAATTAAGAAACCAAAAAAAAAAAAAAGATTTAATTTTCTTTTTTTACAAAGCAAAAATATTTAATACATAATAATTTTTACCTAAAAGAACCAGCACCAATTCTGTCCCACACCATTGAATGAGCTACATCCCTGTTCACTTTATCCCAGTGCAATGGCCTCAATTTAACCTGAGGATTCCCTTCTCCAGTTGAAGAAGAAGACTCGTCTGCTCCACTCTTACTACCCATTCCTTTAGCAGACTTATGTGGCGGAGGTGGTGGTGGTGCATTAACTTTCTTTGCTGGAATCGGAGGTGGTGCAGGTGCAACTGAATTATTATTCCTTGCAGGAATCGGGGGTGGTGGAGGTGGTGGGGGTGGGGAATTATTTATCTTTATCGGGACTGGAGGAGGCCGTGGCGGAGGCGGCGGAGGCATTGGAGGATGGACTGACACAACTTTGTTCTGAGAAGTGGTGGATTTTCCTCGTAACAAAGGAATTTCTTGAATTGGCTCTTGTCCATTTCTTTCTTGAACCGTCTCCTCATCATTTTCTTGTTCTTGATTTTCTTGAACATTATTATGGATTTCAAGTTTCTTCAAACCGCGATTCTTGTTTTCTTCTTGAAGTCTTTTCCAATAAACAACATCTAATCCATTTTCATCAATTATTACACTCCTAAGAAGATCATCATCAAAACCCGCGGAGCCGCGACCAGTACCACCTTCACCAGAATTAGTTTTATTCCCTTCCTTTCTTCTCCGCCTCGCAAGTATGTATCTCTGTATAAAGAAAAAGAGCAAAGTAGCAATGACAAAAGTGCTGGCCGCAGTAGCAGCCACCGCCTTCGCTACTGTATGGTCCGACGATGAATCGTGTTCCGGTGGAAGAGGCAGCCCCGACGGTGGAAGTGATGGGGAAGAGCTTGGAGATGTCGATGGAGATGGAGATGGAGCTCGAACCGAAGATGGATAGAAAGTTTCGATATTTTGAGAATTTGATTGAGAAGAAGAGAACGGTAAAAAAAGAACAGAGATGAAGAAGAGAAGAAAGAACAATGGCCGGTTCATGTTCGACAAAGTTTCAGAACGAAGAGGATGATCTGACAGAAGAAAAAGGAATAAAAACTGAATTTTAGGTTTGTCTCTGTGTCATTGGAGTTGGTCTTAGCTTGACAATTTCAAAGAGCAGTTAGTTGTTTCCATTTCAGTTGGTAAGTAAGTTGCCACTTGCCACTATGGATTTGTTGCAATTATTTAATTAATAAACCAATTACAAATTCACAGACCTTTAAAAATTAGAACAAAAAATCAGTTTCAAATTATAATTGTGTTTCCCAATTTAGAAAATAATAATTTTTATAATTTTCTATTTTAACTCTATTTAATAAACCAAATTTTAAAATAAATAAAGTAGCTGTCAGTATCATTTATTTCAGTTTCATGATTTTAATTAAGTAAAAAAAAAGGCGAACTACTCCTTTCAAATATTTAAAAATATATGTTTCAGTTTTAGTTAACCTGTTAGAAATTAATTTTATTGCTTATGATTTTATTAACTATATAAGCAAATAGTTTATGCTATTTCTAGACTTATGGTTAATAATATTATATGAAAGTTATTAATCCTTAGAAGAAATTAACCAAGTCAGGAAGCAAAGTAGGTCCTATCTAATCATGAGCATCACTAAAAAGCTTTCACATCCAAAATGAAAAGGTCCAACTGTGTGAAATTGTATGATAAGACATGAAAGCAAAGACACAATCAAACATCTGGAATTCTTCTTTTTCACAAAATTTAAATCTAGTCAAATTTAGGTTTGATTTCATAAAAACATGATGGCCCCTAAAAAGGATATGATTTAAAAACAGAAAGTGAGTGGCTCACCAAATGGATTTTTTTTTTTTTTTTAATTTTTTTTTTGTTCTATAGGTTGGCTATATTGCATTACATGAAATAAAAGCAGTTGTGAAAAAAGGAAAACCCACGAAGTAGTTAATGCTAGCTGCCCCATTAGTTCTGACTTCTAATACTTGGGTCAAATTAGTTACCGCTTTCAGATTAGGTACGTTTTGGTTGTGATACATTAAATATATTTGAAGATACAAAATATTGATATTTAAACCTTAATTTTTTGCATTACAAAGCAAACAATTAATTATGAAGTTATTCACTCAACATAAATATAATTAATGACACACGTTAAGACAAGCAAAAATAGACTGCATTTCTAAAAGAATTTTATATGTAAAATTAAGAATTTTAAAATGTGGAGTTCTCCATATTAAGAGAGTTTTACTTGAATGTTATCCTTTGTCTTTAACATAAAAACACGTGTAAATTGAAAATAAAAATATCAAATATAACTAAAATTAATCTCAGCGTATCCAATTAGGAATGCAATTTTTATTTGTTGGGTGATTGACCATTTCAATATTTGGGCAGCCTAACATATTTAACTCTTAAATCAGCAATTAGCTGAAGGAAAAATAAAGAACAAAATTTTTAATTGTATTCTGACCATGTCATGCGGTTATAATATAGATTATTTTAATTTTAATTTTAGTTTTAATTTTAACAAATGATGAGCCTTTCGAACGGTAAGTTAATGTAAATTAATCAACCTCGTTTTCTGTTAATAATACATAATGGGTAAACATAGAAAATCTGAGTTCGAATGACAGTGTGGAGAATAGAACGGCAACTTCTAAAATTAAGACAACTGTGAGCAACAAATTCCGCAGTGGTCCGATTGCGTGAAAAACTGAACCACAGCGCATCTTCAAGAGAAGAGAGAGAAAATGAAACTTTTAATTCTAAGCGACAAATATGTGAACAGTAACATTCAACGAAGTGGTCCTTTATTTTGTTTTACGTGTGATTTGGGGCCCTTAACAACTTGATTTCATATGGAAATTTGTTCTTTTTTATGTTTCTTGTCACTTTTATATTTCTTAGTTAAGAATTAATGAGTGGAAGAGTATAAACTGTATTATGACAATGAAAAGCATGTCCATTCCATCTTTGTAAGAATACAGTTAATTTCTCCACCTTTTCCTACCTAGCAAACAAACAAGGGAAATTTTGGTTTTCTTGCTATACCTAGTTTTCGTTACCAAAACGACATTCCAGACAGAACCAACACAAAATTGGATAATCTCCCTTGTAAAACTTACTGTACAACAAAACAGATATACATATTATTTGAAAAACGAAGCCATTATGGGCCTCCAATAAAAGAAAGTAAAATCAAAGCCATTTTTGGTCCAGCCCACTACCAATTTGAACGATCATGTGAATATCGAAGCATCTTGCATTTGCAGTAAATTGTAATTTTTGTTATTAAGACTATACCTTTGTTTATAAAATTGTACTAATTATTTTTTTTAACCTTAATAGTCACTTGAATTTTACTTTTTTTTTTTTTTTTTTTTTTTTTTTTTTTTTTTTTTTTTTACTAGAAGCTTGGTTTACTTTTAATCTATATAAAGTGTAAAATTATTATTACCAAAATTGGCATAAAAATTATTTTTTGAAAAGCTTAGGGTTTTTTTTTTTTTTTTTTTTTTTTTACTAGAGCTGGTTTACTTTTTAATCTATATAAAGTGTAAAATTATTATACAAATTGGCCATAAAAAATATTTTTTGAAAAGCTTAGGGGTTAAATTATGTATTCGGCTATCATGTTATTTTATATAGTAGTTAATCAATTTTTATGCTTACAAATTTGTTTAATAAGCATATATCTAAATTTTCAATTTGCATAACTTATATATATGTATTATTTTGTATTGACTTGACTTTTGGGAATAGTTAGAGTTCAATTCCATTAATACTAAATAATAAAATAAATATTTATATCCTTAACTAAATCTTTTATAAGCTGGCAAGTGATCCACAATTGTCACATGGCGCATATTATGGAGTTTTCTTAGTATGAAATTGGATTCTTCATCCAATAAATAAAAATATGTAAGTGCATTATTGAAATAAATACAAGTGATGTTGATCTTCAGACTAAATCCAACTCAATTAATAATATGGTTTCTTGAGATTGGCCCACTTGGCGAACTCGCTATAAATATTTTATAGAGCTTAATTTCATTTCAATTTAAATTTAAATTTAGATTTAATTCAATATTTTTAAAAATGTTAAAATGACTTGCACACAACGAAATCTCTTTGTAATTGTCTCTTTTTCACTTGGGGCTCCAATGATCCTTCTAGGATCTTAGATTATGTAAAAAGCCCAGATGAGGCTATGAGGTCTTGGTCCTCTCGACAGCTCAGCATTGGCTAAGTCTCTTGACAGACAACTAGACACACACTGCAGTTCCACCACATACCCCACATTGCCCTTTGCCCCTAGGGAACACTTCCAACAAATCATTCACAAACACAAATCCCATTCCAAATATTCCTTCTACCAGACAATATCAGTACATATCCCTAAACCCAACCCCCACAATATCACAACACAACACATCTAATTTCTCATTTCACACTGCCACTTTCCCATTTTGATCATATCATTGAAGTTATTAATAATTGAGCAAAAATCCAAAAATGAGGACTTTTTTTTTTAAGATTTATTCAAATTTGAAACAATATTTAGGTAAAATTCTTTTGATTTATTTCTGAATTGGTTAGACTCTTTTCTGTAAATAGAAAATTGATTTGACCATATTATAATAATATTTTTATATTAATGAACAAAATTTAGAAAAAAACGGCCCAAGAAAGATAAGGGAAAAACGCAACAAAAACCGTTAAAAGTAACGGAGAATTGCCCACATTTCAAAGGTTTTACAAATTTGTAAGATGGAATAAAAACAGTTGGGTTTGGCGGTAAAGTACTAATCGGAACAGTTGCTGCTCATTTTCATTCGTCTAGTCGGAGAATCTAGACAAGTAGGAGAACACGGCGCCGAATATGACAATACCGGTGGTAAAGGCGACGGCGAAGGAGATGATGGAGACGATAGAGACGATGGCGACGGAGATGGAGACGGTGACGGAGATGGAGATGGAGACGGTGAGATAGACAGCGACGACGAGGAGTGATCAAAGCTCTCTCTTAACTTCCTTTTGTTGTTCACTACAGCGATTTGCTGGTTTTTTAATCTGATCTCTCTTGCGGTCATGTAATCTCTTAGCCTTTTCACGTCTGATAATTTCACCGGCTTCACTATAAAGTCCTCTGCTCCTTCCTCTAAACACCTATTGGCCAAAATTCAAATAAACAAACTAATCAATTTTCAGTTTCCAGCTACTTTGAATTTCATTTTGATGAAGAGTGAGTTCATTGACTAAATACCGGTCAATTCGAGTCATGACGTTTTCCGATGACATGATTACCACTGGTATTTCTCGGAAAGTCGATGATTCCTGCTTAGCAACCATTAATCAAGCAACATCAACAATTTGGTTCTGCTAACAAGACAGGTTCAAAAACAGAGAAAGATGGACGAGTTTTGGTACCTTAATTTTCTTAAGCAACTCGTAACCAGTCATTCCAGGCATACAGTAGTCTGTTATAATCAGATCCACCTTCAAGCTCTGAAATAGTAATCAACGAAGAAAATCAGAGGAAGCAAATTAAATAGGAAACCAATTTTGAAAAGTCAAAATTGAGTTTATTTTGCTTACATCGAGACCAACAGAGGAGGTTTTCTCTTCATCTAATCCCAGAAATTGCAGAGCTCTTCTTCCACTATCCACTGCAGTCACTGCAAAACAGAACCGCAAATTTCTAGTTAAAATTCCATCACCAAAAACCAGAAGAGCCGAAATTCCTAGAACCGAAACGAAGAGACGGACCTTTGCAGCTGGAAATTTTGAGTAAACGTTCAATGACTTTACGATCAATGAGACTATCATCGACAGCTAAAACATGTACTTCTTGATCATCGGAAGAAGGTGAGAGATTGAACGCGTCGAGCTTATCCGACCTCCAATGCCGAGAAACGATGCCGTTTCTAGCCATAGCGAAACACAGAGGAGGTTCAGTTTGGGTTTAATTTGGTTGAAGCAGAGGCTGAAAACAAGGCCTGTTTGGGTATTGAGGTATTTTGGTTTTATACGATGAAATGCAAAAACATATAAATGAAATGTCTATCTGTCTGTGTCATTGGTGTCTCCTTGTTGTTTCCTCTCTCTCTCTCTCTCTCTCTCCCTCCCTCTCACTCAAAATCAAATCTTTGCTTTCTCTCTCAAAGAAATCTTGAAATCTGCTTTATTTTATTTTTATTTTTAATGTTATTAATTGAAGGCCTTAATAACGCTGAGATTCTGAAATCCACTTTGGTGCGATCTCCAAATCAAAGTGAAAGGCATACGATTACGATTGCGATGACGATAATGAAGAAAAGAAAAGCCAAAATATCGCGGGAAGACGAGATATTGATGGGTAAAGGTCTTGGGATGCGAGCGAGTGATTGGTCGGGATCGAGGAGAGGAGGGAGGCAGTTGACCGGAGGTCAATGGAGGACCGCGCCGTCAAATCCGAATAGGGAAATGACAGACACGGAACCCCAACCGACGGCATCAAAAAGACGGAGAAAGGTTTGCCCTCTTTTTATTTTTAAAATTTTTGCCGGTGGATTTATTACTGCTTAGACTATTTCAACTGTTTATAAAATTTTATAATTTGGGTGAACGAGTGATGCGTTGTTGAGCAGAGTTGGTTTGGTATAATAAAGACACGGCAGCTGTACCTCTTGCTGTTCTTGTATGCCACATGAACCCAGGGCTGGATGAAAATAATATAGGTTAAGAAACAAATTATTTTTTTTTTTAAGAAGACAGAAATATTGAATGGATGGAAAATAAAAAGGAAATCATAGCGAAATCCTATCCATTTATATTTCCTGAAGTTAAAGATAAAACCAAGAGAATATATTACGAAATTATCTATCCACCATTGATTAATTATTTGAAAAAAAAGAAAGATTAATGTTGCAATTCTAAAAATTATTCTTCATGTATTTTCACTTTATTCTCTTCCAAATAAGAAAAAAAAATTTACTTTATTTATATTTATATTCACGTGCTCTCTTTTGTAATGTTGCTTTAAGCATAAGACTATATATACAATAAAAGGATTTGATAATTTTAAGGATTAATTCATTTGAATTTATTTTTTTATCTTTTGAATTGGAGATCATATTTAATTTTTGAAGTTGTTCGTAATATTTTAATGAACATATATAACTTGTTTTTAATTAAATAAAAATTAAAAAAATAAAGGACATTTGACAAATGCGATTTCAAGGAAATGGAGTGGAAAATTGGAAGAATCGGAAGAAGTGAAAAGAGAACAAGAGAAAAAAGGATGAGTAGATTTGGGAGTCCTAAAGAAATCTTTTAGTGGGACCAAAACACCCTTTCCCATGCTTGGACTTTTTAGCTTAGTTTTCGAAATATTCAGACAATCAGACCACTCCACATCAAATCTTGGAGAGATCACTATTCTCTGGCTTCTTGTGTTGTCTTACCGATCAATTTCCCTTTCATTTTCTCTTCTCGCTATTTTATCGCACTTCCTATCCTTTTCTATATTGCGTAATAAACGAACTACTTTTGATTAGTACCGCTAATTAATCGCAAAACTAACCTCACAAGTTATCTTATAATTGTTATCACAGTCACCTCATTTGCCGTCGGATCTGACTTAAAGATTGTGATTTGACGAATATCGGATGCACATGGGACTTTTGGTTTCCGCGTAGGGAAATGTCACAGCTTTTTTACTTTTTTGTGTTCTTAAATTATTTTCCTCGTAGAACTTTCGCGCTTTTTTTACTTTTTTGTTATTCATTTAGACAAATTAAATTATTTTGATTATATAAAGTTAAAATTCCATTAACAACTAATTTTTTTTCTATTATATTTTTTTAATAAATTAAAATTAAAATAATATATAAAATCAATTATTTTTTTATTAATTAAAAGTCTAAAGGAAGCATCATAAGTTATACATGATAATAAATTTTTTTACTCAGTAAATTAATGGAAAGCGAGGTCTTACTTCTCGAATAAATAAAAAGATCAAATTTATATAAAATTAATTATTTTATTTGAAAGCTTCACTGATTAAAATTGATGTTTTTATAATAATGTTTCAATCCTCATCTTACGTTAGAATGAAAATTTTGTGAAAAAAAAAACTCACTTTTAATTTATAATTTTTTTTCTATGAAAAAATCTTGATTCTTTGATTCACATGAAAAAATATATTTTTTTAATTGTGTTGAAAATGGAATTAATCCGCATTGGATAATAAAAGACAAGGAAGATTATATCGCCATTTAAGAAATGAAGATAATAGAAAATAACAAATGAACCGTGACTGTCTTAATTAATTGTAGTTATGAATTTAACAATAAAAATAATAAAAGATTAGCCTAGGACTAAAAATTACAATAAACGAAATATCATTCTTTTATGTTTTAATCTAAAAAATAAAAGTTTAAAAATATTTTAACAAATCAACCACATATGATCTGGTTAGTGTTTTCAATAATGTGAGGAGATCCGTGTATTGTGTAGCTAATAGTGTTATTTTTATCGTTGAATATTCTAATGAATAAAAAAAAAACACATAAAATGTCTAAAATGCACTCAACATGTTGAATGCAGCCTATGGATTTTACATGCAATTTACACGAATGGGTAAAAATTGTGTTATATTTTTTGAATTATATTATGGTTAGAATTAAAATTAATGGACAGAAAAGGGTATCCACACAGAAACTTTTATCGAGTACGAAGTACAAATAGAAATTAGAAATTTGTCCCCAGCCCTTATTTTAGCTTTGTGGGTCATAATGGTGGTGCCCTATCATATTCTAATTAAGGCCAAGGCCACCCTTGCTGCTAGCAGGTAGCCTTTAGTCCTTAACCTGACCTCATCCGATCTAAGATCCTCCTGTTCTATTCTATGCAAGTTTTTTTTTTGACAATGTATTCTATGCAAGTTATTTCTCTGTCTAACCCGATTCATACGCAATAAGTTTTTCTCTTCTTTTTTATTTTATTTTATTTTCCACTTGTATTTTTTCAGCGTAATAGTAATTTTAGATTTTTCAAGAAAAAAAAAAAAGAGAAGAACTTCATCATTGTGAGATTAAATTTAAAATATTTCCAATAATTATGATTAGATGATATGCATTAGATTTTAAGGACTATAATTAATAATATATTAGCACGATTATTATCTTAATTCTTATTTTAATTGCACAAATTTAAAAATATATGAATAGTTATCTTAACTTTAAACTATCCAAGACAACATCAACACTAAATAATAAACTTTTTTAAATTAAAAGGTTATATTTCATTTTTCTACTATAAAATAAAATTAAAATGTCTCACGTTGACTTCATTTATCCATCGGGCAAAATTAAAATATTGGCTAAAGGAACCAACATTATGCCGTTGTTTAGTATAAATAAATTCTATTGTAAATGAATTTTTAATATTTATAATTAAAATTTTATTTATTTTTATTTTTAAAAATACTATTGAAATAATGATTTTAGAATCTTAAGAGAATGAATATTTATGTTATAAAAATATTTGTTGGTTATTTTTTGGAATTTATTTAGAAGTTCCACCAATTTTAATATAATTTGATTTGATTATATTGTCTCGTATGATAGCGGAACTAGGGAGTGGTTGGCCATGGCAGCCGCCCCCTAATTTTATTTTTTATTTTTTGAAATTTACCTTATAAAATATAGAAAATTTTACTTTTTATTTATAAAATAGTGATTTTTTCGATATCACTCTCTCTAAATTTTGAAAATTTTTTTTCGCCCCCTTTAATTAGTTTTTCTGATTCTGCCATTAGTCTCATATAAATTGAATTTGTAGAATCTGAATTTTTTTTTTCATTATAAGCAGAAAAATTTAGATTTATAAATGAATTTAACAAAATTTCTAAAAAATTTAGGATTAAACTAATTGAATTATAAATGATTAAGATTGTGTTTTAAAATGCTGCAAGGATTGAGTACTTTGCAGGTCCATAAACATATCAAAATTTGATTAAAAAAATTATAAAACCAACAGATATAAGTTTGAGAGTGAAAAATTATAAGCTTGATGTACGTCAAAGTAGAAAAGAAAAATCCAACGGCAGAAACACAAAAGAGATAGAAATAAAATAAGCAGAAAAAATTAGGTTTAGTCAAATAGAATCTGTAACTGGCGCATTAGGTCCCCACGAATTTTACTTTTACGTGATTATCAAAAGGAAGCATTGAGTATTATTTGTGGGGTCTATCGCTGTACATTTTTCTCAACAATCTGATAAATGATGTTGTTGATAAGATCTTCTCTCTATTTAAGTCATGGCCGACCAACTGAATTAACTATATGGATCAGATCCGATCATGCATTTTTAAGGTTCAAAGAGAACCCATCTACCCTAATGTAGGGTACAAAAAGGTAAAAACACTAATACGTACTGAATTCATCTTTCAAGAACAAATGAACAACCTTTTAAAGATTAAAAAAAAATACGTTGATTCGTGGTTTTATAATTTTAATTTTTAATGCCTTGTCAATTCTATTAAACTATTCTAAATATTTTTTCATCAATACTTATAAAAATTATCCAATGATTTTAAGTGTATTTTAATAAGGAGTGTAAATGAATCAAACTGAGCTCAAACTCATCATATTTAATAAAATTAGTTCGAGTATTACATAAATTTGAAATAAAAATTAATCTTTTCAAAATATTGTCAACGTTACGGTGGGAACATTTTTCAAACGAATTTTCTACATACACGCAGTGAGAAAATAATTTTTAAAAGTTGACATTTGACATGTGAAATGTGTCTTATATTCACACATAAAACAATATAGTCAATTTACATTTTTCCCTACAAGAAGGGAGCACTTTCAAAGGGTTTTAAGAAAGAAAAAGAAGGGGGAGAAAAGTAAATTAAGAAATGACCATGTAATAATCTTTTTCTTTTATTTTAAGAGATTTGGCATCTCCTTTTTCAAAATTGAGTCTTGATTTTGGGCATCTTTTTGTATTTCTTGTTTCTTGTACTAGCAACATCATAGGAGCTACGGATCTTTCTCCCTTTACCAAACAGGTAATCCCTCAAGAAAAAAAAAAAAAAAAGAAAAAGAAAAAGAAAAGAAGAGATACCAAATACTCATCTTTTCAAATACTAATTATACTGTCAACATAGCACCCTCTACTAATATTATGAGGATATGCTATAATAATATTTACAAGAATATATCAAATATTAGTCTAGATTAGGTGCCGCTAATGGATCACTTTGATTTGAAATTTATAGTATTAATTAACATTAAGATCATATATAGTTTAATGGATGGGGAATCAAACACTTTGTGTGCTTCTATTTACTAAATGGGTCAAACGTATAATTTATCCTTTGCTCTTTATAAAAATACTTATGATACATTTAACTTTTAAATAGACTAATTGAATACTTCAAATTATAAAATTGTATCTATTTATAGTTTGTAATACTATTAGTTTTTTTTTCGATGTCTTGTCTGATTTTAATGGTATTATTAGAGATTGTCGATTGATATTAGCTCGTAGAACCAATATCCATGTTAGATGGATTCGACTTCGGGGTAATGGTGTAGCTCATACACTTGCGAGGGCCTCTTCTATAGAAGGCGTTTCTAGAGTGTGAGATACCATCCTTGAACGCATGTTCATTTATATTCTAATGGTTAATGCAATTATATTTTTCCGTCAAAGAAAAAAGTACTTCAACTTGCAGGACGTGTTAACCACACATTAAATATATATTTTATATATAAAAAAAATGTAAAAATTATTGTTGCAGGACGATAATTTTGTCGTCCCACTAGATACCCACTGAATCCAATTTGAATGGGGTTAGTAAAATTTGATATGTTTAAAAATAATGTGGATATAAATTTTAAAAATAAAACTCGATCTGCTCAATTTATATACTCCCTTTTAAACTAAGCCTGTATTTTCTATTTGTTCTTTATTTTTTAATAAAACTTAACCAGAAAACACATCATGCATGCTCTGTAATCTGCCTAATCCAATGTGGGGCGGATGACGGAATAGGTACATATTGAATCTCGCGTGGACTTATGGGTGTCAGAAAATTTAAATTATTGTCATTTTTAGTTGTTATTAGTGCAAAAAAGAGTACAACATGACGAAAAAATATAATTCCAAAAACATGATAAATAGATTTTTCGCAAAATTTAAAATGTAAAGAGATTATTTGTGAAAAATGCATGAGTAAATTTATGCATTTAACATTCACTAAATTAATCAAAGTAGTCATTATGATGCAACCAAAAAGAATAACACAAATGATATCTTTCTAATTTACTTATTAATTAATTATCATGTTAATGATCGTGAGGTCATTGATCCCTCTTATATATTAATCTGTCAATTTCAACTATCTACTTAAACCAAACGTTAGGTTTGACTTGTGGTAAGTGGTGGAGAAAAATAATAGGAACCCCAGCATTTAGCAACATCCACTAATTTTCTAATGTATATATATATTTAGGAAATCTTATCAAACCTAATCAGGAAGCATGGTCCTTGGAGATTAGAGGAAGTTAACTTGCTTCCTTTTGCATGTCCAGTCATCCTGCGCTCCATAAAGCTGGGCTATTCAAATCCATATGAACACTCGAAAAAATTAAATTAAAGCTCACTAATTAACATGCTTAATCGCTTACTATCCAATTGCATTTTTGTATATATGCATTTATTTACTTTCATTTGGGACAATAGATATCTTCAATACCCTTTTATTTTTTTTTTTAAATTTAATATTTTCAAGTGGTGTCACTGTTAAGATTTAGATTAGGAAATCAGGTTTGACTCTTTAATGTTAAAGTATTTTTATTTGTGAGATTATGAGAAAAAAAAAAATCAAATTTAGATCTCCTAATGAAAATATCCAACCTTTTACTCTTTTTTTTTTTCACTTTTTATTTATGAGATTATTCAATATCCATTTAATATATGCAAAAGCACATTATAATATATTCAAACAAATACCTAAACATCATGTGTATATATGTGAGCTATAAACTAGCCTGTATTATTAAAATTGCCATGTGACATCCTACTCCGAGTCGAGTCTTAGCATAGAGTTGAGTAGTTGAGTTGAGTTGAGTCGAGTTGAACCAAACCCGGTTGGGGTAGAATATTACCTAAAACATCATTGTGTATATTATGTGAGCTATAAACTAGCCCTGTATTATTAAATTGCCATGTGACATTCCTACTCCGAGTCGAGTCTTAGCATAGAGTTGAGTAGTTGAGTTGAGTTAGAGTCGAGCTTTGAACCAAACCCGGTTGGGGTAGAATAGGGATTTTAAGTGGACTTATTTGAGTGGAGAGAAAAGATCAAAGCAACCATGGGTTGAGGATGATTTGCCATAAAAGAATACAAGCTTGGGGTTATTTAAGTTGTAGCCTGTTTACAATTGGAGCGGTACCATTTAGGAAGTTTTACATAAAAATCTTGATTTTTGATAGCCCACCCGGCATACCCATCTTCAACTTCCTCATTTTCACTGTTTATCTTCATTGCTGCCTTTCATTTTTCTTCCTTTCCTCTTCTTCCTTTCCTCTTCCACCTTCCTTTCAATTTTAATGGTAGTTAAGCCTTAACTTCAATTTTTCTTCTATCCAAGTAAGTAAACCTTCTTAAGTTCATAATTGAAACATTTGGTGCTATTGTTTTAGAATTCATAAGAATTCTTATTTATAGGTGAAGGGAGTTCTAAGAGTGTAGAAACAAGAAGCTAAAGAAGAGCTCAAGCTTTTTGGAGCAAAGGTTTGATATCTCTTTTTCTTTACCATTTTCTTTGTATGAGATTTGTGTGGTGTGTTGCTATGAGACCATATTGCTTTATGTGAGTGGGAGGACTGGTAATGGTGAGAAAACAGGTGGTGAGAAACAAGGGAAAACAGGGGAGGTATTGAACAAATGAAGTAAACAAATTGGTTTATGTTGAAACAGGGCTTGCTGGAAATTTTACCAGTAACTTCATCTTGATTTTGACCCCATTTAATGATCGAATTAGGAAGTGTCATAGAAGAGTTATTTTTGTTCCTCTATGTGTTAGCTTTACATGGGTTCTTGAATCATTCCAAATTGGAGTTGTTCATATTGAGAGATATGACCCAAAACGAGTACAGACAGTGCAGCTGAAAGCCGCCGAGCGCGATTGCATGACGAGTTTCGCGCTTACCTTCTCGCGCTCGCGAATTTTGAACTACGCGCTCGCGACATTCACTGAACTCTCTGACTCTCATTTGGCACATTCTCGCGCTCGCGACTTCAAGTTGCGCGCTCGCGACTTGTGCTCGCAAACTTCTCTGACTTTTCATTTGGCACATTCTCGCCGGCTCGCGACTGTGAGTGCGCTCTGCCGTACTTGGAACCTTGGCCTGTAAGCGCTCGCGACCTTCATTGCGCGGCTCAGGGAATTGTAGCCTGAAGAACTCACTGGGTCTTCTCATTAGCACTTCTCAGTGCCTAGCGGACTTTCAATACGCGCTCGGCGGACTTGTGCCGTAACTCACCTTGTCTTCTCATGTTTGCTTTCTACGCGCTCGCGACTTTGAAGTACGCGCTCCGCGAACTGTGTTTCATGCCACTTTTGGACTTCTTTTTCAATGCAATTGTATTCCTTTGCTATCACGGGGTTTTATGTGCCTCCAATCATTTTAACATTCAAATCTTACAACATTTGAAACATTCATCAAAACACTTGGCAAGCATTGCAAATCATGTGAAATTCAAGTATACATTATTGGAATTATGAAGCTTATGAACTATTAATATTGATGTCTGTGTTATATTATTTAAACATATCACATTTATGCTCCATTGAGTTAGGTAGAAACCATCCTCCTGTAGAATAAGGCTATGTCCGCCGACATAGGATAGCAGATCTGGACCCTCATATAACCAGTTTGGTACTACGGCTACAGCATGTGATATGTGGATATGATTATATAATGGGGCAAACATAGAGCAAGCATACAAGTATTTCATTCCAGTTTCATACAGTTTTCTTACACTATACAGTATTCATCCAGTTTATACAGTTTTCTTATCACCTCGGTTTCGCTATAACCTTATGGAGCCATACAGATTTCATGACTCATACAGCATAATAAACAGCAAGTATCATGCTATATGTGCTTATATGCTTAATTATCCAGATGCGTTTACATGGTTATTTCTATACATGTATGTGCTTTATTCTTTCTTTTTATGTTGAGATATCCACTAAGCTTTCTTTGCTCAGCGAGTTACCTGTTTAACTCGTAGGTTTTGAGACTGGTCTGTAGAGGGTCCGTTTACAACTGCTGCAGTTCATCTGTAGAAGACTCGGTCTTCAGGGTAGATACTCTTGTTGATCTTTTATGGCATGTACAGGGCACACCTTTTTATGGAGCATTGTAAGGGTACTCAGTTGGGCCCATTTTCATTTTGAAATTAGATAGCATGTTTTGCTAAATATAAAACATTATTACTTTGTAAAATTAGTATCAGCAAGCTATTTATACTTCAGCATTATACATTATGACTTCAGCATCGTCAGACCATACAGTCAACCAGTTTGTAACGTCTCGGCCGGTTCATTCGGTTTACGGGTGGACAGGAAAGGCGGTGTATACATGCCATAATTTAATTAAAGTATGTATAATATCTTTTATTAAATTATTTTATATTTTACGGTTCATTTTGGTTTAAACTGTTTATTACTTGCGGACCAATTGATAATCGATAAATACAAATTTTAAGTATACAGTTGCTATTAAAATTGATAACCGACAATTAAGAATATAATATCTTTTATAAATGAGAATGATGAATAATGTATATATATATATATATATATATATATATTTATTTATTTACTTTATTTATTTTAAAGTGAATATAATCATTTTTTTATTCTTAGTTGTAATTAATTCATAATCCAATTTATAATTTGATTTAAAAGTGAATATATCATTTTTTTATTCTAGTTGATAATTAATTCATATCCAATATAATTTGAACAATAACATTATAATAATTTTTTAATTATGATCTAACATAGTAATAAATAATATAAATAATTTAATAAAATATATGCATCTAAATTAAAAATATAAAAATAAAAATCCATTTTTTTGAAACTAGAAAATAAATAAAAATCCATTGATTATATTATGTATGGCATTTTTCAAGGCTGTTATCGCAATGGGCTGGGACATGTGCTAGTGGGCCTAAATCAGTACTTTAAATGGTTTTTGATATGGGCTTTCACTCTTACGCCGTACGGACTTTACCTGATTTCCTGAAACGAGGAAACTGCGAGAGGAGAGGAGAGAACTGGAAAGCCACCAAGCCAAAATGGAGTGTGCCGGTAAGGGACGCGGAACTCGGTGCGTTGGCCCGCCTACAAGACGCTGTGGTAGCTGTGGTGCTGTTGCATATTGCTCCATCTCTCACCAGGTATCCCAATTTTGCTCTAAGATTCTGGCGAAGCAACTTTCAGTAGCGCTATAGTAAGGAAATCCTTCTATGACTACTTGGATTGCTTTTTGGGTGCTAGATTTCGCATTGGAGTGACCATAAAGAAGAGTGTGAAAGGCTAGAGCAACAAATGAATCGTACAGATGATTTGTATGATTTCCCTTTCACTTTCACTCAAGAAGCTACACTTGAGGTAATTACTATAGCTCTTTCTTTTTATCACTTAATATTAGTTAATTGTTAATGAACTTTGTTTTCTTCATAGGTTTTTGAAAAGCGGGAGAGTAGGTGTTCGTTTTTGAGCAAAAGAGGCATTCATCGATTGGGGATGTGGATGTGCGAATGCCATTGTTGGGTATCATCTGTTTCTTTTGATTGCTTAAGGTTTGTCGTTTTTTAATGTTCACCCTTTAAAATTTCTGATACAATTGGTGTTTATTAATGGATTCTGGAGTGTTATTGTACGCACGGAAAACCTCTGAACAAAAATACTCTATTTTGGTAGTTCTACTAACTCTCCGTGCTTGCTGTTGTAACATATTTTAGCCGTCAGAAAAGATGTTAATAAAACTGCTTGCAATTTATTTTGCACTTCTAATTCTGGCTATGTATTTCTGTTGTTTACAGGTCAGAGGATGAAGGATGGAATCTCTCCAGTCATCTATGCCCATGTCGTGGTATTGTATCATGCGAGTAGCTTTCTCTATTTTTATTTTTATTCTTATTTTTTTTTTCTTGTTTTCTGTATTAGTTCAGTGGCTGTACAATTCATTATGTACTATGCAGCGCCTGCAGCTCCAATGCCGAAACATTTAAGTAGCTGGATGGATTACTATGAGTGGAGATGCATCCCACTACATTCACCAGTTGCTTTTCTTCTTCATTGGGTATGACTTTAGGTTATTTCTGTAACCAGTTGAAAGTTGGGATTTGATTGATTATGAACGTTCTACCAATATTAGATCTAAATTTTCTTTGAAAAGACTACTTTGGTTATTCTTAAACAGAAACATTAGGAGTGTTTATTTTGCAGAAGCCCAATCAGTTACTATTCTTCTCATTTACTGATCTCTCTACTCATACAATGCTCAAGTCATATGCTGCATCTAATAAGATAATTTTGAAGTGTATTCTAAAGTTTCTGGATGGACTTTAACTAGTGACTTCAGTTGGTATTTAACTTACAAATGATGTGAGTTTAAATCTTTTCTGCCTATTTGGCCAAGACATGAATGCACATTTACTCGATGCATGAGAAAATATAATTACTGGATTTAATTCAAATAAACCTTACTGATCTTTGTTCAGACTATGAAGCACAACCTCCACTAATTGCTGTAACTGCATCCCATTATAAGCACACATGTCACTGATCATATATTTTTTTCTATCAGCCACTTACAATTTACCATGCTGCCCAAGTTTCTTCTGCAAGAAGCTTGAATGTTGAAAGCTGTAATGAATTATGCATACACTATCTTGGTAAGTGTTGCAGTATGAAAGTCAGACGACTCTTTTGAATTTTTATTTGGTGTTGTGATTTTGTACTTTTGATCTGGATGTAGATCATCTCATATTCTTTATTTGCTTCTATCTGAAAATTTTATTCAAATAACCTTCTATTGTCCTGTTTCCTTAGGAAGTTGTAGTGATGTTATTTTGAACTCTGGCTAGTTGGAGTCTGACTTTATTTTACTGTAATGGACAAGTTTAAGTTGGAAATCTGCATCTTTTGGACTTAGGACCAAAATGTGTCTGATATTGATTATGTGGTATCTTAAGATGCGAACATATGCTTTACCAATATGGTATTTCTTTTGGTTGCCTTCCTGCAAAAGTCCAACTCCCAATTTCTTCACATTGCAAATTTCAGAATATATACGGTTTTTGCCAGTACGTTTTCAAGCAATTGTGGTATACTTCCATGGTCAATGAAATATTAATGTCATTATCTTAATTTTTAATAATATTTAATGATGGCAATAGAGGGAAAAATCACTTAGATTTTCCAAAAATGATAATTTTATTTACTAATATGATTAGGTAAAGATATTGAATCTTTATTTCAAAACTCTATACCTATACAAGATTCATAAATTCCTTTCATCTTGTGATTTCCATTTGGAAGAGCCTTCTGATAGTCTATTATTTGTACTAAACATAATCATCCTGGAGCCCTTACAATTAGAGGTTTGGTGCTACCGGGCTAGTGCCTTCTAATATCATTATAAACATGGAGAATATGTAGATGTGCCTTTTTTATTTTCCAGTATGTTAGTTAGAATAACACATTTTTAGGTTCTCTATATTTAAATTTTATTTATTTTTATCTTAAAAGGGCCAGAAAAGGAGCTTCTACAGCTAGCTGCCTTTGGAGAGTTGCATGCACTTTTCCCTGGCATGAAGGTGCATATAGAACTGATTGGACCTGCAATTCCAAAAGAAAGGTTAGTGGTGTGCTTGATCAAATTTTTGCGCATTTAATTTTGGTTATTAACTGTATAATGGGAGGATGGCTTTGGTGTAATGGTAAAGTTACTCCACTTGTGATCCAGAGTTCACGGTTTGAGTCATGGAAATAGGCTCTCTGTAAAAGCCGGGGAAGGCTGCATACATCAACCCTCCTTAAAGTCTACTAATATGGGATGTTTCGTGCACTGGGTCACCCTTTTCTTAATTGCATAATGAATGTCAATGATTTCAGTGCTTTGGCAGTTTTTCTGGATTCTAATCCGGTTTGAGGATTTTTCTTATAATTTTTTTGGAGCTTATTCATGTTTCATTATTCTATATGGACAGGGATGGTCAGAAGATTGGTATTCGCAGTTATGCTCATTGCTTGGAAACAGATTGCATTTGCAGGTCCTCAATGCAAACTATGGACAGTAGTTCAATTACTGATAAACCATCAAAAGTGACTCTACAATTTCGGAGAGGATTTTACCATGAACGTTACAGGGATTTAGTGGAGGTGTTCTTTTCTCTAAACTTCTTGGAGTCTGAAAATACTATTGTTCATATGCTTATAATCACATATTCTTCTTTTCTTGGAGTTCCTTTATGTTAAGTGTTTTTCATCTGGGAATCTATTTTCTTTATTTGATTTTTCATATCATAGTTTATAGTGACTTGTTTTCTGCACAGGATTCATTTCCTCACTTGGTCGTTGCCCCAAATGCTGGCATCGCTGCTTACCCGAGTTGGTTACCTACTGTTGTATGTCTTTGATATATTGAGCATCACTCTCTCTCACTCCTCTCTCTAGTTTCTATGTAGTTTTGTTTAAGCAAGTTTAGTGAGGAACCTGTTAATTTCTACCTTGTTTCTGTAAATTACTTTATTTATATTAAGTTTTCATTCTACCCCCTTTATTTTGATTGCTGGATGGGCATATCAGGAGCTGATAAATAAGAAAGGTGTCCCAGCAGTATTTTCTGATTATTGTGAGGAAGCTTGTCATCTAGCAGCTTGCTGCATAACCAGTGTAACTGGTCGTCCTCTCACCCTTCCGGTGTGTATTCAGATTGCTGCTTCCTTTTTTCAACGATCTCCTGTAATCATTCACTTATAAGCTGCTGCAAGATTTGATCACAGCTGAAGTCAATTGATGTCTTTGCCTTGTAGGTTCAAATAAATCCTTTCAGACAGCCGGTGGTGGTAGAAGAAAGCACTCTGCTTCTCCCCTGCTATTCAAATTGCTTTCTGTTTGGGATGTAAAGTGGCCAGCTTAACAGGATAAGAATTGCTTTATTTCTTGTTATGAATTAAAGGCCATGGCTGTATAATCAGACCAGATAACGTGGATTCATTCAGGAATTTTTTTTTTTTCCAGTGGCTGCTTCAAGCACATTGCTTGAATCGGCAACAGTAGGACACTGGCAATCGGGAAATGTTTAGCACTGGAGCAAGTTAGCATTCTCCAGCGGGGGATCATGAAGGCTTGGTAAACATCTCTGAGTGTGTCCTTGTATGCTATGGATTACAGTTGCAGCTGTTGATTGTGGGTTTCATGCAATTCAAGCAAGATTAAGAAGGCTTTCTACCAGGGTAATTTACATTATCAACAGTGCTTTCTGTTCTGTCCAAGCAATTCATATTAGTAGGCTTTCAGATGTGTCTGGTGAGTTTGGAGAGAGATGGTTTGCGAAGCAGTTTCCAAGGAAATCAAAATGCAAGTTTATGACATTACCTCCTTTTTGAGTAACTATGCAACAGCAGCCAAGTGTTTTGCAGCCAGAGCTGTTAGTTGAGCAACAATATGTAGAATTTTATCTTTAAAGCTTTGACGTCAATTGCAGTACACCCTTTATATGGATGAGCTGGAAGATGGAAGGAAGTAGACAGTTGAACCTTGCAAAATAGGTATGTGGAGGGGGTGAGCTTGGCTCGAGCATTCAATTCCTATATTTGGTGCTGTAATGGAAGTGAAAATGCAAAGAAATGGTAGGCTAAAGATCCACATGGAGGTTAAAACTGAATCTTCCATGGCTGCTTTGATTAAACTGAATCTTGTTTTTGCAGTGTTGAGTTGAGAGGGAAGAGAAAAACAAGAAAAGTCAAGTCAAATGAGGAATATCCAAATATGTGGTTTAGTGATATAAAACGGGGAAAATAGGTTCTAAAGATCTTTCTTCATTAATATGGAGGTGGAAATTGGGTTGAGCGTGCAGTGACCCATTGGAGTATTCACCTTCTAGTCGGCAGTTTGTATTTTTCAGGATTATGTACTTGTTTCACACTTGGACATACCAATTAATTCTTTAGTTTATATACATTTCGTAAAAATTTTGAGAAAGGTGATCAATTGCACAAATTATTTTACATTTGTGTATATATATACATATGTATTGTTCCTTCAGATTCTAGAAATATGCATTGTAATCTAATATTGATTAGTAACATTTTACAATTTTGAATAGAGTTTGGAAAAATGGTAAAATGCATGTAGCATCTAGCGAGTAGGAAATGCGTGAAGCCCTTTTAATTTTATTAGTAAAATTATTTTATTAATTTCAATCCAATTCAGCCTACATATATGGTTTTTAGTAATATTAATAATTTTAAATTTAGTTAAATTATAATTCAATATTGATTTATTTCGAGTTAACTGTTATCATTTGATCCTCCCGTTCTCTTTTTATCAAGGAGGAGTGATTTTATGGAAGGAAAGAAAATATGAGTGTAAAATAATAAGAAAAGACAACTTTCCATTATTTGGAATATAGGTGTAAAATTTTGGAGGAAGGAAAAATTGAAGATACTTCTGATACTCTGCTAATCCAAATGTTTAATTAGTAAATAAATCTCTGTTACTTGTAATATGTTCCTTTTTAAGCCTGTACATTTAAATATACTTTACTTTACTCTGTATAAAGAAAAGAAATTTATTTTAATTTTCACATTAGTCCCCACAAAACAAAGAACACCCGCAGTTGCTTGTGTATCTGTTAACTTGCCACGTGGTCTCCTCATCCCCGTCAGCGACGGAACTCTTCATCGTCAACCGCCGAAAAAGGGGTCAATTTTGGATAATCCAAAGCTGCCCCTCTCCTCCTTTCCCAATCAACCCGCATGGGCTAAGACCCAAAATCGCCTTTTGTTTGTTCGCGGTTCTCTCCCTCTGCAACTCAATCTTCCTTTCTTCTATAGAGCTGCACCGATTGAGAACCAACCCAATCCAATCCAATCCAATCCAAGCCATGTCTAAATCATCTCAAACGACACTGCATTTGGTGTTGGTATTGTTTTGCTTTCTAGGATTAGGGTCTGGTTCAATTTATGGTGAAGCTTTGAAGGTACCTTTTAGGGTTAAAGATTTGCTTCCCGTATTGCCACGTGAGATATCATGGCCAGTGCTGAACAATCTCCATAATCCCGTTGATTTGTTGCCGTATTTTGTTGGATCGGTGACCCCTCAAAATGGCTCTATTCAGTGGAAAGGTGCTTGCTTTTACGAGAACGAGGCCCGTATCGACTTCACCGAAGGTGATCGAAATCAATCTGGCTTGGGAGGCGGTGTTCTCCATGTCAAGGTGCTGCTTTTGTTGATACTGTAATTGCTTTGTGAACTAGTGGACATTGGATTTTGGAATAGTTGCTAGTTGATAGCTTCAGCCTAATTGCTTTTGTTAACTAATTTTTTGTCTGTCGTATTATCCATGCATTTAGGTGCCTTCAGTGTTAGCTTGATGCTTTTTATGTGAATAGTTCTTTCCCCTTGTTTGTAGTTGGACATTAGAGAAAAAGAGTAGAAAAGGATAAATAGTACTTTGGTTTTATGTTTGTTCAAGTTATTGGCACAGTAGATTTATAATTTAAATTTTAGATTGTATTGTCATTTAAAATTGATATTTTCTTGGCAGATGTTAGTGCATGTTGTTGATTGATCAACAGTGCCTCCTAGTTAATTAGCAACTATTGTAATTCTTTTTCCTTCAACAGACATCTGCAGCGCACAGCTGGACCTGTATGGATTTGTATGTTTTTGCAACACCATATAGAATTACGTGGGATTACTACTTTTCTGCACGAGAGCATACTTTGAAGTTTGAGTCATGGGAAGAACAAGCGGAGATGGAATATGTATGCTTTTGTTCTGTCTTGTTTGTTTGAAGCTTGTGTTTAAGAACTTCAATGGATAAAGGTTTTGTTTCTCACTGACTATTGAGCAGGTGAAGCAACATGGTGTTTCTGTATTTCTCATGCCATCAGGAATGCTGGGGACCTTGCTTTCTTTAATAGATGTTTTGCCTTTGTTCTCTAACACTGGATGGGGTCAGAATGCTAACTTAGCTTTCCTAGAGAAGCACATGGGTGCCAAATTTGAGAAACGCCCTGAACCCTGGCGTTCAACCATTGATCCTGATGATGTTCAGTCTGGTGATTTTTTGGCTGTGTCAAAGATCCGTGGTCGGTGGGGTGGATTTGAGACATTGGAGAAATGGGTAACTGGTGCATTTGCAGGTCATACAGCAGTTTGCTTGAAAGATGAAATGGGGAATCTTTGGGTTGGTGAATCTGGACATGAGAATGAAAAGGTATGTGTTTCACAATGTTATATTGCAGAAAGATCTGTATGCATTATATATTTGTCATCTTGAAAGTTGAAACTTCACATGCGCCAACCAGATGTCTTCTCAAGTTCCTTTTAGTATTCAGTGCTTGTTGTATGATTCTGGTTTTGCGGTGTTTCTTCTCATTCCACGTGGTTGTGTGGTTACAGGAATATTATGTTTCAAAAGTGTATAAAATATTTTCCTATTGAAATAAGAAGTGGTAAGAAAATCTGTTTGGAAAATCTACTTTAATTTCTTTATTTTTTTTGAAGTGGTGTATGTTTTTGTAATTTTACTACTCTTAGATACACATAAAAACAATGGTTTATTGATGCTCCATTGCCATATGATGTTCCTAGTATTGATTTAATGTTTTATCCTAAAAGAAATGTTTGAAGTCAAGGTGCTGCATTACTTTGTTAACTTGCCTGAAGGAGCATGTGTATTTAAGGGTACCCGATCCGATCCAATTATTACAGATTTGGGTAGTTATAAACAAATTTAAAATGGATATGGATAGTAAAAATTATTAAATGCGATAGATTCGGATAGAATACGGATTTCAGTTAACGGGTATCCGTTACCTGCTACCCGTTAGATTAAACGGGTAGCCTTGTGGGTACCCACGGATACCCTACCCGTTTATCCATAATAATAATATATTTATTATATAAATGTTGGTTTAGAGATTTGAACCTTTGATCTTTTTTAAAAAAAAGAATAATATTTACAGCTAAACCATATTAGTATATTTGTTAATTTAAAGGATATAAGTCTATACATACATATTAATTAACTAGAATTCGCGAATTTTTATTAATTATAATTTCTTGTTTTATCTTTTTAGGATAGTATTTTCTTAATTGATTTCTGAAAGAATATATTTTGCTTTTAATACTTTTTGCTTTTAATACTAAGTAATACAATTTATCAATATATTACAATAGATCAATTTTCTATTTTAACATTTCAATAAAAATATATATAGATATAGTGATTAAATCCATTTAAAAATTAAATAATATGTGGTTGTTTCTTGGAAGAACTTAAACTTCCTTTTTCATTTTTACTTAAAATTATGCAAGTTTTAATAGTTTTACTTAAGATTTTACGAGTGTTGTTTAAGATTTTGACGTTAATGCTTACTGGTTTTAGTTTTAAAAAAAAAAAATTAGTGGTTTGAATCTTTAATTTAAATGATGTTTAAATGGATTCGGGTTTGGGTTATTAAAATTTTGCGGGTACCCTAACCGGTTTAAACGGATTTGAAACAAATATGGATAATAAAATAATTAACGGATTCGGATATGGATAATTAAACAGATATTTAAACGGGTTTTTAACGAATATGGTTAGTATAATTTTAAACGGATACAAATATGGATAGTTTAAAATTCGCGGATATCCGCCCCGCTTCCATCCCTAGGTACAGCCTTCTCAATGACCTGTATGCTTCAGATCCATACTTAGTTTATTAGATATGTTGATACCCATTATAGTCATACAGCCATAAAAGGCTGGAATTTATGAAATTTTCTGGGCGAGATTTATTATCTGAAATTACAGGTAATTGTGAGAGATTATGGACTTGCATCCCATGAGTGGGAGTGAAGTCATTCTCATGTGTTGCTCTGAACACAAAGAAAAAAATGTATTCCTTGTCTTTGGAGTTCTCAATTGGAAAAGAGGGCAGGCCTAATTGTCAAGTACGGTGGCCTGCAAAGATTGAAGTTGTAGAAATATGGTGTTGCACAGATTATTTTTTCTTTCCTCTCAATTTGTTTTACTGCATTGGGTAGATATGGCATGGAGTTGTTTGTTCAGGAAAAGGACATTATACTGAGAGGAAGTCATCCTTTTTCATTGCTCTTTCCTCTTGAAAAAGTGGTTCTTTTTACAGCATTTTCTGATGCGAATTTGCAGGGTGAAGAGGTTATAGCTGTAATCCCATGGGATGAGTGGTGGGAATTGTCTCTAAAGGACGGTTCTAATCCACAAATAGCTTTGCTTCCTTTACATCCAGATGTGCGTGCCAAGTTCAACTCAACTGCAGCTTGGGAGTATGCTCGGAGCATGTCAGGCAAGCCATATGGTTATCACAACATGATATTTAGTTGGATTGACACAATAGCAGACAACTATCCGCCACCTCTTGATGCTCACTTGGTATTTAATCTCCTCATAAGAATTTCATAGTTATTGTATGTATGTCGATGTTCATTTATAAAACGCTATATCTTTAGCATGATTATTACTTATATACGCCTTTTGTGTAGAAAAGAAAAACATCATTTGGATTTTATATGGATTCTTCTAAACTTACTTAACTGGGTGAATCTGATTTCAGGTCATTTCTGTCATGTCTATGTGGACTCGGGTGCAGCCTGCTTATGCTGCAAATATGTGGAATGAAGCCTTAAATAAACGGCTTGGGACTGAGGTATGTCTTAGTTTACTTTCTTTTTCTTAATCTATGTTTGAGCTAACCATTAAAACTGGTATATTATGCAAAGATGAGAAAGATTAGTCTTATTCAGAAATTAGTTTTGATATTGCCACCAATAATATGTTCACAAGTAAATGAATGAAAATAGTTAATCTAGTCATGAGAGATTGAAATATGGTCTATAGAATTGCTTGCAGATCCATATATTTTAATCAGGAGTTATGCTCTAATTCTGATGAATTTTTAAACTTTCTTGCAATATTTTCTTAAAAAATAAAACTCTGAAATAAAAATAGTTCTACACGTTTGCCCACAATCTTCTAGGACTGAAATGAGTTTGATTGCTGTCTGTATTTGCTGAAAGCATCTGTGCAGAATTGCTGATTTTCCCTCCTTTTTGTCTTGGGCTTTTCTGGTACTGGACTGGAGTCTGGAAGAGTATGGGTAAATTTTGTCTTCAAATTGGTACCAACTAAAAATGGTTAAGCATTTAAACTTGTATTTATTTGTTATTTGAATGTAATTGCAAAAGAAAACCCATATTTATTTATATGCTTATGCACTGCTTGGACAAATATATGTTAAAGAATTGATGGATTGTTTAGTATATTGTGAATGGCCAGAATCATGCTTTATGATGCTGTGGTTATTTGTTCCTCAAGCGGTTTAACTGTTGAGCTGTTCAACTGAGATCATTCTTTCATCTGCTTTTTCTTTTAGGATCTGGACTTGTATGGAATTCTAGCTGAGATTGAAAAGCGTGGCATAGCCTTCGATGAATTGCTTACTGCGCCAGAACAAGATGAATGGATTTATAGTGATGGGAAATCAACAACATGTGTTGCCTTTATCCTTGCAATGTATAAGGAGGCTGGAGTCTTTGGTCCCATTTCTAGCTCCATTCAAGTTACTGAATTTACTGTAAGTTACAAATGCTTTACTTGTTCATACTTATTTAAATTGGCACAGCACCCTTTTAAACACTTGTTTGGATGTAGTATAACATGACGTTTAACCATTGGCAGATTCGTGATGCTTACATGCTTAAAATTTTCGAAAATAACCAAACACGCCTACCTGGTTGGTGCAATAATGACAATGGCCGGCTCCCATTCTGCCAAATTCTTGGCGAGTACTGGATGGAATTGCCAGAATATAACACTGTAGAGCCATATGCCAACATGAACGAAAACTGCCCGTCCTTACCTCCCAGTTATGATAGGCCTGGTCGATGTTGATTTGAATTCAACCAATTTGCTAACACTGAAATGCTGACCATCAAGTTTGTAATTTCTCAGTTTCTAAGCTGTACGGATATCATTCTAGAACATGCACTGCATATTCTCTTCCCAACTCTCGTCTGGAAATGCTCAATGATGTATATAAATTTTATTCAGTGGAGACGTTATGTTTGCAGTCACATATTTTATATTGGTTTAAGAAATCTATGGCATGTGCATTAGCTAGTCCTCTTTAATGGGATGCAGGAATGACTTTTTTTTTTTTTTTTTTTTGCTAAGTCCTATTTTAATAGGGATGCAGGAATGACTTTTTTTTTTTTTTTTTTTATTTTTTTTTTTTTTTTTATTCTATTTATGAGAATAGCACAATTTTCCTTTGATTTTCAATAGAAATATGGACTGCAAGAATGTAATAAAGCCAGCTGTGTCTTTTGACATGAATCTAATTTAAGCTTTATGGGAAATTAAAATTGAAAACTGAAAACAATTAAGCTAAGCGTGACACAGAAAATCCAATCCCTAGTAGCTTGTGCTAAGAATTTATTTTCAAATCAGATTTTACCATCCCAAAGCTCTTCTATTGTTCTGAAAGGTCCCTCATCTGAGATGCAATCTTCTCCGCGACATCCTCTATTCCGTGTAATCTGACTGACCTTCTTAGATTCTTCTTCACTCAATTCCAAGTTGAACTTGTTGAGATTCTGTTTCATCCTCTCGCTGAAACTTTTCTCCAAAACACAGATTCCCTATTCCAAGTTGAACTTGTTGAGATTCTGTTTCATCCTCTCGCTGAAACTTTTCTCCAAAACACAGATTCCCTATTCCAAGTTGAACTTGTTGAGATTCTGTTTCATCCTCTCGCTGAAACTTTTCTCCAAAACACAGATTCCCTATTCCAAGTTGAACTTGTTGAGATTCTGTTTCATCCTCTCGCTGAAACTTTTCTCCAAAACACAGATTCCCTATTCCAAGTTGAACTTGTTGAGATTCTGTTTGCACATCTAAGGCATAACTGAAAATTTTGTGAAATGCATTGGTTGCAGCCATTCTAGGTTTCTTGCAAGGATTGGAGTACACTACAAATTCAGGATTTACAATTTTATTTTTGAAACTTGGCCCTTGTTGTATTTCAGCTTTCCATTTTAAATTTATTGAATAAATGAGGTCTATTAATTAAATTAAATAAGAATTGCATACAAATTATTCAAATTCCTATCCTACGGGCCAATTAGAATACAATATTATAGTTTAACGAGTAACAACAAGCAATTGAAAGAAATGTCAAAAAAAAAAAAAAAACAAGCAATTGAAAGAAATAACAAGAAGCAAAGAGTACCTGAGCAACAGTTACTCCTTTGGCCTTTGCAATCTTGTTGAGCACTTCATTCTCCATAACTCTGTTGCTACCCCAAATGGTTCCTCCGGCTCCTACAGCTGCATAAGCAGTCAACGTGATTCCGTTGCCCTTACAGAACTCCATTAACTTTTGTTGCCATAGTGGGTTTATCTCTACCTTTTCACCATCCCAACAGCTTTCCCACTTACCAAGAAAAGAAAATATTCACTTGAAAAGAAAAAAAGCAAAGACACTTGCTTAACAGCAGGAGGGATCTCTGCTATAGCGAGAATATCTGAAAGCTTCTTACAGGAGAAATTGCTTACGCCAATTGATTTGGTAAACCCCAGTTTTTGACACTCCTCCATTGCTGTCCATACCCCTTTAAAATCCATAGGCAAAAAATCTTCTCTCTGTACTGGAAACTCATAGATCCCCGGTTTACAACTTACAGGCAAATGAATGAGATAAAGATCAATATAATCCAATTGAAGAGCCCTGCACAGCAATAAAACAATGGATTCATATCACAGGCTTAAATTTGAATGGGTTATAATATTTAGAGTTCAAGATTGCTGCTTTATTTAGAGTTCAAGATTGAATGGGTTATTTTATTTACCAGAGACTTTTTTGAAGGGCAGTAAGAAACAGATGACTATGAGCATCACTGGACCAAAGCTTTGATGTGATAAAGAGTTCCTTTCTTGATTTAATTAGGCCAATAGACAGTGCTTCAGCTATGGCTTGACCAAGTGGCTCTTCTGTTTGGTAAAGTGAGGCTGTATCAAAATGTCTGTAACCAATCTTAATTGCTTCAAGAATTGCTTCTTTGGTTTCTTTCGATGGCACTCGCGGGAAAGTTGCTGTGCCCATTCCCAGCAGTTTCATTCTCGGGCTGCTAGAGCTAAGAAGCACCTCTGGGATAGTGATTCTTGAATTGATGTCCATCTTTTTCTTTCGCAGCAGAAAGTTTTGGGTTCTTTTTTCTTCTTTAGTCTTTGAAATGAGTGACATTATTAATTAGATGTTGGCGATCTGAAAGCAATGAAACAACGAAAAGAAAAAAAAAAGAGAAAGTTGCACTGAAACATCAGTGGCTTAAAGAGCAAAAGAAAAGGGAAAATAATAATTGGATTCCTAAGTTTTAGCATAATTAACATTTGAAAATCTCAATTTTTAAAAATTAATTTTGAGATTCTTAAATTTTAATTCCGTCAATAGATATATTTTTCCTATCAAAATACCCACTTTTAACCGTTAAATTGATATATAAATACGAAATGCCTTCATATGTGCTTGGTGGTTCTTCTTTCTCTCCTCGTTTCTTGTAATCCAATTAAAAATTTTAGCAAATTAAATTTAAGTTAAAAAGGAACTGCGAGACATCATTTACCAATCTCACCAATAATCAAGCAAAATTTATAAAATTGTTTGTATAAGAGAAATAGAATCTAATGTAAATCCGAAACTCTGCATCTCAACCACCAATACATTTGCCTTCTCTACAAAACCATTTTGAGCGAAGCCAAAAATTAATGCTCCTTAAGAAACCACACTCTTACATTTCAACTACTTAAAAGACAAGTGAAGCAAGCTCCAATTGCCCATCCTTAGCATGCATATCCATGGCTAGTATGAAGGAGGACATCATCCATGCCTATTCCTCACCTAATCATATACCCATGTACTGAGAGATTCAATCTTGAATCTCCAATAGAACTATAAACCTGATTAACTCTACAATCGCATCTCATCTCTTTTGATCCCTGCCTTTTGCATTCTCCTATAAATATAAATTCGTGTATTCACCAATCAATATATTGTGAATGTGGAAAGCTTTAAACACATTAAAAGAGGTTGAGGTGACAGAGCCGATGAAAAGTGAAGCAACCGCAAAAGTTTTAAATAATAATAAACTAGAATTGCTGCAACCTTTTCGAATCGATGACAGAATTCAAATGAGTTGGTAATGCTCGCCGAGAATGAAGAGGGCTAGGGTTATAAAAGGTAGGTGGAGCTGGCTGCACTTAGGTGTTTTTTGAAATTTAATTCTTTTCTTTCTCATTTAACTAATTTAAATGGCTAAGACTAATGAAAAAAATATGTAATTTTGGAAGGGATGACCTATTTCTTCGCAGAATTAAAATTTAGAGATTTCAAAATTAGTTTTTGAAAACTAAAGCCCTTCAGTATTAATTGAGCCAAACTGAAAAAGAAAAGAATTATTTCTAATTATTTTATTTTTGAATTTGCGATAACTTATTCGATTTCCAAAAGAAAATGTTACACTGAAATGGCGTTATCAATTGGAAATTTCAGTGCAGAAAAAAACAATTACGGAAGTTTAAGTTAAAAGTAATAAAGAAAATATTGCATTGACGTTACAAAAGTGGCTGATTCCGTACAACAAAATAAAATAATATATAAAAAAATCGAAGTTGGGAGAAATCGCTAGTGAAGAAGGTAGAAGCTTTTAATTTTTTTTTAAATAAAACAAATTAAAATTTGGATAATTAAACTTTGGCGGGCGGTTCTTGCATGCTGTTAGAAATTGATCAAATAGAAATTTTGGAAAATTTGACTGATTTAAAATTTGGATAATTAAAAAACAGTCTTTTGCATGCAAAATTTAAAAATAACGAAAAATTTTTTTCCTCTTGTTAATCAACTATTGTCCAATTTTCATCCTTTAAAAAGATTATCTCTTTCTTGCTTTTTCAGTTGAATTTCTTTACTATTTACTTAGGGTTTTTGCAAACTCAACTCTAATGTGTCGGTCAGAGGGCTGCAAGGTTATGGTGGAGGTCTGGCTGCGGGACAGTAATGGAAGTTGGATTAAGGGTTTCTTGATGAATGTTGGTTTCTGCTCAGTTCCTCATGCTGAATTATGGGCTGTGTTTGAGGGTATCAAGCTGGCATGGTCTCTGGGAGTTGGAAATCTGTTGATTGAATGTGATAATGAGATGGTGGTGAACTTCCTTCACAAGCCTGACCTCCCTCATAATGGTCTCCGGCCGTTGGTAGCTGCTGTGGAAGATTTTCTTCGCCGTCCGTGGGTGGGCCGAGTCAGTCATGTGTACCGTGAAGCAAATTTTGCTGCTGGCCACTTAGCAAGTTTGGCGGAATCTATTCCTCTGGGTCTTCAGATTTTGGATGTTCCTCCGGCAGGGATGGAAATGTGGCTCCTCCATGATGTTAGTGGGGTTTCTTACCCTAGGAACTGTATATAGTTCCTTTAGTGCTTAGCACTATCCCTTTTGTCACCAAATATATATAAAATATAGGAGCTGATCGTTAATGAGGTTATGTATCAAGCTGGCATGGTTCTGGGAGTTGGAAATCTGTGATTGAATGTGATAATGAAGATGGTGGTGAACTTCTTCACAGCCTGACCTCCCTCATAATGGTCTCCCCGAAGCAGTTGGTAGCTGCTGTGGGATTTTCTCTCGCCGTCCGTGGGTGGGCACACGAGTACACGCATCATGTTGTACCGTGAAGCAAATTTGCACTTGCTGGCACTTAGCAACGTTATGTGCGGAATCTAACTTCCATCTGGTCTTCAGATTTTGAGATGTTCCTCATCCGGCAGGGATGCGCAATGTGGCTCCTCCATAGATGTTACGTCGGGCGTTTCTCTTAACCCTAGGACTGTAATATACTCCTCTTAGCTAGATTAGCACTATCCTTTTGTCACCAATACTCATATACAACTACTATATACCTCTAACATATACCTCACATATATTCACTGTACAGACGTCTGTTTTGTTCATCTCGATTTTAACCAGCCCAAATCTACGAAGAAGAAGGGAGCAAATAATCAACTCTTCTTAAGGCTACTTTTAAACCTAACTCGCTCTGGTTACTACTTTTCTAACAATCTAAAGGTGATAATTTCCAGACATAGAGGACACCTCAACAACTAAAAACAATATTAGCACACCGCGATACCTTCTACCCCCACCTCGATCGCGGAATGGTCAAATTGTCCTATCACCATCCATAAATTCTATAATAATAAAATAATATTTCTGCTTCTATCTCTCTCTGTGGTAATTGTAAAATTAGCACAATACTCGGTTTACACCGTTTAACGCTCGCTACACCAAAAGAAATACTAAATACCTGAATTTCATATTCATTTCATAATACAAATACCCTTTTGGAAAAATATGACAATCTGTTGTTAACATCTACTAATAATGACATAACAAATCCTTCTCACAAGACACGTGCACCATACTTATACACTTTGTTAGATTTGACACAAGAAGGAGACTAATAAAATGCTTCATAAAAATTTATTGTTTATAGTTCTGGATATGTCTTGTCGTTTTGTTAAAACACAAATGAAATTTCCGATATCTTTTTCTAAAGAAATAACAAGTATATATATATATATATATATATTCACTGTAGAGTTGTTTTGTATTGATTTTAAAGCAATCTCAGAAGAAGAGGGAGCAAATATCAATTTTTAACGGTATTTTAAACCTAACTGTTGTTATATTTCTAACAATCTAAAGGTGATATTTCCAGACATAGAGGACATCACAACTAAAAATATTAGAAAGGAATATTCTAATGATGGAATGGTCAAATTGTCTATCCATCCAATAATTCTATTAATAATAAAAATAATATTTTTGCTTCTATTTCTCTGTGGTATTGTAAATTAGCACATACTGGTTTAACCGTTTAAGTGCTATAAAAAGAATACTAAATATGATTTCATTTCATTTCATTTAATACAAATATATTTGAAAAATATGAAATTGTATGTTAAATCTATAATAATGACTAACAAATCTTCTAAAACCGTGAGATACTATAATTTGTTAGATTTGACAAGAGGAGATAATAAATGCTTCATAAAATTTATTGTTTATAGTTCTGGATATGTTTGTGTTTGTTAAAACACAAATGAAATTTGTATTTTGTTTAAGAATAACAAGGCTCATGCTACAAATCAATTAGTAAAGAAAATTAAAATTTTGACAAGTGATAAAGAGGGAAAATACTTCCCAAAAGAATCTGATTTTTTTTTATATAGAAAAATTATAACTTATTACCATTATTTTGTTCCATGTAAAGCCGAATAAAATGATTTAACTAAAAATAAAAATAGAATATATTTAGAAATGATTTAACGACTATACTAATCATACTAATTCTGTTTTCTCTCGATTTAGACTGCTCTTTGTGTAAACTGTAACATTATTTTGACCCATTAGGTCTCTAAGGGAATAGCAAAAAATAGAAAACAACTAAGCATGAGTATATTCCATATATTTTGGTAGCTTAGTCTAAGAATTTTATTTTCAAATCAAATTTCACCATCCCAAAGCTCTTCCAGTGTTCTGAAAGGTCCCTTATCTGAGATGAAAACTTCTCCGCAACATCCTCTACTCTGTGTAATCTGGCTGATCTTCTTAGACTCTTCTTCACTCAATTCCCAGTTGAATATGTCGAGATTTTGTTTCATCCTCTCCTTGTTGAAACTTTTCACCAAAACACAGATTCCCTGCTCATATGTCCATCTGAGGCATAACTGAAAATTTCGTGAAATTTAAGAGTTGCAATCATTCTAGGTTTCTTGCAAGGGTTGGATTACACTACAAATATGAATTGCAAGCAAATTAAAATAAAAAAATAAGAACAAACGAAAAGAACCTGAGCAACTGTTACTCCTCTGGCATTCGCAATCTCATTGAGCACTTGATTCTCCATGACTCTGTTGCTACCCCAAATAGTTCCTCTAGCTCCTAAAGCTGAATAAGCAGTCAACATGATTCCATTGCCCTTACAGAACTCCATTAACTTCTTTTGTTGCCATAGTGGGTTTACCTCTACCTTTTAAATATCCAGACAGCTTTCATTTACCGAGAAAAAACAAAATATTCACTTGAAATGAAAAAAGGGCAAACACGCTTACTTGATTAACAGCAGGAGGGATCTCTGCTATAGCAAGAATATCTGAAAGCTTCTTACAGGAGAAATTGCTTACGCCAATTGATTTGGTAAACCCTATTTTTTGACACTCCTCCATTGCTGCCCATACCCCTTTAAAATCCATGGGCAAAAAATCTGCTTTCTGGATTGGAAAATTATTGATCCCTGGTTTACAGCTTACAGGCCAATGGATGAGATAAAGATCAGCATACTCCAATTGAAGAGCGCTGCACAGCAATAAAACAACGGATTCATATCTCAGGCTTGAATTTGAAATGAATTATCTTTTTAGAAGAAGAAAATTATTTAGGGTTCAATATTGCTGTTTTATATATTCACCGGAGACTCTTTTGAAGGGCAGGAAGAACAAGATGACTATGAGCATCACTGCACCAAAGCTTTGATGTGATAAAGAGTTCCTCTCTTGATTTAATTAGGCCAATAGATAATGCTTCAGCAATGGCTTGACCAAGTGGCTCTTCTGTTTGGTAAAATGAGGCTGTATCAAAATGTCTGTAACCGATCTTAATTGCTTCAAGAATTGCTGCTTTTGTTTCTTTTGATGACGCTTGTGGGTAAGATGCTGTGCCCAAACCCAGTAGCGGCATTCTCCGGCTGCTAGAGCTAAGAAGCACTTCTGGGATACTGATCCTTGAATTGCTATCCATCTTCTTTTCTCTGCAGCAGACAAATTTGAACTTTCTTTTAATGAGTTGATATGTCTTCCTTGTTTTTATATGGTAACTGTTTGAAATGAGTTGATATGTCGTAACTATCCACGATATACAAGTCGGACTCTCTGTCTCTCCCTTCGAAGAAACTTTACCTGCCACTTCGAAGAAACTAATTTTAGTTTGGCAATATCAGAAGCTATAACAGTTTGTATTGTATTCAAATTAATCTTTTTTTTGACTGTGTTTATCTAAACGAAAATTAAATTTTAAATATTTTAAAAAGTTAATTATCTATATGTGTATTTAAAAATTTTAAAAATTAATTTTTGAAAAACATATATCCAATCGAATCATAGAAAATAGAAAGATAATCTAAAAATATGAAAAAAAAAGGAGAAATGCATATAGTAAATATAGAGAGAAGCTTTGAATCTGTTTTAGCTTTCCTATATATATTACATAGTCATTATGTTAATTTTTTAATTAAATTATGATGAAAAAAAATCAATTTTATTATTAATAAAATTTTAAATTTTCTTTCACATGGCACCATCAAATTAAAATCCGATGAGCCGAAATAATGCTAAGTGTTATGCAACAAGACTCACCGAATCGGTGACTCGATATTGATATCTCTTACTCTTCGTATAAGTAACGAGACCAACTAGATCCATACTTGATTGACTAATCAATTATGTGTTTTTGTTGAAGAATCATATTTTATAAATAAATAAATAAAAACTCATTAGAAAAAGACAAGTAAATTGTTTGTTTTGATTAAACCATTTAGATAAAGATTGACAATAAAATTTAGTTTCTTTTTCTCAAATAAAGATAAAATTAGAATAAAAAGCATTTTATTTTCTTCTTCAATTAATCAATTAAAAATCAGTGAAACTCTGACAAAAAACTATTTAGTCAAACAGAATAAAATAAAAAATTATTAATTAACTTGTAAAAATAAAATTCTCACTAATAAATTTTACTAAACTAGAATAAAATATTAATTTACTAAAATGTTTTTTTAATAACCACTTCAACAAAATAGATAACGAGCCAAAACCTATAGAATATGAAACGGCGGCGTCTCTTCACCGACCATGAGCTTACACTTGGATGTTCGCTCCGTTACCTTATTTTTCCCAGAAGCCGTAAAAGTTTGACTTTTATTCATCAGATGGAGAAATGGAGAAAGAACAGAACAAAGCAACCACTCGATTGATGCTTTTATAGGTCAAAAATAGCATCTTGTTTCACTTCACAGCTTGCTCAAGTGATTTGCGAGGCCATAAAGCAGAATCTTTGTTCGATTAACGACTCGGTAAGAATCTCAGACATTGAAATGCAAAATTGATGCGTTTTTGGATTCGGGGTTGATATTCTATGCTCTGTCTTCATTGATTGATGACGAGAACATATTGCTGTCCCGTCCGGAGAATAACAATTCAAACTAGAGGAGAACTTTCCCTGGATGGAAAAAGGTTGCTTCTTTCCCTAGAATTGTTGGGAATAATTTTCTTTTGATGGAAACATTTTCCTTGTCGTGTAGGTTCAGAATTCAAACATTGTCGCATCTGGAAAGATGACAGCTCCTTTAAAAGGCCACCTAAAATGGTGACATGTGGTTTTTATTGAAGATGAAATATCTCTGATTAGTTCAACTTTAATCTCATTTTATTGATTAAACATTTGGATGATTAGTGGTTAGATAGTGTAGAAATAAATAAATGTGCCATTTCATTACGAAAAAGTAAATTATGGAATATGCATTTCATAGCAAATCTTGATCTTGAACCAAAGAAAAAAAAAGAGTATATTTTACTATATTTATACCTTTCATTTATAGAGAAATTTGTGGAATCTAACTAATGATCTGGATAGAAATAAGAATGTGCACTGCAGAAAGGAAAGTAGCATTATCTTTATATATGAATAACAAAGCTAAAAATTTACTAGAAAGATTAGATTTCTCCATCCCAGAGTTCCTCAAGTGTCTTGAAAGGGCCTTTATCTGAGATGTAATCTTCTCCACTTGTTCCTTTACTCTGTGGAAGCTCACTGATTTTCTTGGTCTCTTCCTCACTCAATGTCCAGTTGAATATGTCAAGATTCTCTTTCATCCTTTCTTTGTTGAAACTTTTCACCAACACACAAACTCCTTGTTCATATGCCCACCTCAGACAAATCTGTTTTTGTAACATTAATCAATTCAAAACTCTGCCTTTTAGTTCATCCTTCTGGAACTAATAAGTAATTCATGGAAGGGAAAAATAATAAAATAAGATTTTGCATTTTATATTATCAATTCTTTTGATTTTAATATCATCTGTAGAATATATAGTTCATCGATTTCATTAATCACACCCATTTTAGGATGTCCTACAAAAGCATGTGCAGTCACATTCAGCAATTTATACACTAAGGCTCCATTTTTGTGAGCTGTAATGTAATGAAATGTAATGCTATGTAATTTTATGTTTTTTTATTCTAATGTTTGTAATAGAAATAAATACATTTGATTACATTGCATTACATTTTGTTACCACTCAATAACAAAGCGTAAATGCTTTGAGAGATTAAGGAAGTCGTGATAGGAGTACCTGAGCAACACTCTTTCCTTTGGAAGTCGCAATCTCTTTAAGCACTTCACACTCCATAACCCTATTGATACCCCAAAGAGTTCCTCCTAGAGGAGCATAAGCTGTCAAAACAATTCCATTGGCCTTAGAGAACTCCATTTGCTTCTTTTGTTGCCATAGTGGGTTTATTTCTACCTTTCAAGATCCCAACATCTCTCACTTAATTACTTGTAATTATCATTATCACATAGATAATTCAACAATGGCAAATCAAATTAATTAAGTAGCCACTATAATTGAAATTAACTTACTTGATTAACTGCTGGAGGTATCTCTGCAATTTCAAGAATGTCTGATAGCTTTTTACAAGAGAAATTGCTCACCCCAATGCATTTGGTAAGCCCAAGTTTCTGACACTCCTCCATTGCTGTCCATACACCTTTAAAATCCATAGGTAAAAAATCTTCTTTCTTTATTGGGAACTCATAAATCCCTGGTCTTGAGCTCACTGGCCAATGAATCAGGTAAAGATCAATGTACTCTAACTGAAGAGAACTGCATAACAAAAAATCAGCATGTTCATAATCATACATTATAATATGAGAAATAAAAAATAAGGTTTCTTTTAATGATGATAATTAGGAGGCGGGTACGGGATTTGGCATCATCATTATTCTTATTATCTATAGGATTCAAGAATGTGGCTTTACTGGAGACTCTTTTGAAGAGCAGGAACAACAAGATCGTTATGAGCATCGCTACACCATAGCTTAGAGGTGATGAAGAGTTCATCTCTAGATTTAATTAAGCCACTGGACAATGCTTCAGCAATGGCTTCACCGAGTGGTTCCTCTGTTAAATAAAGTGTAGCTGTATCAAAATGTCTATAACCAAGCTCAATTGCTTGAAGAATTGCCGTTTTAATCTCATCTGATCCTACTAGAGGAGATGTTGTCGTGCCCATGCCCAGTAATGGCATTCTCCTATCGCTTGAGTTAAGAAGAACTTCTGGAATATTAACCATTGTATTCTCTTCCATTTCTGATCTGATCCGCAAGCCTCTTTTTTTCCCCTCTCTTTTTTTTTTTTTTAAATAACAAATTTTGTAATTAAACTGTTACGTTTTATTCTTTTTTATTCATTATAGAGGCTTGAAGTTTGAATTTACATTGTCTTCAATTTGTTTAATGAAATGAGTGGTTATTATGTTGTTTTGTTTATGTGGTTTAGATGTAATGTAGGTTAATTAGTTGAGTGATTAACAGTTTCCCAAATGATAGTGTTGCCATTCATTTCTTATATGGTAAAACTGGAAGCCTTTTATCTATCTTCTTCTAGGTGACACGTGTTGCATTTCTCTTCATTGAATTTCTTCAACAAATAACCTATTGGCCTGTTGGAATAGCCTGTGCATGAAAATAGTGCAAATTTTACTCGCAAACGCAAATTTAAGGACAACTTTGTCTTTTCCTTGTATAAACAAAAACACACTGCACTGTTTGTATTAAGGCATAGCTTCGCCTATTGCAACATAGCAATTGATTTAATTTTGAAGATTTAATTGATTTAAAATAACAGAAAATTTAGTTAATATTTTCCGAGAAAATAATTTTGAAGATAAGCTGCTATTATGAGCACTTTAAATATTAAAAAACTCAATAGATCAATTAAATGAGGCCTTGATTGGTATTATCTGATGATTTTACAAAAACACAGATAATTAAAATTCGAGAAAATAGAATTAATGCATAAATTTTATTAGCAAAGAATGTTATTGCAATACATACATTACATATGATTAATAAGCTAATTCTTCTTTTTCCAGATAGCGTATTTGATCGAAACAAAAATTAAATAGGCTTGATCCTTCACTTTCTTGAAGCTGACTCCTATTTTCTTCAAATATTTTGATTTTCCACCATTTTTACTCTTCTTCTTAGACTTTGTCTCTGATTTACAATTTTCCATTTCCGACCTTTCTTGCTCCTTCAAAAACACAGAGAAATGTTACCTAACGTCTGATTCATCACCAACAGAGAAACTCAAGTCAATCCGTTAAGATCGGAAAGATTCATTCAATTGACATTTTTTTAACATGTGGAGATTTCAAACGATTGACGTATGTACCAAAATTGCTGCCTAGGGGAGATTCTCGGATGTCGCGATAATGGAGACGTAGTTATTTCGCATGGAAAATTTTAAAAATTAAATTGAATTGTGTTATTAAAAATTTATAATATTCTCTTTAAAAATTCAAATATCTAGAGTCTATTATCCATCAATTGAAACGAACAAGATTTATCTTAGCCCAATAAATTAGAAATATTTGTGACTAATGCTAGAAACAGACATTGGAAAATCTCGAGGAGAAGTTTTTTGGTAAAATATATAAAGCCTTACATGTACAGAATTATAAATTATCACAATTTATTTCTAGAGTTATTATTCTTTATTTACTATATATTTTTCTTGATATATTAAGTTTCTCTTAGTAAAATAAAAATTCTTATTGCTAATAAAAAATTTATAAACTTCTTTATTATAAAATGCACGATATAATATAATAAACTACAAAAGTAATTAAACCTCAAGAATTCAATCAATTTCTATAAAATAAGAGTATAAAGATTTTCCACCTTATGATTCATGCACAAGAAGGTTGATGGACATCATCTTCAAATGTCAATAAAAATAAGCCAATTTAATTACTTTCTTACTATAATTTAATGCAAATCTGACCATTCGCTGGCGTGTCTTAATAAACATAACTTTCTAGATTAATACATTTATTCTTCTATAGAAGATTATTAATTATTTATTTTGTTGTCACAATCATTGGTGGTGCATCTTTCCTTCTTCCGTTTATAGAATTAGAAACCCAACTCCAGAAGCGTTCACCAACGTCCCAACTTTGACCTCCTCCTCTTACAAAAGTCAAAATAGTTCATGTTTTTTTTTTTTTTTTTTATAATAAACAATAACTTTCCTAGATTAATACATTTATTCTTCTATAGAAAGATTATTAATTAAATTATTTTGTTTGTCACAAATCATTGGGTGGTGCATCTTTCCTTCTTCACCCGTTTATAGACATTAGAAAGACCCCACCTCCGAAGCGTTTCACTCAACGTCCCCAACTTTGACCTCCTCCTCTTTTTACAAAGTCAAAATAAGTTTCATGTTTTTTTTTTTTTCTTTATTTAATCAACTGGTATCCGCCGTGACCCCGACTAAAATAAATTTGTACTTTACACTCGAGGTTGCTAGTGAAAGCGCACGTCTTTCTTAAAAGACTCTTTTTTTTTTTTTTTTTTTTAATCACCTGGTATCCGCCGGACCCCGACTAAAATAATTTGGTACTTACATCGGGTTGCTAGTGAAAGCGCACGTCTTCTTAAAAGACTCTATAATTATGCTTTAAACTCAAATTTTTAATTAAGGGAAAAAGATTATCAGTAATTACAATTCTAAAATTTTTTACTTTTATTCTTCTAAAGGTACACTCCGCTACAATTTTTGTAATATTTTTGTAAGAATAAGATACCCAGGTACTTTGACACTATTCAACATTGAATAAAACAAAATAAAATATACATGGTTAGGAAAAGCCGCCAGTCGTCACGACGTCGTTTAAAAAATAGCACGTTTTATCCTGCGACGCAGAAACCTCGAGGAAGACGAACATAAAAGAACCATTCAAAAGAAATTTCAACGCGTTTGAAAAAAAAATACAATAATTTTATATTGATAGCGACCAGAAACGAACACCTTGAAAAATAACAAGAAACCACATTGTGCGACGCCGGCCTCCACTCCACCCAACCTTTATAATCTCCTTCTTAACAATCACCATTCACCATTAAAACTCTGCTTTCTTCTGCTTCTTCTCACTCTGTAATTGTAAACGGCAAACCGAATTATGGGATTGCATAATTTCATTATTTTTTTTCTGCTCTCACTGACGTCGCTGTCGTTTCCTCCAGTATCGGCTAGGATCTTCCCCGACACATCATCAATTCCACCGGGTTTATTCCCTAATAACGCCACCGCCGCAGCTTGGGACAACTTTAAGAAACTTTCCGGTTGCCGCGCCGGCCAAAAGCTCGATGGGTTAAACAAACTTAAGCAGTACTTCCATGACTTCGGTTATATTCCAAATACTTTCGCTAACTTCACCGACGATTTCGACGACGCACTCGAATCCGCTCTCAAGACTTACCAACAGAATTTCAATCTCAATGTCACCGGTGAACTCGACGAACAAACACTTAGTCAGCTTATAAAACCGAGATGCGGCAACGCTGATATAGTCAACGGTACAACGGCTATGAACTCTGGCAAGTGGACGCCTCCGTTTAACACCACCTCGCACTTCCACACTGTCGGTCATTACACATTCTTTCCTGGTAGTCCACGCTGGCCGGACAGCAAACGCGATTTGACCTACGCATTTTGGCCTGGTAATAACTTGACTACCGAGGCGAAGAGCGTTTTCACTCGTGCGTTTGACCGCTGGTCAACCGTGATACCGATGACTTTTGCGGAGACGGATTCTTTCACCATCGCCGATATCCGGATCGGGTTTTTTAGCGGAGATCACGGCGACGGAGAGCCGTTTGATGGAGTTTTGGGAACTTTAGCACATGCTTTCTCTCCACCAAGCGGACGGTTCCATTTGGACGGCGACGAGAACTGGGTAGTCTCTGGAGATATTAGCGACTCCTCCATAATATCGGCAGTGGATCTAGAATCGGTGGCCGTACACGAAATTGGGCATTTATTAGGGTTAGGACATTCCTCCGTTGAAGATGCCATTATGTATCCCACCATTCCTTCAAGAACCAGAAAGGTTGAATTGGCTCAAGATGATATTGACGGTGTACAACAGTTGTACGGGAAAAACCCGAATTATAACGGGTCATCATCCACATCGTCCGTTCAAGAAAGTGATACTAGTGGGGCCCATTATGCACATTCCAATTGGGGCCTGATCAGTTTGTTGATGGCCGTTGGATTTTTTTGTCTGGTTTTGTAAAGTTTTTTCGATTTCTTTTTTTCTTTTTGTTTTGTATTATTTTGCATTATTTGACATGGGATTCATATAGTTTAGTATAGGATTAGAGCATGTGTGAGATTTACATAATTTAGTTTTTTTATTCGTTGCCAGCCTTGTGTATAATAAAATATCTATTTTTTCTACAGCACATTTTTTTTGAATTAACTATTAATTAGCATTTTATAGGATAAATTAGTAATTTTATAAATTAAACTCCTCCTCTTATATCATAGTATTTATATGTATTTTTATAGCATTTTGTATTTATTTTTTATTATAAAATTATATATTTTCACTAAATTTTAATTCTTGATTTTTATTAATTTAATTCAAAACTTTATCCTCTTTAAAAACAAAACTTTATCATTTCGAAAAGCAAATAAACACAATTCTTTCTTTTTTTACAGAATTTTTAGTATATGGGGTTAATAATTGACAAAATAAAAAATATTGGTCAAATTTAAAAAGGAAGTTTATATATATTTTTTAATCTTTAAGCCTTCTTGAAATGATGACATGACATATCATGTGTCATGAAGATGGTGATGATGCATAGCCTATTAACTGCCATGTCAGCGAACTTCTAAATATTATCTTTAGACAATGGGTATAATTATTACAAAAAATTAAATTCAGTGGTAGGATTGATAAAATTAAAAGAATTTATTATAATTGAAAAAAAATATGCTAAGCTTTTTTTGATTAAGCCCTATATTAATTATACACGATTGATATGAATATGGATAGATGGGGTTATTAAAGTGACACGTATATTAAATATTAAAGGGCATAAATAGAAATAATTAGAGCGTTGCAGCTCTTTTTTTTTTTTTGGTTCCACTTGTCCATCGATGTGCAATTTATGGGGTTGAGTTTCAAATTAATAAAACTTAAAATCGAATTATATTTTTAAAATTGAATCAAAATAAAATTGTATATAAATTTAAACCGAATATAATTAATTTGATTCAATTAATTTGATCAATTCAACTTAATTTTTAATAAATCAGATTATTTTTTATAATTATCAGACTAAAATATAAAATTGCGCAAAATTATGAACGAAAGCCGAATTCATCAATATGAACAAATAAACAAAATTAGTTGAATTTGGTTTTAATTTTAATCAATTTTAATCAATTTGGTTTTAATGAATGATTAGGAATTTATTTCATAGTAGTATATGTGCCATTGAAAATTTAAATTCCTTTACGTGGCTAATTCGTAATAGATAAAATTTATCTGGCTCTCATCATTGGACCATTCATGAACCAACCAATGAAAATAGATATTTTAAGTTGTTCCTATTTTATCCATTTTGTCATGGCTTATTCATATTTATCCATTTTTCTGTTTATCCAGTTCATTTCCTAAGTGAATGCTCAAAAAAACTCTCTCATTTACGAGATATATTTTATCCAGTTCATTCCTAAGTGAATGCTCAAAAAACTCTCTCATTTACGAGATATTATATATTATATATATAATATATATATATATATCTTGGTATCAGAGCCTTACGACTTTAGTATTATTAACAATCTACATCTAAAGACTTCATTTTAGTCTATATCTTAAGCTGTCTTGACTATTCCTACTGAACCTATTCCTACTGAACCCGTTGTAAGTCCCTTATGTGTTGTGGGCAGTGAAGGGTATAACCAGGAAAGGTATAACCAGGTAGTCCTCAAAGCTTCTGGTATCTATTAACATGGATCCTTTACTGTGTAGATCAGTTAGTAGTATTAAATCTGATGACTCAGATAACTCTGAAATCAAACGGATCATAAACCGAAATGAATTAATTTTACAAGATTTTGAATTAATATTGCAAGATTTTAGTAAAGCCATAGATGAATGGGAAATACCTAAAGTAGATAAAGAACAGATATATAAAGTTTCGAAATTTAATCTTTTTAAAACTGATTATGTAATTAAAACTGAAGAAAGAGATTTTCAATTAAGTAAACCTTTTGAAAGAATAACTCTTCTTTCTTCTAAAACTTTACAACATCATAAAAGTAAAAAATATAAATATTTTCATGTAGGATTAATTCAAGTAGGAATAAAACCCTTAACTAGAGAAGGATTAAACACTAGTATTCTTGCAGTAGTAAGGGATGCTAGATTTTTAAATTTTCAAGATTCTTTATTAGGATCTGTTTTAGGATCTGTAGAAACTAGTCTAAGTGAATGACCGATCTCTTTTGAGGTCTATCCAGATATGACTGTTTCTTTAAATGATTTGAATATTTTGGAAAGTATAGTCTTGGAAATAAAAACCCACAATTATAAAATGAAACAAGGATCTATTCCTATTGCTTTAATCTATAAAATTCATTATAAAGCTATGAACTCTGGTTTTAGCACTAAATATAAGTTACAACCTAAACTTGGAGAAACAACTTGAGAAACACGATTTCTTCAAAACAGACTTGACTAAAACCAATACTGTTTATACCTAAAACCATCCAATGGAAGGCATCCAATGGAAGGATATCACCTTACCAGAGGAATGGATTTTGGAAGGGATTGTCCCTCCACCTGAACAAGAAAGAGTCAAACCAAATGTCAATTTGCAGAAAATTGAACAATTTGAAGACGGTAAAGTAATATTAAAATTTAATAGAAGTCAAAGCTCTAGGTATACAGAATCTACATCCTCTGTTGTTACAGATGATGATAAACCAAAATACCTTCAGTAATTTATGCAAGATATAAAGAAAATGAACCTAAACCAATTATTCAAACATTAGTAAAACCTAGGTATTCTACATCAGATATACTATTCTACATCAGATATACCTGCATCTAGTCAATCATTTAAAATGAAAGGAGTTGATTATAGTAATTCAGTCCTACAGGCAGTCTATAATCCTGTTGACAATTATTTAAATCAACAATCTAATTTAGTAAACACGTCACCAGAGTCACCAACAGCTTCAGCTATCACTGAAAATGTTAGTGAAATAAATAGGGAATTAAATGTTTTAACTAAAGAAAAAATTAATAAAGATTTGGTAAAAGAAATTACAAAAACTAAAAATTTAATGAAGATTAATAAAATCTTAAAAACTCATGTTTTTGAAGAATTAAAAGAAGAATATTTAACTTACCAACTTCAAACCCAGACTAAAATAAAGTTTTTAGATTGGTTTTCATTAACTAAAAGTAATTCTGATAAAAGTCTCAATCCAATAACAATTCGTGATAAAAGGCCAGAATGGATAATAAATGATAGGATAATTCAGAGTGATTTTCCACCTAAGGCAATAAGTAAATTTAAATATCAAGATAATGATATTACTTGTGCACCATATAAAGTAGTAGCTAGAGAAAAATTTTGATGCTGATTAAAAAATTAATTGAACAAAATTAATTTTAGTAATGCTAGGTTTAATTTTGTTTTAAATACACAATTAAAAAAGATAGAACAATTACTTCAAAACTTAAGCCAGAAGTAGTTGAACCATCTAGAGGAAAAAGAAGATAGTAAAATCACATATGTTTAAACCATTTCAATATTCTAAGTCTAGTCAAAAGGGAATTAAAATTCAAAATTTTTAGGAACTTTAAAACAAACAACCTTAGTCCAACTTGAGGGAAGTTTCAGAATCTACTCATCATGTAGTTCAGAATACCACTCATGATTTCTAAAAATGTAAACCTTTTAGAAGAAACTTCTAACACTGAGTTCGTGAAAACCTGATTCTAGAAGATGCAAAACAATTTGTAAATAATAATAAAACCCAACCCATAGAGAATTAGTCTCTAAGGCACCAGATTTAGGACTTATTGAAAAACCTCCATACATATCCCAATTTCATTATAATGCTAACACATTATATGAATGGAATATTGATGGATTGTCTGAGTATAAAATATTAAGTATTTTGCAACAAATGACAATGACTGCCAATGCTTATAAAACCCAGTCACCCATATCTGATAAAGCAGTTGCTGAAATCCTTATTGCAGGATTTACAGGACAATTAAAAGGCTGGTGGGATTATCATCTCACTGAGAAAGACCAATTAGATATTTTAAATTCAGTTCAAGTAACTGATCAGGATGAACTTTTATATGATGAACATGGTGAACCTATTCAGGATGCAGTTGCAACCTTAATATTAACCATTTCATTACATTTCATAGGAGATCCATCCCACATAAAAGATAAAAAGATTAAAAATTGCTGAACTATTAAGTAATTTTAAAATGTAAAACACTTAGGGACAATTCAACTTTATAAAACCACCTTTTCTTACCACGTTTTAATGTTAAGAGAAGATTCAAACCAAGCTTTTTTTGGAAAGAAAATTTCTTAGCTGGTTTACCTTAATTTTTTAGGGGAAAGAGTTTAGGAATTATATTTAAAACAACAACATGGTAACCAATCACCTTTATAATAAAATTAACTTATGGTCAATTTAATAAGTATTAATTCAGAAAAGAATGATTACAGATTTTGTCAGGGATTTAAAACTTCAAAAACTTCAAAGAACTTTAAAATATGAGTTAAAAAAGACTAAACAAGAATTAGGAAGTTTTTGTAAACAATTTGATTATAGCATAACACCTACACAACAATGTAGTGGTCAATGCTCTAAACCATCAAGCTCTAAGAAACACTATAAAAAACATTATAGGTCTAAACCCAGTAAAGATAATTATTATCATAAAGAAAAACCTCAACTTTATAGGAAATCTAAAAGTAAAAAACCATATAAAAAGTCTGATAAAACTTCATATAAAGATTTAACTTGTTTTAAATGTGGCAAGAAAGGACACACAGGACACACATCTAAATTTTTAAGTTCAATAAAAAATTGCATGAAATTAAATTTAGATATAATGTGATAAATTAAATTCATGAATTTAAATCTTACTTTCTGATACATCAGATTCTTGAGATACAAGAATTCTGAGATACAAGAAAGTGAACATCAAATTGATGAACTTGGTTCAACAACCAGTTCTTCGGATAAATCAATAAATATGTTAACTAAAGATCAAAGAACACTTTTAGAAGTAGTAAATACTATAACAGATAATGATATTAAGAGTCAACTTCTTAAAAAATTAATTAAAAGTTTTGAAGAAGATAAGGAAGTAAAAATTATAACACCTAAAATTCAAACTCACACT